TAGCTTGGTCTTGGGTCGAGCGATGCCGGTGGTATTCCAATTTCACATAGTCACACCCCCCTGGGAGGAGCTCCATTCTTTTCAGAAAAACATGGGGAAACCTTCGTTGACCGTGGAAGACTTTTGTTGAACACCTCATCAAGAGCACTATTCATGAGGAGACTCCGACCCTCGCTGGGGACCTATCACAGCATGGACGTGTGGAATTGTCAAGCCAAGTGATGAAACTATATATTGGTAAATAGCAGCTCCACTTCACAGTCACACACAAGGAAAATCTATACAAACACTTGGTGTTGACCACTTTGTTATTTTGCTCCACTTCACAGTCCTGTCATCCTAACCCAATCAGTTCTGCTCAACTTCGGGGCCATGGAAGTGGACATAGTGGACCAGATCCCGACTCTACCCTCAGATTTGGCAGGGAAACGCACACCATTTGGTCTGGTTCTCTCATGCTGACTCGCTCAGTTTCCTGAAAATTGTTATATACCCTCATCTGTTCACCTTTCGTGGCGAAACCAATCCCAAAAACGGTTTTGCTGGTGATACACGTACTTCCTGCGCTAGACATGCGCAGGATTCTCCGGTTCTTCCAAAACCTTCCCCATCTGTCAGACCCCCTTGACTTCGGCGCACCCAAGGCTTGGATCGAGCGTGCCATATCGCCTTGGCGGGACGGAGGTCCAAACCCCGGGAGCTCAAATCCGGAGCTCGGATCACCGTCGAAGGCACACCTGGAAAAGAACCGATGGCGATCATTCTCATATCCAGGGAGACTCTGGTATTTTCTGCGTTTCTCGTGGGCAATATTTCTCTGGTGGAAATCTTTGAACATGACGCATGGGACTTACAGGCTGTTAATTGTTTTGACTAGTTCACAAAAAGCATGGTCCAGTCTTTTGGATTCTTCTGGATCTCCAGGAAACCTTCCTGACCGTTTTTTGGGGAAGCCACGTAAGCTACGTATATTTACGGACGTAATTACTTTAAACCCAGCTTTGCCCCGGTCATGTCCTTACTAGTAGCTTCTAGTCAAAAAGTAGCGATGCCCTTTGTTCCGTTCGTAGCTTCTTGTTCCTAGTAGTATGGCCAGGGGACCAGGAGCTACTAGTAGCATCTAGTAGCTACCATTCAAGCCTTTTGAAAAGGAACAACAAAAGCCACGCGAGCGCCACGACCTCTTCGGCGAGGTGCGATCCATGGGCCCGTCCGGAGTTGTGAGCGGCCCAACTATCTCTCCGCTACGCTGAGACGCGTTTGGTCCGGTCTGCCCTGAGAAATGCAAAAACCGTTTCAGGACACTGAACAACTTCAATTCCAAGAGGTTCCCATGCAGTTATTAAGCTTTGAGCTGGTGTCGCTTGATAGATTTCAATTCATGCAAAGAAAAAGTGGCCAGCAGTGCCAGCAGGCCCGTGAAATCTTGGAGATTACACGATTATCGTGATTGACCATCCACAAAGACTTCGGAAAAGCGAACCCTCGAATGAGATGAGACCTCTTCACAAAGGGACCATGCCGTCCACATCTACGACCAGAAGGCTTGCGACAAGACAAAATCTGGGCCTCTTGGTCAAGGATCATCCACACTCCGACTCATTAACATGGGAGGGGAAACCGGGAAACCACCCTGTTTGTAGCGGAAAAACCTATGACTTCTGAACATCTTCCAGACTGACTGGCGATCCACCAGAGCCTTTTGGATGATCCACCAGAATAGGGGAATGGGGTGCGCTTGCCTTCTGCATGTTATGACCGCATGTAGAAACATTATTAGCTCAGCGGTTTTCTTTCAAGTTCAGGATAGAATTTGAGAACAGGGCTTGAAGGGCGCGTTCTGTCTATCCCAAATGAATGCTTCACTTTGCTCGAACGTGAATTGATGCGTTTATCAGCTACAGTATACTATATAAAGTCACCTTTGAGTGCGAGTAAGGAGTGCTCAGTATATGTCATCTAGATTCGGATTATAGTAAAATCCACTCCGGCCAACGGTAGCCGTAGCTGAATGTGTGCCATAGATCGCTGCAAAAATGGTCCAAAAACACATGGCCAGCACCAATCTTCAAAGAATCTTGAAAAAGCAACCGTCAAGCAGATTCCAGGCCCGGTCTTTGAGATGCGTCGTCAAACGTTCTCAAAAATAACCACTTCACTTCACCACTTCACTTCACGATACCTTCACTACAGCCACCGTTCTCCTACAGCCACCGTTTCGTCCAGGGCGGCCTGCAGGCGCGGGGTCTCACCCGGTGCGATCGACCTGGAACGAGGGGTTGTTTCGTCCGACGGTTCGGTTCTTTCATCGATGCGATCGACCGTCCAAGGGTGACGAACGTCCAATGACTGATGTGGTGAATGATGTGACGGACATGACGGACATGCAGGGGTGAAAATCGCTGCTGGTGACGAGTCTGCCGAGAAACCACCTCTGGTCCCAAAGAGCCTGGCCAGGAGGAGGGTCCTCGTAGGAACATGTTTTTTTCAACTGATCCCAAACCCTAAGAGATGACACTCTTCATACTCCTTTGGATACCTGCAGGTTGCATGTGACTGTTTCTTCCTAATAATGTTGAAATGCCACAAGGCAAAGGTCTTAATAACACCCTCTGGCCCCAAGTTTCTTGCGTGCATGCGCTGCCCATAAAGTTTATCTGATGGTTCGTCAAAAAGAGACACCCTTGCCAGCACTGATGTATTGAAGCCGAGGTGCTCCAATGCCACCCCTCGTTCCGGCTGCACAATCTGCTTTCCAGCCGCCTTGGGATCTGGTCGAAACGTGGTGCTTATGTCACTTATGTCCCAACATGGCCAAAAAGCGGCCCAAAGCGGTGACGTCAGTGGAGATGTTTCTTGATTTCGTCGCTGCCAACATGGACACCTGCAAACACCTGGCGTCATGTATGAACGATCACTTCGATGACCCTGACGGCGACGATCTGCGCTGTTCGCCTGAGCGATCGAACGAGCTTTACTCTGAGACAACCACATGTTGCGGCCATCCAAACCATGTTGTGGGATGACGCGTTGAGACGCGTTATCACTCACGTCGCTGCGATGCAGAACTTCCAGTCGTGTGCCTCTTGCTCTTGCCATTGACCATCATTGAGATATATTGAGATACTGTATATCGTTCTATAATCTTATACCATTCACCACCTCATAGCGCTGGCCTCCATCCTAAGAGCGATGGCCTCCATCCACCATCATTCACCATTGACTCAACATCACCTAACTATCCTAACTACCGTTCACCACCTATCCCAGCCTGTGGCACCGCTTCGTTCTGCCTCTTCCCACCGGAGCCCCCACTTACCGGACCGGCGTCCAAGACACGCGCGCCGCGGTCCCACGGGGCGACGGCATCACCTCGGGGCGACCGCAAGGAGGCTCGTTCGTAGCGTCCCTGAGTGGTCCCAGAACTTCCACTGGAGTGAAGAGTTCCTGAACTTGGCTTTGCACAACTAGTTCCGGGGTTTTTGGGCTAACTGGCGTGGATTGTTCCAGGCCTGGAAGATGATACCGTTATTTTGCATGAGCATGATGTTGCGTAGATACATAATTTGATATATATATACATTATATATACCAGCACCACGAAAAGGCCAGTTTATATAGTTTATAGACACCCCTCTGACTATGTCATTATGCAGTTTCCCTCCAATAACAACCCTTTCCGTGATGCTGGTATATCGGTATATACTATACAGTACAAAGACACTTACACACACTTGTTGCATCTATTCAGTTTTCGGTCTTTCCTCTCTAAAGCTTCCCTCCAAACATTGGAGGCAAGCTTAGTTGGGGGAGAAGAAATGTGTCGATACATTACAAAATACTAAAATTCTTCGCTCCAAGGAGCGTGAATGGATATTTTTGGGCTCTAAGCGTTGGCTTTTCTTCCAGTACCTTGCGTCGTATGTGGAAAGCATCGTGGTTGCACCCTAACTACAAGCAAAGGAAACTAAAAGAACATGTCGGCCCCAGACCAACGAAATCCGGGCCCAGTCTCGAGATATCAACAACCGTCTACAACTCTTGACCCATTTTCCACTAGAAAAAATCTCTGAAACCAAAACCTTTACATCACCCCACATTGTTGTGCATGTTTCCAACAACTTTGCCCCATTGCTTTCTCACACTGTCATCCACGTTTCCGTGACAGGGTTTGAACTCCCCAAACCGTGAAAAGCCTTGGAGGACCCACGCGCCCCATGCGACCCATGCGAAGCTTCAGCCCAAAACCGGTGCCAGTTCACGTCTCTACAAAAGGCTATAAGGAAAACCGGTGATTTCCAAGGTTATAGGAAAAGCTTAGCCAAGCTTAGCAATAGGGCCTTAGGGGCATGCACCAAGCGACGAACTGGCGGCGCTGGAGGCTTGTCATTTTTGATCTCGCGCAGGGTCAAATCCAGAACCGGACTGCCCAATCCACATAAATGGTGCATCATGCCCCTTAATTATAACCATCAATGGACCATGGCTTGGAAATACATGAAGCGCCACGGTCACAAACACAAAACTGACCTCTTTGTAGAGGAACATGCTCTTGACAAGCATTTCCCGTGTGGTTCGATATCAGCCCACCGTCATTCCACCCACATCTGCCGTCCATGGCGCAATGGGTTTTCGCGGAGACTCCAAGGCACGTTCCTCGAAGCAGAGAAGGGTCACTGTGCTGCCCCAGAAGTAGTGGAAATGGAATGGAAATGGATAAACCGTGGACCGTGAATTTCATTCTCCATGCTAATGGTTATACACTCGCAAAAACACACAGTTTCTCATCTAACAGCTTTGCAAAGAGAATCGCCCGGGAAAAAATCATCGCCAATTGCCCTGCAAAAGAATGTAGTGTACACTCCCTGAAACAATATGAAACAAATTGAAATAACTATAATGGAAGTGTAGTTCACTAATTGCCTATTTGGTGTTCGGAAAATGATCCTCCTTTCGGGGCCATGCCATTCACGGTACACCTTTATCACTCAACAGGATCGACTTGTTGGACTGGATGACTGGCGTGATCAATACACTGCACGCCGACTGAGACCGCAACGAATCAATACAGGAAACGCCCTCATGATCTCCGAGGTGTTCGATCCTTTGTATCCAGACCGCAAGAGTCCAATCCCCAAGTGGTGAAGATTGTCCCGTAGGTTGGAGGTCATCGCTATTAATATAGAGAACTCAACAGTGGATGTCAGAAGGATGTTCAATTTGCTGCATCGAATGATCCCTCCCGCATCGGATGCATCGAATGAACCCTCCCGCATCGGATCAGGATGCCGGATTGGTCGATGTGACGTGGCTAACGACCGAGATGAACATCAAAGTTCATCGCTCATAGAACATGTCTCAGGTAAAAACAAATGTCACAAACATATCGCAGATCTGCTTGGCGTGCAAAGCCACGGTTTTCGCCTTTGCAGATCTCTCATGCTCTCGTTCAACTTGTCGAAATGTCAAGCAGGAACTCTTGCACAAGGCATCACAAGGAAACAAAACCCGATACCATCCCCGTGCTGGCTTCTTAAATACTCCTGTGTTCTTGCTATCGAAGACTGTCGAAGCTAACACATGCTCCTGTGTTATTGCTATCCTTTGTTGGACTTCCTCCACAAACCAGCTCCTGATGTTGCCACCTCGAAGCGTTATATGATCCAAGCATTTTGGTTGGTGAGGGATATCAACTCTAACTTCCCCACCTACAGGTGATGACAGCCCTGTTTGAAGCTCCCCCGGGGCAAAGACATCGAGGGAATTGGTGCTCGCCCGATCAGCGGCGCCTTTGCCGCCAGCCACACTTGCAGGGCATCTGGCTTGGGAGGTGAAGACCTCAAAGAGACACAAAGTGCAAAAGTGCAAAACAATTAAAGTACATCAATAAGATTCAATAAGTAGTTGTGCTTCATGAAGGTATCCAAAGTCGAGAATCTCCGCAAAAAACAGGGATTCCCTGTTGGAATGTGCACCTTTCTTGACGTTCGTTATGCCCCTTTCCCCTGTCTCGACTGTTCCCTCTGTTCCTTCCCAACCTGCCTGGGAGCACTCGGTGTTGGCTTGCCGCCTCGACATCGCGAAGGGGCGGCGGTGCGAACGAACCGGTTACGGTCCTGTGCGAGCTCGCATGGCTCGTGGGGCGTTTGGGGGAGAAATCAGAGCCGCGACCCTTACGAATTCATGCGGTATGTACATGCGACATGAAGAGTTGCATGTACAGAATGCACGTCCGGAGCGTCTGCTTCTTGGTACACGAATTACGGGAAAGAACAGGAACGGTTCTTCATTCTTGTGTATTTGGGGATGCTGTATCTGGCGTGTTTGGGGGTCCGTTGGGATATGTTGGGATTATGGCTGCTTGCTCAGGTGACATCGTTTGAGCTTCCACGACCCATGCTGGGGGATCAGTCGAAGAAGAGTTCTTTGCACCACAAAAAGCAAAAAGGGCCCCTGGCAGGGTGTCCAGGTGGTGCTTCCATTGACAGAGTGGCACATAGTTTTTCTCCTTAAGACTCCTTAAGACTCCTGCTCCACAGTGCCCAAGATGAAAAAACTGTCTGAAATCGTCCCCTTGGCTCAAGTTCGAGGGAATTGATCTCAGGTTAGGGGTGGGGAACCAATCAACAACCTTCTATTTGGATTTGATGTGCTTTGTTTCCTCATCGTGGCTCGATGGCACCGACACCCGCATGATGTCGCAGATTCAATGTGTCCCTATTTGGACCCATTCTGAGTCATTTTGACCCCTTTTGTTGCGGGAGAGCAATTTGGGGAAACACATTTAAGGGCCGTCGGATCCTTCCTTTTGCCGCCCCCATCGACCGAAATCGACCGACATCGGGTGCGATCGCATGGACCAATGGTATGATCCTCCACATGTGGATCCTGCGACCCACCTGGTTCGCGATCGCATCCCACGCCTTCGCTTGGTGGTCGTCCTTCCGACTCCGGCTGACCTGTTTCAGGGGAAAGGGGTCAAGGCATCTCAGGCCGTTGGCAGAACCGTGGTGGCCATTTGGGGCATAGGAACAGACAAATACTGAGTTGGCCAACATGTTTAAGTTCCAGAAGTGTTCTGTAGCTGATGTTCTTTGACACACCTTTCCAAAGCGGGGGGCGGAAGAAACCTGATCTTGTACCGAAAAGGCAACCGAACCCCTTGGAACAAGAAGCAACCAAACTTCGTGGATCTGTGCAAACCGAAAATGATTTGACCTCTCAGAAAGCTTCCCAATCAAATCCGATGAATCCCTATGAATCCCTATAGGGAGACTTGAATGTTCTAAAAGACTTGAGCCAGACTTGAGCCCTCGCAGTCCTTTCGGGCCTCCAACGTCCTGGTACCTCTTTTCGATGCCAACCACTGACCGAAAACGTCCCGCCTGGCACCGCTTCTTCAACCGGTGCCTGGCCACCGATCCGGTCCGGGAACGGCGGTGTCCGGGAACACGGCACCTGGAAGTCGGAAGACTCACTCTGTGTTCGGATGAGTTGTCCAACTCTGTCTGGACTTTGACTCACTCATTTTGCTCATCTAAGGCAATTCGTCTAGCCAATTACTAGGGTTGGATTTGCGCCATTGAAGGCGCGAGAGATGTCCTCACGGAGAAGCTACCGATGAGACCTACCACGTCATACATGGTTCCGATGCACATAGAAACTCCAATGCATGCTTTACCCATCTTCCATGTTTGGGGCAGCCACAATCATCCAAATCTCCTCAAATCATTGCCTCCTCCTTCGTTGCTTCTTCCACCTGAGCACAAAATGGCTTTTTGCTCAAAAAGAAACAGCATGTTTCGCGGGCACTGTGACTGGCGCATCCTGTGTTGACCCATCCAAATGAACAGAATGGACTACTTACTACCTGAGAGATCAAGCAACCACGGTAACCAGGGTTCTTATGGGTTCTTTGAGAGTTTGCCCCACAACCAAATCGAAAGACATTACTCCCCTGCAAAGGGCCACATGGGGCCCCTTTCAACCAGCTGGGTTGGTCTCCGGAACATGCTCTTCCACCACTCAATTCTCAGGTTCCACAGGATCGTTTGTGGGAGGGTCATCTCCCAAACCAGATCCGTTTGACCCAGGAATTCCAGGTCAGACAGTGGGCCGCGCCAGGTCGGACGGATGGGCCGGAAAAAGAAACGGACAAGCTGAATAGCCCAGGATCGCGGCCGAACTCGTGTACAAAGTTCAACGAAATAGACTGAAAATAAAGGGAAAACCACAAAGGCCAATGCGGCCAATGGGTTTTGAAACCCTACAAAAAGGGTTTGAGACGTATCCAGTCCCAAAAAACGAGTCTCAGGTCCTTTAAACCCTGGAGCGGCCAATCCCCTCCGCCTGGCCCGGCCGATAGTCGCTCATCTGATACCTCCTCATGGGGATCGCCTGACACGTGACTGACCCACCGGCGCCGGCCAATGACGCAGGCACAAGCGGCACAACTGTAGAGAGTCTAGAGGATTTTCATGGATGTTGTATTGGAAATCACCATGGAACCATCAATGTGCGTGTGACACGGGGGGAAGTCAACGTGTGTGTGTGTGTGTGTGCGCGTGTGAACATGTCATCAACTTGTGTCATGTATCAACGAGCCACCCAACGGTTTTCTCACCATTCCATCTGGACGCAAGAAACCCACGGCTACTTTTGGGTGGCGTGACCCTGGCAAAACGTTTGACTTGTGACAGCCTCGACTCAAATCCACCCTTTTTGAGTGGTTCAATCTTCACGAAGCTGCATTCTACACTCTACACAACTCCAATATATAGACTGATTGGAGAAACATGGCAAAGTAGAAGATCTTATTGACCCTAAAATAGAGAGAAGAGAAAAGTAGTTCTCTAACTTATTACAGTTTACGTTTACATAGTTCACAGTGTTCGCAATCGAATCCTCTGGCAGGCAAAGGTTCCACTACAAAGAAGAAGCTCTGCAATGGTCCCTCGCCCAAAGACGCGAACTCAACAAGTTCATCACGTCGTTTTGTTATGGCAATCGAAAGAAATTGTATCCCTAAGATCCCAAACATTTCCTCTGACAAGATTGTTATTAGGGATGTAGAGGCACCTATGCCTGACATAGCCTTTCTAGTTATAGTTGGGCTCATTTATACACAAGTATGGATTACTCACCAGCTGGCTGCCCGTAGCTGCGAGGGCTTGGCCTCCTTGGCCACTGTTGCCTTAATGCTCTCAAATTCTTGCAGGCCCATGTACCTGCGCAACGAAAGTCTAGGACCCCAGGATCGCCCGATTTCGCACGTCACGGAGGTCATCCAGGTGGGCTCCCAGTGTTGGAGAGCTGTCATGGAACCCTTGAACTGGAGCTGTGAGCTCTACATTGACATCAGGTTCTGACTGAGATTGTCTTTTGGTTGGTTTATTTGGATTGTCTCATCTGAGATGGTCTGAGACGTTTCAACACTGTTCTTCCCATATGAATGCTGCCATCATAGCTTTACAATCAAAAAGTCACACGTGCCGATGCCTCCATGGTCTATAATGTAGACTTTTGACTCGTGAGTAAACAAAAACATTTGGATCGTAACGCCTCATATGCAGGGTTTTATTAATCAGGAGTCTACATTACACTATGTAAAGTATCGCTTGACTTCAATTAAAGCCACCCAAGCCACTTCGAAAGGGACCAAAGAACTGGCGGCTCAACCTTGCGGTGCTCTGTGGTTTTCATACACATCTTTTCACCCAGCAGTTCCTCAAGCCTCCCTCGTCTTCACAGCTCTAAGCTAACAAAAATACCATCCGCATCGTCGTCCATCCCCAGTTCTCCGTCCGGGCTCCCGGCTCTTGGTACTTGAGAAGTGGACCCACCGGCCCACCTGGCGTGGCCGTGGCGGCACCGCTGGTCCGTTGAGAGGCGAAGACGGTCGATGTGTGGGACCGAGCCCAGTCAATCGGCCAGTCGGCCAGTCAACGGGGCGGGGGCGATGGTGGGACATCCCGCCCTAGGCATCGGCATCAACCACATATGGCCCTGTACCCCAGTGGCAGAGTGTCTTCTTTCAAGTCTGGGTCGAACCGAACACTTTGAACTTTAGAAAATAAAGTAAAAGGGACTCACTCTCGGCGTCTGTGTCCATCTGTGTCCTGCAACCCAGCTCAGGCAAATGTTCATCAATGCTCATACCACCTCTCTATCTCAGACTGGGTCCACCCAAATGGGACTGACTGAAACCATAAGCCAGCTATAACCCTGAGTTCCAATGAGCCCATCACAGGGTCCACTTTGAAGCATCTCCACGATCTGCCCAAAAAAAATCCTTTGGCATCTCTCAAACCGCCATTAAAGCGGATCACACACCGACGGTCAAGGGTTGAAAGGCTGCCGCCAGCGGAGGAAATACGCGTTCTACCAAGTTCTGTCCTGCTTTCTGATTCAAAATAAAGGAAGCAAAAAATATTTGTATATCTACGTTGATGTATGAAGTGAGTTCTATTAAACCATTTCTATAAAGAAAGTGGGTTCGACCCTCTCATGAATAGAACAATGTTCTTTCCTTTGTCTGTTGCACACAGTTTCTCAACACTAAACATCCGTGTATATATATATATTATATTATATATACAGTGGTTTCAGAGTAGATGGCACAAAACCAAAGATGTCTTTTATATGGGGGTCCTTCTAAACCACCTCTTGGGGATTGTGCCATCTACTCTGAAAACACTATGATTATACATGTATAGTGTATAACATGCGCTCTTCCAAAAATTGGGAGGCCCCACATTTCTTCATGAAAAAGGTCTTCCTGGTCCTGTCCATGTCTGTCCATGTCAGGAAATCTGTCCACGTCTACCTGGCTCTCGATGTAGGACTTCCCTCACTCCCGCACAATCGCCTGGGGTTGGGATGCCCAGTGCGGGCGTTCCGAGTTTGGCCCCGGCTTTCCGAACGACCCCGGCGGCCCCGGCGTTTGAAGCAGGTCCGGCTCCGGTTGCAACTACCCAGAGTCAAAACTGGCAGCATCAAGACATTAAAGTGGGAGTCAGAGACGGAAGGCCTAGTGTGCATAAATTGACCAAATATTCCTTGAAAGGCAGATCCGCTCCAAGTACTTACGAAGCTAGAAGGCTGTACGTACAGTGAAGCCTAGACACTGTTGGTGGTAGTCCGCAAACTCTCAGTTCTTCTTCTGGTCAACAATGGGGCTTGAAATCTAAAAAGGTGCGCCATCTGCTAGTACTGAAGGGGTTCACTGGACCCAGGTGATCCACCAAGAAGGAATGAAAAGCATAAGACTGGTCATGAGTCATGGTTTGAAAAAAAGAAGGAAAACATGAAGATGGAGTGAGTTCAGTCTCGAGAACTCTGGAATCTGCTTCGGGTGCTTACTGAGACCCAGTTGCGCCACCGAAGCCACTGATGGCTTGACACGCCGAATCCACCGAAGTCTGTGACCCACTTGGCCAACGCTTCGTCGGTCCCACTGGGCCACAACCATAACGGACTCCAGTTGCAGCTCTCCACGACCAAAAACAGGGGTATGGGAGTCTAGAGTCTTTGTAGCTTCATGTAGCTTCCCCAACATAAAGCACTCGCTTAAAAAAAAAAAAAAAGATTTAGATTCATGACATCTGCGGCGCGTTTAAGTCCTGACGTCTTAAGGAACAAGTCCGTCCACGGCTGTGCACAGGTTTTGTCCAGGTTCATCCGCCTAATGGCAGCTGAAAACTATTGAAAACTACTACTGGGTGTCGATTGCGGACCTTGTATTGCGGAAGATTGCGGATCCAGTGATGGATATCTGTAAGTTGTTACAGGTTCTTTGGACAAACTGTGTAAAGAATGAAGTCAAGATTGTCTCATCTCAATTCTTCCGCACCAGCGATGCAGAGCACGAGGTTCTTCCTGCACTGCAACTGAGGCACTCCATGGATCTTCTTCCGCACGCTCCATGGCGGTCAACGCGGTGCGACGGGGTGAACGGTCGGGTCCAACGCGGCTGGGAGTCCTTGGGATTCCGCTGAGTTCGGTGGCTGGATCCGTATGAAGGACGTCAAGGGGAATGTTGAGGGTTCTGCATCCGTTCCTGGTGATTGATTGGAAAGGTCTGTGGTACCAACTCTGAATATATACCATGCATGTAATACTGGTAAGACTAGACGCTAGATTTGCATTTCAAATCATTCTTCGCTCACATGGCATACTGCCACCGGAAGCCTAAACCAACATGACGGGTTTGAGCCAATGCAAAGTCGACGCCTCCTGGTCAGATCCGACCAACCAAGTAACTCAAAAAAGACACGTGTAGGACAAAATAGCCCGCAAGTACCCCTATCTTCCCTTATAGTGAACCATCAAAATCCAACGACAAACCGAACCTCCTCTCAAACCGACCCCTGCCTGTGCTTTAGTTCGGATAGTGCGGTGCCCTTCGGTGTGGTGCGACACGGACGCGACGGGACGCGACGGGACTCGGCCGGTCGACCGAAGCTTGAGGGTGCCAAGAAGTGAAAACTGTAGCAACTTGGGTGATGGTACCTCTGTATTGGAACATGCATGTTCTGGAGACCAAACTGAGTTTTTGACGGGAGTTATCATTTGCCACTTCCTCCGCTACCTGCAAATCTCCTCGGATCTTCGCTGTATGCTGACCTTAAAGAGAATGTGCTTGGTCTGTTCCCGGGAGGTATTGAAGGGATCTTCAATGTCTGTGAGTGAGTCAAACCAAATTAAAGTACCCCCAACTAATTAACAGAGCCTATGGAATATGGCTCCACATATATGTAGTTTGTGCTCCTTCAGATTTTGTTGGATCATATGTCAACCAGGAAACATATGCAAGAGATCGTCTACCAAGATCGTCTACCAATCCCAAGTTCACACCAAGAATTCCTTCCTAGATTACACGCAAATGTTTCAGCTAATGAATTTCTTTCCGGCTCCCATGGCAGTAAAATCCGCTTTTAAAAATTAAGTCTAGTGAGGGTCATTTCTGGGCTGTGAGTCGTCATCAACACGATACATGCCGTTCATCGGTGGCGACCGCGGAGCGAGCCGCGCTGGAGGCCAATCCGCGCGTCGGAGGCAAACCTCGACCTTTTCGAAGCCCTCAATTCGAGGGTCATTGGCACGTGGTGAGACAGAGACTGCGTTTTCTGTGTTCGTCGCCTGACGGCATGCGACTGCACATGACGGCATGGGAGGTGGGGAAGTGATGTTTAGGCCGGCTCGAAACACGACGAACATGCAACAAAGAGTTGGGGACGTTGTCTGAAGTCAGAAAACACCAAAGAAATTCTGTGTCAAAGGTACATGTGCAGACTGTTCATCAGTCTGCGTAATTAGACCATACTGGATGAGTGAGCATGCCTTTTCTGTCACAATGAATATAATATTGACAATACTCGCAAAGAAACACTTGCAATTGAAAATTGTATGGGCTTTGGCATAGCCAAGCAGCTGATCTGCAAGCCCTTCTGTGTCGTGTGGGGTGTAGCTAATTTGACAATAGAATAACAACAACTTGTCAAAGTTTCCCTGCAACTCAACTAATTGCAAAGATTCACAAATCAATCGTCTACCAACCTCCGGCACGATCTCTTCCCGAGAAAAAATCTTTTCTGGTTCCACCTCAACCTCATGTTTGCTGGAGATGCCCATAAATGGTTCTTGCTTTAAAAGATTCGACCTCAAACTCCAGCAGTCAGATCAATCCCTGAGTACCCTTACGTTAACCACTCGTCGGAATTTGGGCGCCTCGTTTAAGGAGGAGCGGATCCACGCCGCGTGGTCAACATGGGGCTCTCAAGCCTGCGAGAAAGCCAGAGGTTGAAGTTTTTTCTTGACAGCTGGCTCTGTTACTGTCCCAAAAACATCCTCCAAAAGGCAACAAATCGCCGCTTTAGAGAGTATATAAACCGTCATTGTTGCCGCTGCCACAAATCAGTTACTTGGTGTTTCGTTCTGGTTCAGGATGATTCCAAAAGGTTCAAGTTATGATCCGTGTTGATAAAATTTCGATTATATATTTCTGGAGATGACCAGCATCCGACCCAGTCACATAGTGCCTTTCACCGACGGTCGTGGCACGTGTGTTGTCACGTGACACGTGAACCATCTAGACTTCCAGACCACGGATTTGGATGTGGGTCCTAACAGCCCGGAATTTGTGGATGTCATATCCCGCAACAAGACCAGAATGGATGCCCAAAATAATGTCAACCTACTATGCATCCATGGTTTTTGTAGTGCTGGGAGGTTTGACAAGCATGATGTTGCTGTTTGCTGGAAAATAGTGGTCCCTGCAGTGGTTGCTCCAAATGGTCCACCCATGTCCAGGCAAAAGCTACGCAAGCAACTCTTTCATTCATGCTTAGTTGACGACCTCCATCCCATCGGTTCACGTCGGTATCCTGCTTTTTGGCCGGAGAACAAATGCGGCGGACTTCCGAGATGGCCCGGAGGCTCAATTGAGGTGCTATGTTTTCAGCGAGCTTCAAACGGACGAGAATACAAGGAAGTCACGTTCTTGGAAAATCTTGGGCTTGACAAACTCTACAGCTCTTGATCTGGAGTGAGAGTGGGAGTCCCAAACAAGTCCTATATCTTATCTATCTTATCCCATCCTATCCTATCCTATCCTATCCTATCTATCTATTCTATTTATTATCTCTATCTGTCTCATGCATCTTGAAGCACAATCAAGGAGATCTCCTGAGCCACAGCAGTCTGAAGGGTATTATATCCTTCCATCAGCCATGAGAAACGACTGCGCTTGACCGCTGAACCGCTGCTCCTGAATAGATGCCTGAAGGCTCCACCCCGAGACAGGGATGATGGATGAGGTTGTGCATTCTCTCATCTGAACTGCTGCCGTTTTCCTCAAAGAGTCTATTCCAGAAGGCGATTCAGCATCACCCGCCTGGTCGATAGAAACATCTGGCCGCCAGGACATAGTGTGTTAAAAGATGAGCGAGCTGATGTGAAACCAAGCTCAGCAGCGACTCTTGTGGCATGCGAAAGGAGCCTGCATCTTTCAGTGAGCAATGCTCTTTTCATTGCCAACTAGAGCGACACCCTCTCTCCAATCATTCTACTATAGGCATGTTCTACCAACAAAGAGCTACCTAGCACTTCCGAGGGATGCCCCAAGGAGATCCACAAGGAGTCTAGGGATGTCTAGGGTGTTCTATGATTGACTCCTTGGAAGCAAATGGCAATACATGTATATAGTATATTCCCATAGCATAGCCCTTGGAGGGAGGGTCTCCATTGCCAAATATGACATGGATACCTCTAGGGAGCTCCGGGTAGAACCTGCCATGTGATACGAAGCCGACCGGGCCCGGCCGGCAGGGCCCCCCCTAGAAGTACAAACGTTTTCACACACCACCGGGGCATACGCGTGAGATGCTACATTTGATCTGCCGTGGCCACTGTTTTAGATCAAACGCATCATCCTGTCTCTTGTTGAACACAGGTAAGGCACATCGGTTCTGGAGAAGCACAAAAAGAATGCAAAACAACTGCATGTTCTGCATTGCTCACTTACCTACAACTTGTGTGTAAAGATCAAAAATCCAGAATGCTTTGATTCCAGTCAACGTCAGAAGGCTCGTTGTCCTTCCACACACAATTTGAGTTGAAGGTGCGCTCTGCCAGCTGTGACCTTCATATCGGCGAACTGTTGCATACCAGGAAATAGCAGCTATACATTGTCAACATAGACAGTAGGACAGTAGGTGTTCCATTTACCAACAGCTTTATCGCCAATTCAAGTTCACTGGGGGGTTGAAGATATCAAGTATCCAACTAAGAACATCTGTGCACCGAGGCAGATCAGTCGACTTTGGATTTGCTGAGCTTTGACTTGTGTATGGTGGCCATCAACAAAAAAGACATGCCGAAACAACCAACTCCGTCTATGTGGTGATCCCAGCAGTCGGGTTCTCATCTGGGTCTGGACCAGCGATCCATCGGTACTGTATAAAGACAAGCCAAGGATTGCACCTCATATACCTGCAGAAAGCCATGGCGATTCACCAAGTGAACTGACCGACAAACACACAGAAGTGGAGGTTTCAGGAGGCCAATATGAACGGTACGTATCTGTATGTGTATATATATATATGCATACTATGCATCTGCTTTGATGAATGGTACCCGTTACCTGTAGTTGTGTAAGAGCCGATTGAGCAGTACTGTGACCTTGTGGAATGTTTTTGTTGCATCGCATCCATGTAACATGTTTCTATTGTCCCAAAGCCAACCAAGCAGAGTCTTGACTCTTGACAATGCCTCAAGCTGACTGTGGTTGAGCACCTTCATAAGGACCTCCTCATCTGAGACCTGGAAGAAATCTTCTTTGGTCACTGGTTTGCAGGAAAGACTGCAGGACAGCATGTGTTCGACCCCAATTGACTTGGGCATCCTGCAAGTTCTCAAGACTCCTGACTCATCTTTGGTGTTGCTCTCCCTTCTATCACGGAGTATTTCTCCCAGATCACTCCTAGAACAAACGATTCCAGGTGGTGAATGGCGGATTCCCCGGAGTGGCACGTCGTAGCTTGATGACCACCCTTTGGTCCAGCAATCAATTGGTCAACGCTCCAACAAATCAAACAAGTCGGATCCCTGAAAAGTCGGACCAATGGGCCCTCTTCATGTTGAGACATAGCATTGACACACCCCTCCAAGGGTGCCGCACAGTATTGAGAGGCCCCAGCAATGCCAGCATATGCCAGCAATTGTGAGTGAGGCCTACACAGACTGCTAAGTGCGACTCATCGGTTTCGGTCTCTCTCTCTGACGGACACCGGTCTCTCGAGACAGCGGCACGCGCTGTTTGGGCACGGACACGTGGGGTGTTTTTTGCGGCTCTCAGGTCCTCAGCAACTTCTGCAAATCTTGAAGCTTCCAAGGATGCCTCTCAGGTGGCAAAGAAAACTGGAGAGGTCAATGCTTTTTGATGTGAAAGGGAGAAGAGTGGAGAGGTACTTGGATGTTTCTGGTTATGAAAGGGTCTTAAGAAAACGCACAATAAAAAAGGTCTCTGGATGTTCTGCTAGTCGGTTTGGGAGGAAGCCAGCAGCTGGTGTTCACCCTGATGTGCCGGTAAAAGGTGCGTGACATCCATAGGTGCCAACAATTTGTTTTATTTGGGCAAAAATACTCCAGAATACTGTAGACCGGTTAAAAGAATCCTTTTCGTCCTTGAGTTGTACAGCTTTTGCATGATTTTACAGTGTACACAGCTTCAGCCAGCTCTCACATCTAATTCCCACCAATCACACCCATGGAAACTCGCGCGGCAACTCGCATGTGCCTCACCGTCCGCATATCATCTTCCCAAATGCTAAAGTACTCTGGCCTTGACCAGCTGCGGCGATGCCATCGCTGCAGCCGATGAACGACCAAGGCCCAAGGGCGCAAGGGAAAGAGCTATGTTGCGATAAACAGGGAAAGAGATGGGGGGAAGGCTTCCACAGGCCTATATCATCCTTCACCGTAGATTAATTCCTATAGCATGTAAATATGTATCTAGTGTCTTCAAAAGCTCTTCTGACTCATTCCCGTTTACGCAGGGTGCTTGCCACTGCTAGGAATGGCCACCAAGGCACTCTCCAGGACGCTTCTCACCTGAGGGGTAGCAATTCAGCGATTCTGCTTGTCACCGGAACCCTGAATGAAGCAAAACCAACAGAGGTGGAGCCTGCGTGTAATCGGTATAGATTGGTGTATTGAATACGGGGAAAGTTGAAAGCAGGGGCAGCATGATAGACCATATTCCCTGTGTGTCCGAACCCTGCCAAGTTGCTAAGTCCAAATTGAAACATGAGGTACCTAATGGTACCTGGGGTGACATATGAAGACCTTGTTGTCTGCAACGGAAAACCTCGGGTCCAGTTTGGGGTGTGGACGCACAAAGTTGTAAGGTCTGGAAGGCCACTTGATCCAACACAATTCTATGCTGCTTTCTCTCAGTTTCGACTCTGGATGACATCTTACTCTGACTCATGTTGTTTGTCCGATTACAAAAAATAGACATGCTCCGTCGACCGGCAACGACCCAAAGCAACCAAAAGGGAGGTTAAAGCTCCCCCTTGCGCCTTGCGCATCCCTCAAGAAAACCGATCTACTACGGTGTCACACCCACTGTTTTCATGGATCAAATGACCGCCAAGTCGCCGTTCAAAGGCCAGTAAGCCCAACCCGCCACTGGCCTCTCTGACAGGTAGCGCCTCAATAAAAGCCGCGTATATGAGTCCATAATTCTGGCCTTTGTTTTTTTCAGTTTTCACATCCCTCCTCCCCCCCCGCCCCCCCACACACACACAACAAAACAGGACCAGACCATTCGATTCATAAGATCACTTGTGTTTCCTGTTTCCACGGATCCCCCCGAAGCAACGACCCTCCCAAAAGCAACCGGACCTTCTCTCTGACCCGTTTTTCGGTGGCCGAAACCCACGCCTCCCAGGTCCGGTGAGCTCGGTCTGGTGGAAATCTCAGGAACTGGTAATGACTGTTAATAACCACCCCAGACATGAAACCCCCCATGGATGGTACAACCTCTTCGTATGCGGGGGTTGGTATATAATCAAGAGTCTATGATATGAAGAAGAGGCTCAATTCAACTTCTGGAGCTTCCGTCCTGGACCCTTCTCAATTCCAATGTTTATTCTTGGATGTTTTGGTTCGGCCGTCCCAAGTCAAGTGGCTCGGGTGGGACCATCTATAGACTATAGATAGCCGCTTTGGGGGGATGAAAACTTTCGGGTTTCCTGCAATTGAGCACTGCGATGAACAAACATAAGAAGCCACGTCCCGACTCATCGTGACCCCCTGATCGAACAACCACCGCTCTGCCAGACTGGGCCACCAGTGGGGGGTTCAGGAATGTTCCAGGGGAAAGGACCCCGGTTTGGTGCGCAGACTCTTTAGTTGTCAACTCATTGCATTGTTTTTAATGTTGTTTTTCTCACTTTCACATGCGCACAATGCAATAGAATCCATTGAATTTTCTGCTGCTAGACAAACTTTTTCAGACATGGCATGGCATCCTCTTGAAGCAGCCCGTCGCTAGTGACTGGCCAAAAGGCAACTCTGTATGTTCACTGTTCACCAACAAGGTACTCTGGTTACCAGGTTGCTTGGTTGAATGACTGGGTTCTCTTCTTGTCCGGGTTGTCAGGGTGATTGGTGTTGATTGTTTAGCCTTGAAGGTATAGACAGCTGAGTGCTGCCATGTGCTGCCTTCTGTGCTGCCTTCGGCTGGGATGAGGTCTGGCTGCTTGCTCGATCCCATCCCCTCATCCTGTTGCGGCGGAGCCCAGGCACGTCATAAACTTCCACCATTCACTATCGGTCGCCTGAGCGACGCCCATCAAGGACCACCCCAGAACGACCGATGGCTCTGTGTTACGGCCGCGTTTGGCTGCGTCAAAGTCGGGATACCCCATCCTAGTCTTCTCGTTTGCCAATCCTCTGTCCACTGCCTTGACTCTAATTTGCCTCTGACAAACTCTGATATGGTCAAGGTCAAAGGCATTGTCTTTAAAGAAGTATGCAATCTGTCAGTCTGCTTTTTGCTGAGTATGACTTCCACGGGGTGCCCTAATACGAGTACTCCCGCAGGAGTAAGGTCTAATCTCCCTAGGCCCTTGATGTTGACATTGACAATTAAGGTATAAACCTATCGTCCTAACGTTGAATGGTGCCCTTCAAGCAATCTCTTCAAAAAGATAGAATATGTGTATATATATATATATGTACATGATACTGTACATGCTTATTATTTCCCCAAACAGTTTACTGTTGGGGCTCTATCTTAGAAAAAAGAGCTCCCCTGAACTCTGTGGCTGGGCTCCGTTGCTGGGCTCTGTGTCCAGGCATTGTCCTCCTCTTGTCCTCTGTGGCTGGGCTCTGTTCTGTGTCCAGGCCTTGTCTCAAAAAAGAGCTGGCCGCACTCACTGGGCGTTCCTGAACTCCGTGGCTGGGCTCCGTGGCTGGGCTCTGTGTCCAGGCGGCTCTGTGTCCAGGCGGCCTTGTCCTCTTGTGCCCCTGAATTTGGAGGCCGGGGATCTTAAAAGTAACGTTGAGAGATTGGAGCGTCCCTGAATCCTGAAACGGTTTATTCGTAACTTCACCAGACTCAAAAGACGCTGCATTGCAATGATTGCAATGCAGCGGCTTTCTTGTGCGAAAAATGAACATACCAGATGAGTCGGCCGATGACAAGCGGTTTAAGAGAGTCTCAGAGAGGATTGTGGCCTTGACGATAGTTATAGTTTTGTGGGTTCAGGGTTACCATTGAGGATGCAATTGGGGTTCTATGGCCATTCGCTGGCAGATTTGGAACGATACTCCTCTTGTCCTCTGTGGCCCCTGAACTCTGTGGCTGGGCTCTGTGTCCAGGCCTTGTCCTCCTCTTGTCCTCTGTGGCCCCTGAACTCTGTAGTCAGAGCCCTCCAAATGAACTGCTAGCTGCTAGCCCACTGGGTCAACATCGACATAGTGTTATAATGTTTTATGGAGAAACAAACAAGGTTTGAAATCGTCTGGTTGTTTCACATTCCTTTGGGGTGTTGCTGCTTTTTTTCTAACTGGATCCTTTATGCTGCATTTGGGCAACCAAATTGCCAAAAAAAAATTGGAATTGGTTGGAAAGAAATACGCCTAACTGTTTCCAACACCACCCAGTTTTGTGCTCGTTCTCTGCTGCCAAGCAACTGTGCCAAACTCGCCCACCCAAACGGCTGCCTGCCGACTCTCATCCAACTGCTCCCTGGGTGGCGGGGAGCTGGGGGAGTCTACGGCTGTGTCGGTTGGACAGGACAGAAAGGTATAGCCACGTGAACAAGAAAGGAAACCATTCAACCGTAGTTTGCCGCCCCGGTAGATTGCAAAAAGGAACATGCTTTTGTGTGGGAATATGATTTGTGAGTTCATGTTGCATTTTTGTTGCTGCTTTGGTTGGTTCAGAAAGTATGCAAGCAGCTATTTCATAGGCGGAACGCCCAGGCGGATTCCATCTCCAGCAGCCGCCCAAGCTGATTCGCATCGTCAAAGAGTGGATCTTCGAATTTCCCACCATTCTCGCAGATACTAGTAACAAGTGCATCACTACTAGTAACAAGGGCATTGCTACTAGTAACAAGAAACTACTAGTAGCTATTTGCTACTAGTAGTCATGCACTTGTTACTAGTAGCGATGCCTTTGTTACTATTGGGTGCTACCCCCAACCATTCATGACTTTCCATCCAGGACGCCGGCGCGGACAAACCGGACAAGGGGCTCTTGCAGCAGGTAGCCCCAACGATCGTCCAAGTGCTTCCGCCACGCCTGCGGTGACGAGAACTGATCGAAAGAAGCCGCTTCGGCACGCCGGATGGAGCGGACATGAGCTTTGGGGTGAGGGACAAATGAGGAAAGGAATGGAAAGGATGTCTCTGATGTCTCTTGTTCGAACCTCAAATCAAAAAGAAACTCATCAAACCCCATTGAAACAACACAACTCATCAATCCTCAAACATGGTGTTGCTGGTAGCCAAAGTCACCTGAAGCGTCGATGTTCATTTTCGTCCTGATTTTTTTGGTCAGTGTGGAAGCAAAGTCACCACCAATGTGGACATGTTCAACATCCCAAACTCATGAAACTTGACAGGACAATTACTGAAGAACGTGCGACTCGTAGGGAACGTAGTTAGTTCGGGTGGCTGGATCCAAAAGAATCTACATACCTGGGGGGCGAAAATTCTCTTGTTCTAATCTGATTACTCAACCCATACCAGAAAAGGTGGTGGTTCTCTTCTCTCTTCACAAAGAGTTATGACAGCAACTGGGGATCATAAAGAAAGGCCTCATAGGACTGGAGGTACAGCATGGAGGCGCCATTCACGCTCACACAGAAGCTGATGCCCAAGACCAAGACCAAGACCTCGTGTGACGGCGATGGAAAACCTGACTGACCCCAGATGCTTTGGTCGGTGAACTTTTTCCGTACAGCCCATAAGCCGACGCATAAAGCATGCGAACATCTCCAGGTGGGATAGGGCGAGCCTCGCTGGAAAATTCAGAAAGAGCGAACTGGTCGTATTGCCACCAAGAAGATAGTTCACAATCAATATCTGACTTGAAAGCAGAGCTGTCCACTTACGGAAGACCTTGACAGCAGCTGAATTGACAGCCACAACAAATTTAGCTACGTCTTATATACCAGGAGCAAAAGCGCACCATTCAGCCACAAGTCCGACAGTCAGCAAAGAGTTGAGGGTGCTCCGGCTAGGGGGCAATCTCAGAATATGCTTGAATCCCCCACAGAAACGATGTGTGTCTTTTAGGAGGCTCTGCTACGATACTTGCTACGATATATCGTAATCAAAAATTATCCATACCATATTGTAAATATTATAGTTTGTTTATTATAGAAAAATCCTCATATAAAATCAAATTTTACGAATCCAACATCAAATTTGCCCCTAGTCGAGCCAGTGGGGTGTCTTCAGCGCGGATGTCCTTAGTGCTCTCTATGATGCAGCGCACACCCATTATGTATATATACTTCCAGAAGCATGTGCTGTAGAGCAGTCCCAAGAAACTATCTTCATAAAAGCTGAAGATCCTCCAATAGTGTGGTGGGCTGCAGGGCTGTTTCTGTTAGTTTGATGATGTTGTCTGTTTTGGTTCTTCATTGCATATTCCACTCATTTTTGTTCAGCTGCAATTCCTTTGTGGCACAGAAATGACGCTGCCAACTAAACGAGCTCCAACCCTACGAGTGAGTCAACATATGCTCATTTTCGAATGACATCGACAAGCAGGACTATACTTTCAACTGCCAGCACGAAAACATCAAGTTGATACAATATATCTGGTCAAGTTCAAAACAATGAACAACTAACCCAACAGTGGGCAAGGTTCATTCACACCTTAGATTATATGATGGCCTCACAGTTACGCCTTGGACGGAACATCTGTAGGTGAACCAAGTACCAGCTCGAACTGTGATGGGTTGAAAATTCCTTTTTGCGCAGTTGGAGCGGTTGTCCTCCATCTAGCAAATCAACAAATCCAACACGATCCAACTGTTTTCTATTGTTTTCCAACAGCATTCTCCTTCTGTCTCCCTGGAGAATAACCTTTTTCCACTCGTCGGCGTTGAGTGGGGAAACCCATCCCCGAGACGCTTGGGCAAGGTATCCACTTGTCCTCGAACGTTTTCTTGGGAAGGCAGGCGTTCCCTCTGTGGCCCCAGGCACGCGGGCAGCACGCGCGCGACGAACAAGACACGGCGCCTCTTTAGCTAAGAAGGAGATCAGCCATCGCCTTGGCCCCTCCTGTCGTGCGTTCGTAGACCACAGACCGTGAGTTCGTCGAACTTCTCCGATGGGGTACATGAAACGAAGGGGGGGCCGAAGGGAAGAGCCAGGTGAGATCGTCACAGCTCCCAGCCTGGCAGTACTGCCTTGGTCTGGCTACCTTTCAATACCGGAAGAGCTCCGCCAGAAACATCCAACTGTCTTGCACAAAAGACTTGTAGAAACCAACCACCCTGACAAAGCCTTTCAAGTTGGTAGCAAAAGGATCCAAAAGGATCTTGTTCAGTGCTAATGAGTGTGATGAAGTGATGAGGGCCCCACCATGTACCTTTTTGCACTGCGTGTTTACATATCAGTCCAGGTGCAGGAAACATGGAGAAAACAGTGGAAGACTCCTAACACCCGCATCACGGTTTACAGTTTGCATATGGCTCAAATAGCATGGCAAAAATTTCCCCATGAACTCGGGTATATAGATGATAAGAACATCTGGATGTCCAAACGGGACGTAACGTGTGTGACCCCCGCTTGGAGTACTCATCCCAGCTGGCTTTGTTCACCCTTGGTATGGTTCACCTGACTTGTTCTTCTGGGTATGGAGCGATCTACTTAATTACATACCCTGTGCGAAACAAGCATGAATTGCTGGCCAGGGTTGTGCGACATACGGTGCCTGCCACTGCCACCTGAATACACAACAACAAGCTGAGTTTTTTTCAGGGAGATCACCATAAAGAGAGCGCAGCTCATTTCTGCCATAAAGCTGAAATCACCCAGGTAAAGTGTATGTCAATGTGACGACTCACCACAACTTCACATGGATTTTTTTGTAGACATCTAGATAAACCCCTAAAGTTGGAGAAATGAAACCAAAGGCCAAAGCTTTGCAAACCTCACCGATGTCAAGCTGCATTCTGGCGGTTGATCTTATTGGCCATGATGCCACAAGTTGATCCTCGGGTGCTGATTGGTGGGGTCGGGGCCCCCCAATCTCCACCTGCGAGATGGTCATAAATGATGATATGTATGCAAAGGTATGTTCCGTTTATGAACATATGTATGTATGTATGTATGTATGTATGTATGTATGTGGCAATATCTTTATATTACATTGTATTTCATCATGGAAGGGTAGGGGGGGTTGTGGGGGGGGCTCGTGGCCTTGTGCTTAGGGCCTTGATAAGTGAGCATGGGTTATCCATTTTCTCATGTTAATGCATTATTGCACAAATAGCGCCCCTTTGTTTTTCCTGTCCAAGTGTTTTGTGACATTGTGGCCATGGCACAAAAGCTTCAAAACCACCAACACAAACCATTTGCCCCCCAAAAGAGCAGTTGTTGGACCCTCTGGATAAGCACTTGTTAAGGGGCAATCAGCAGGGCAGGAGGGTTTTTGGATAAGCCCTGATTAAGCCTCTGATAAGCCAGAATACAGCCCCAAGGTGATGGCCCCAAAAATGCAAGTTTGAGCCCCATTGGCCTATTGCATGTGACAAAACAAAGCTACAAAAAAAGCCACCACAATGATCCCACCCTGGTAAATGTATTTCTGGCGGAGGGGGTGATTCAATACTATCAGAAGGCTAACCAAAGCTGTTAAGGCTCTAATAGGGCTTTATCCATAAGCTTCTATTAAAGCCTTAATCCGCCGGCCCTTGGGCGCCGGCGTGTTTTATCAATGTGGCTTGTATTGTAGCTTAAATCGCTTAAATTATGTTGAATCTATATGTAATAAGAAAAGTGTCTCTGGAGCAAGTTTTTGCCTCGTCTAACTTGACCCCCCCCCGCGGAATGTATGTAGCTCGCATATATCATAGCTAAAGTGAAAGGTTGTGTGCGCTTCCTTCTTATCGTCGTTCTTCTCTTGTCGTTGTCCATGCATTGCGCTTCTGCTTTGCATGCGTTTTTCTCAGGTTTTGCACCTGCACTCACGTATCTACCGTTTTTTGCAGACTCAGACTGCTTGGAAATCCCCATGCCACACATGTCCTCATTACTCTCTTGTATCATGTCTGACGGAATGCTATGTACGTTTGCTGCTTCGCACGGTCTACTTCGCTCGTTGTGTCACATGTCATATAATTTGTCTTCTTGCTTGGCAGGCTATACTTTGCATCCCCCAATTTCATCTCCCTGTTCTCTTATTGTATCATAATGCACGTCATTTCATGTAGGCTCCTCTGTTGCTCCAGCTGTGTTCTGGATGATGCTGTTACTTTTTCTGATCTGTTGCAGTCTTTCCTCTTGACGCAAAAGGTAATCCGCATCTTGGGTCATTGGCTGAAAAGGCCGGCGGAACAACCCGCAGGGTGTAAATAGGCCTGGTGAAGACTCTATTAAGGTTTAACCAAAGCTATTAAAGCTTTAATACCAATGGATCACTTCAGCCAGCAAACAGCTGCCAAAGCATAAGGGCAATAGCCCCCCCCATAGCCCCCTCGACCCTTCCATGATTAGAACAACAGCTGCAAACATAACTTAACTAAGCATACAAAAGAAAAAACAAACAAACGCGACCATAACAAACCACCAGAAAAGCTACTCCCCATACTGCAGCCTTCCCAGCACCCTGGGTGGACTACCCTGCTTTGTGTTCACGCCAGCAGCTCCATCCTGACCCGTTCTGGTCTTCAAAGTCGCCCATATCAATATCAATCCATCAGAATGTGTGGTGTGGTCCCACAAAGAGGTCCCGGTCCCGACCCTTCATCCGTCCAGAAAACGCCTGTCCTAACCCAGCCATGCCTTCGACATGTTGATGGCACGACGAACCCAAAATGCCAAGAAACTTTAGCCGAACATGCTCTCGTCATACGAGCGAAACGGTCAAACCAGGCATACCATATGCCAGCAAAGTTCAAAGTCTTTGTTGGTGTGATTCTTGACGTCGAAGAAAACTTGATGGGGCCGGAAGTCCGAAATCGAACGACAAAACATCCCAAACGAACCAACGTCATTTCCAGTGATTCCACAGCGTTTCCAACGCCTCCGCCCCCGAGCCCTACGTATCCCACCTGCGACTGGCTCAAGCTCATCGCCATCCTCACCTGGAGAATTGGGCCCTCGATTGGAACTAGGTGTGACCAAAGTTTGGCCACTAGTTTGGCCCTATGTGCCTGGGCCCGGGTTGTGCGTGTGCGTGTGTGTGTGTGTGTGTGTCTGTGTCTGTGTGTCTGTGTGCGTGTGCGTGTGTGTGTGTGTGGGTGTGGGTGTGAAACCCTTGGAGTCACAGGGAATCCTTCGATGTGTGTAGGTCGGCAATCCCACATTGCAGTTGATTGCCCAACGAAGAGGGCTGCAAATGTGGCTGATATCCGGAAGGGACGCCTTCTGGAGGTACCTGCTTGGTTGTGGTGTTCACAAGCGGTCACTCTCATCTTCCCCAAAGTGCAAGTGCATTCTGCAGATGTGCACGATCGCCGTCAGCTTGTCGCTTTTCCGCTTTTCGAGTTCGTGGGCTTCGGAGGCTTCATGGTTGGACTCCACTCCATTTTTAGGTTCCTTGTTTCCTGACCTTTTAGGCTAGGTGGGCGTGTGGCATGTGGCATTCAATTTCCGTACGCATAATCTTGAGTGCGTCTGGCTTCACGCCAGCCCAGGGTGTACCCGACGAGTGTCCCCTGTGGCCCCGTTGAACAGGGGATTGTCCAACGTTTCCATTGCCCGGAAACAGAGCAGCTCGCAGCGAGCATAGGAGGCTTACGGCTTACGCCAAAGCTATTTGCCAAGACTTGCTGATTTATTGTTCGAGCAAGCCATTAGGTAACCACAGCGGTCTCCGTTCTTTCTCTTGCGTGCACATCGGCCCGGCCCTTAGCTTGTACGCGCACATCTGCTTCAAACCCACGTCTCAGGTCGCCCAGGTCTTGACAATGAGGTGGGAGTTCATTGTTTGTCCCTCGTCATTTGGGCGCCCTTCATCGCAACCACATACATCTTTCTCCCGTTGCGTCGCCATGTGTGTGTGTGTGTGTCACACCCCGTCTCCAGGGGGCGGGGGATCAAAAAAACAAAAATGAATCAAAAAATAACTATATTTCAGGGGATCAATAAAAAACGAAAATGAAGCAAACAAATATGTAAACGCACCCAAGCGTGCAGAGGGAAGAGCAATATTCCATTAACGAGCGGGGGATCAACCAAAAAAACAAAAATGAATCAAAAAATACATATATTTCAGCGTGATCAAAAAAAAACAAAAATAAACGGACCCAAACGTGCAGAGGGAAGAGCAATATTCCATTCGAAGCAGTGATCAGAAGAAACAATCAAACAAACAGGAAAGTCACATGAAAGGAAAGTGAAAATGACAGAAAGAAGGAAGAAAGAATGAACGAGTCAATGAACGAATGAAATGAATGAAATGAAACGCTCAACAATTAAAAGCGGGAGGGGGGCGCGGGGGAGGGCGCAGCGCCTCCCCCGCAATGTAACTTGACCAAAAACACAGATATCATGGAGTTTCCCCAATGAATCTTCCTTTGATAACTGCAATGGTCTCTGCGCTGGGCATCTGGGCAAATTTTTGCAACAGCGCATTTCAATTTCACAGCCTTCCTTCCTTCCTTCCTTCCTTCCTTCCTTCCTTCCTCCTTCCTTCCTTCCTTCCTTCCCGGTTCTTTCTATGTTTTTTGCTGATGCATTTGCATTGTTATTTTGATGCAGTTATGCAGTTATATTATTCTTTTGATGCGTCTCCCGTCTCCAGGGGTCTTCTGTCATTTTCGGTTTCTCGTACTGAATCACAAGCAGGTCAAGGCGCGATATCACCAACCTTGACCAACGAAGCTGGGTGATATCGCGGGATATGGGACTTGGCCAGTCCCATGTACCTGCACTAGTCTAGTGGGCGATTCTTATGTCTCACCCAAAAAACAGGAGGCAGGGTTCGTCGGCAGACTTGTCTGTCGGTTCCCTTTTCTTTTTCTACTCTAATGGAGTGATTCGTTAGTCTCGCTCCCTAGCTAAACAGGAGGCTTCTCTTTCCTTTTTAGTCTACCCTAGCTAAACCAACAAGAGGCTTTATTTCCCTACTTCGAGCGATTCACTTGTCTCGCTCCCTTATGGAACCTACCTCTCTATGCATGCCATTAATTCAAGAGTGCTAAGTATTCAGTAACTAGTTTCCGGAATGCTTTGTTGAAACACCTACAAGTGCGCCGACCTACCACCTTTCCGTTTTCAAGTCAAGTGCTACGTAGTCACCACGGAAACACACTAGAATGTACGTTCCTTCACCGGAACTGTCTATCGAAATGTGTCTCTGTGTGTATTGTGGAGGGCCCTCTCAGTGAGAAGGTCGCCCTGCTTCTTCCCATGAAGGTTTAGTAGGGGCGGCTTTGGCTTGGGCGACGGGACATACCTCACAGCAGTTTCGACCCAGTGGTCACCAGGCTTTCCGTCTGTGGGACATGGCTGGGGCGTAGAACTGGGCTGGAGCTTTGGAGGTGGAACGATACATTCAAAAGGTGGTTGTGAAGTGATGCCTAGTGTGGTTCAAGTTTTTGAGGAGAACATGAGGGCTTTGCGCGTGTCTATGTAGTTTTGGGGCGGCAGGGGGGGCCCGCGGGGTGCGGGGGACCAATCCACGTCGTTCGCCTCCTCCAGTCCCAGACGCCTTCAGCTCGACAGGGCACCGAAACAGGCCCTGAAGCGGCACCCGGAGTGGGGGTTGGGCATCGAACTGGCTCTCCTCGAGCTTTTCTCCCCCCAAAGTCGGTTTGGAGAAAGGAACAACCCCAACTGATGATTTGATGGATCCCAAAAATGTTTCTAGGGGGTTGTAGTGTAGCAGCTCTGTTAGGTTGTTTTGACTGTTCTTTCTTCTGTTGCCGGTGATTTATATACTTGACGTCACTCCCTTTATTTCGTGAAACACATAATTGCAAATGACATCATGCGATGCTTTATGAAATCGATTATATATATGTTGCTGATGGGCAGAGAGGTATAGTTTCATCTTTGATTCTTCCGGTCTGATTTCTGTTCTCCTCTTCCCCGAAGCTTTCGTCTGGAAAGCCTCCTGCTGGCTGATCTATCTTGCCACCTGTTGATCTAAAAGTTCTCAGTGATTACTTACTTGCACTCATTTCTCCGAAGCTGACACTGGAAATTCTTCTCATTCCTTCCCTTCCCTCATCCCTTCCCCTATCCAGACCTCTCTCATTCAAATCCGCCATCTCCACATCCTCGCAGTATCTCACCGTCTTTTTCATCTCGCCAGTGGATGATGGTGACAAGGGCGCCTTGGAGCCTGGCGATCTGACGGGATGAGGACGGACACGGCAGGATGCTGGACTCCCTGGACGGGTCGTTCTATCGGTGAACTGCTCGGTGAACGAAAGGACACACGCAACACCGGGGCGAGAAGCTACGAACGGAGCAAAGGGCATCGCTACTAGGAGCAAGGACGCTACTAGGTGCTCCTGGCCTTACTACTAGGAGCAAGAAGCTAGTAGGAGAAAAGAGCATCGCTACTAGGAGCAAGGATTGTTACAGGCTAAGTGAGACACCGGAGAGAACGTACACAAGAACGTACACTCTGCTCCGGCAACAAAGGATGTCTGAAAGCTGCCTATTATAACAGAACGATACAGAACGCGAGCTCTCACGAAAGAACAGTGACTAAATTCACAAATCTTGTCATTGATCATTGGTCTCAAATTTCACCAACAATAACTGATAAAAACTTGACTTTCCTCCACAATCACTTTCACAAGCAGTTATACCGTAATAAGTATAGATATCAATAGTAAGAAATTGTAAGAATAAGTGTCACTTCTTGTTACCACTAGTAAGGCACTTGTTACTAGTAGCCTGGCACTTCTTACTAGTAGCGATGCACTTGTTCCTGGTAGCTTCTTGTTACTAGTAGTAAGGCCAATCAAGCCTTCCACTTGAACACTGTGAGCTCCAATCACCCCAACAGACCCCAGTCCCTCCTTGCCTTTGTCGCTGTCCTCGACAGGCCTCGGGTCTCAGACACTGGACACCCGGGAAGAGACCGAACCTGAAAATGGATGACAATGGAATCCTTTGGAAGACTAGCTTCCTCCACGTTCACCCGTGGAAACAGATTCCATGTTCATCATGTGAGTCTCTTCGAAGGCATAGTTCAATCTGGTTCAATAGATTGTTTCGAGAGTCAATGTTCCCAACAGATATGCTTCCTGGAACACTTGTTTTGGACTTCAACATGTCTATAAGGATGGACAGTGTGAGTCCCTTGCCCCAGAAACTCCTGGTAGAAAGAACGGAGACAAAAATGCCCTTGGTTGGTCTCCCATTTGGAAACCCAACAGATCTGGTGCTGGTAGACCTCTGAATTGGGTCTCGCATGTCGGCGCCCATCCGGCCAGGAATGGAGGGTTGCGAGGCTTGGAATTGTCCATCCCGTTTCAAAAAGGAATCGTCCAACAGTGGCAAGGTCAACCCAGGTGGATACAAGTTTCATGATGCAAAGAACTAGCATCTCCATGCATCTCCAGGATCCTTCAGGCATAGACGGGTCTAGATGCCTACGAAAGTGCTAGAGGTAGGGCCAAAGGGGAGGTTTCGCTGGGCTCAGCGGTCTTCGATGTCCAAGCTACCAAAGCTGCAACAGCAGCAGCAGCGGCAAGCGGAGGGAGAGGACCAAGCCGGGTAGCCACAAGAGGAAGAAGAACACAGCGGCCCAGAAGTCAGACTGACCAGCTGGCTGAGCATGCGTGAACGAGGGTGTAGTTAAGACGGGGATCATCGGGAAGTGTCAATTGAGAGGGTCTTAAACTGATCATTAATTATCTATTATATGCATATAGATAGTTTGACCTGTATAAATGTATAACTGTATGATACATGTCTGAACAAATGACACAGTGGTTACTTTGCATTGGGGCACTACAAAACAGGTCCCGCCGCTGGTGGGCAAGAGAATCAATGACCCTGCATCTTACTTCCATGGATTACTAATATCAATGATGAAGCAGTTCTTTGAGAATTCACAAGTCCTTGTGTTGAGCCTTGCATATCAACATGAGGGACACGCAAACGAAACCTCGAGAGACCCCAGGAAAAAGTAACACGGTTCAAGATGTGTCAAGTGTCTCCAACCTTTTCCAACCAAAGGGTTGTTTGGTAGCACATGGAGAAACATCATAATTACCATATGAGGAAAAATCGCTGCCAACCCCCCTTCCTTGCTTAATTCAAGATCATTCAAGGTCTATCTATGTATAGCTCCGTAGTTGGAGTTTAGTATCTATAATATATAATATAGTTTTCATGGTGTTGCTCTGAAGCCGAGGCTCTTGCTTGCCCACATAAGGCCTCGCAGGCCTTTCCTGTACTATATCTCACACTAGGTATCACCAACCCGAACTGCCACATGTTCAACAACCCCAAGTGGGAAATTCGAGCAATCTCTGTGGTCGAAAGTCTTGGACCTAACACGCGCAGGCGAAGAAGTATAGCTGCCAAATGCAATTGCGTCCCTATGCGACATGAGAATCATAAGAAAATCTGGCCGAGTCTATTGTACATGTCGATGAGAAATGATAATATGGTTGAGGTTGGATCACCACTTTCTTTTGACTCTCCAGACTTATCGCCATAACAGCTCTGCTTCACTGCTCGAGCCACCGAAACCTCTATCTCATCTAGAAAAGCCCGAGGATGGTGAGTCCTTCCAGAACAATAGCACCACTAGTCCTCCAGGAGATGCAGTTTGACCAATCCTTTTGGAGCACCAAATTGGTGGTCGAAACATGCAAACACGAAACACGGCAAACAGCCACATGTCTGTACTCCAAACAAAACGCTTCAGAGCCTTGCCACAGGGATCCGCAATGATGTGGCTCAACAGCAGCAGAAGGCCATGGAAGATCAAAACGGCGACCTGCAGTTAAAGGATCAAAGACTCCAAGGCTGCCGCACAAACCATAGAGCTTGACTTAAAACTTAAAACTAGAAACCCAATATCACACGTTATGAGTGGCAGAAAAACATTGAGGACCCCATATGCGGATGTTCCGCCTTGGACATGGAGTGACCCAATGGGTTAGGGGTATTCATTCATCTTCACCATCTTGACCGATTGACTTAGCACTTCGACCGCTGAGCTTCGCAGAAGACAGCGCCAAAGGACTTTGATCGGCGTGTGCTTTTTGACAAAGGCACCCCCCAACTTATTTCTATATATGTTCAGATTAAACATTGCCGGATCGTGAGGCAAAAAGATTGGGTACTATGTCGGAGTCTCCAGCCTCAAAAACCTCTTCTCTCAGACCTCGAGATGAGAAAAATATCTCCAGAACCCGCTGCTTGAAGTGATTCAGTTCCGTTCCGCGCCCTTCGAACGTCGACCTGCCAAGCCACACCCGACACCCGAAACCCGAAACCACGCACCGTGAAATGCTCCAAGGCACTGCTGCAGCGGCCACCTGCAGGTCCAATGATGTCCAATGGACAAAGTCACAGGAATTCTGGATATCGACTCCAAGAAAAAGATAGAAAAAGTATATAGGATGTTCAACTCCATCTTCTTCCAATGTTCTTCCATGTCTTGTTCCTTCCATTGGAACAATGGATGCTCCACGGTGCCATTAAGAATCCAAAAATGACCCAGGTATGCTCAACACTGAACTCAGAGAGTCTCATGTGTGCCGCTTTGGTCGGCCAGCGCGTGTCCCTTGCCAACTGCCAAACACTGCCGTTGATTAGCGCCTGCCTGGGTCACCAAGCGGCAGCGGAAGGGCCGGCCACAGGCGCGCGCCGCGCGTGGGCACGCGACCTGTAAAGTTGCGGGGTCTAGGGAGGTCCATTGAGTCGGAGGTGAAGAGGTTTGGACTGGCTTTTTGGGCTCTCAAAAGATTCTGATATCGAGGGAGGGGCCAATTTCTTGAGAGTGTTCATATATGTTCATGCATCCATCATGGAAGTTCATGAATATGGGAATTCAGGAGTGTCCAGGAGCTTGGCTGCAGGTTCCACATTGCAAGACACTCACAACCGTCTCACTGCTTCTCGATTAGTAGTCCTTGGGTCCCAGAAGTCCTGAGGTTTATGAACATATAAGTAGAAGTGCAACACAACAGGTCGTCACAATGAATGGACCTTCATCTACCATGGCTACTCATTTGGACTTGCAGTCTTGGAGAGGTCCACTCCAAGGTTTGGAAATCAGAACAGGGAGGAACCAAACTGACTGAGGAGCCGTGGAGGCAGTTCTGGACTCTTCCGCTCTGAGCCACATCTATGTGATTCACTAGCGATCTGGATGGCGCCCGCTTTCGGCCGCAAATACGACAACGCACCTTGGAAGATAGCCGGGGCCGCCAAGCCACCAGCGCGAGCACACCCAAAGCGCCTAACCTGAGCAACAAACAACGTACACAATTTGCGGATCTAGCTTCTCAATGTGGATCTGATCTAGTTTCTTGATGCAGTCACCGGGTTGAATCTCAAACAAGCCAGTGCATTGACGTCTAAAGCACATTGTACGCCGCTGCAGTGCCTTTTCGTAAGGTCAAGTGCTATACACTGCTGGAGTGCCTAAGCTAGAGGCTTGTGGAAGCGTTTTGAAGGGTTGGCCTTGCGAGGCTTCGCGGATTCCAAGTGGCTTCTCAAAATAGTTTCGCGACACGGACATTTAAATATAGCCAGTTCCAGTCTTGTCTAAATCCATCATTCAAGAAAAAACGGCCTTTAGAGGACAAGAGTCTTCCAACACCAGAGACAGTCATGACGCAGGGTTGCAAGGTCTGGACTGGGCCATGCTTAGGAGGTCCAAAACTGAATTCAACAGCAAGCTTGCAAATCTCAATGTGGACCTCCCAAACATCTTCACACTCGGACATGTGTGACATTGCATATCCGGACTGTGCTGGAAAGAAAGAAACGCATGTGACATCAATTGGGCGTGTCACCAAAGGGATTTGCGGTCCGTTGGTCTTGAACATGTGTGAAACTCACCCGCTTCAAAGCAACCTACTAGGAACAAGAAGCTACTAGGAGCTCCTGGCATCGCTACTAGGAGCAAGGACCCTATTAGGGGCTCCTGGCCTTACTACTAGGAGTCTAGGAGCAAGAAGCTAAGCTAGGAGTCAAAAAACTGCTTCCAGGATGAATTGGTGATGTGATGCGATGAGCAGGAGTCATGGCATTGAGACTTAGACTTTGGGATCAACAGAGTCGGCAGGCTCCTCCTCGTGCTTTGACTCATCCCAGCCATGTGACCCCAAACCAAGGGCAGCCTGCCGATTCATGTTCAGCTTACGATGTTCTGAGATGGTACATGATGGTACGAGTACTACTGTCACACGTCCTTTCTGTTTCGAACTTCATTGAACATCGTTTCGCGTCCCGTTGAGCTGCTACACACAGGCAACTACTCCGTCACTTATTACATGTGGATCCATGACACTTGAGACCTTGGCCATCCTTTGAAATTGTTTCATGCGACTCATACCCACCCATGATTGGCCCACGTGTCCAAATGGTGACAGCGAAACGTTGCACAATGAAATGCTCTGCACCATCGTTCTTGGTGCAGGCACTTGTCGAACGGATCGTAGTTCACCTTCAAAGACCTTGGGAGAACCTTCCCAATGGCAAACCAGACTCATGGCTCCCAGTATTTGGCATATCTTGGGCGGCTATAGCTGCTTGGTTTCACCCTTCACCCTGCAAGGATTTTTGGGGGAGACTGTCTCCTCTACTTTGGGACCAACAAAACCAACGTCGTTGCCCAGGTACAGCCCCATGAGCATGCTCGCCAAAAAGAGTGCGGATGCTTCGAAAGCCCGGGACTGCCTCGGCACACCGAGTGCCGAGAAGAAATCGCGGCGGCCCCACCGTGGCAGCACAAAGCACCTTACCACTACTGATGGCCTCCAACCTACTAGCGATGGCCTCTAACCTACTAGCGATGGCGATCATCTGGAAGGACATGAGTGGTTTACCCAAGAACCGACATAAGACCAGACTTGACTATAGACTGTTACCCACTCGCCCTGACCCAATGATGTTACCACATGATGCCATGCGAGAATTCCAGGGCCAGCTGCCTCACTTGGGTGCGAGAAAAAGATAGAAAAAGCCACCGACCCATCTGGACCTGTCATGAACACAGGTCTGTCCCAGACACCGTCTCGACCCCGGTCATGCCGTCTCCCGGACGGAGTGGCATCCGTCAGACGTCTGCAAGACGTCACCGTATACGGGACCAAGTAAGTAGGAGGGGTAGAGCTTCAAAGACATTGAGATTCGGATGAATTGGACACAGAGGATCGATTGGTCATTTTCAGTGGTTGAACATGGTTGAAAATGGTTAAAAACCATATTCAAGGCACCTGTCCATGCATTGGTTGCTGCGAAAATCAACTTTGATTGGATCAAAAGAAATCCAGTACGACGGACGTACAACTGGTGCGACAATGTGCGACACATGGTGACCAGAAAAAGAATAACAGAACTCAGAAAAGTGGCGAGCTTCTCGTGCAAACGGTGTCGCGCGTATCGGCTTTGTGGGAAGTGCTACGTCGAGTTGATGGCTGAACTCACGCATTATTATGATAGCTTCTTGTTACTACTAGTAAGGCACCTGTTACTACTAGCGTGGCACTTGTTTCTACTAGCGTGGCACTTGTTAGCACTATGGCCCATATGGCGTGTGTGTAGTTATTTCGGAAACGCCTGGTCCGTCGACGAACCGTCGAGAACATCGCTCCGAACCGCCACGCCTGGGACGGTGACTCTGGGCTCAAACGAACGAAGCGAACGGACGGTCCGACAGGCTCATCTCGGAGGACTGTGCGAAAGCCAGGGAGCAAAAACTGTGGAGGGCTCAGGTACCAGTCATACTCATGCGAGGTGTAGATAATGTGACCTCAGTCCAATAGCAGTGACTTGAGGTTGATGGGCATTGTCATCGTGGATCACAGGGCCTACTACCAGGTACCATGCGGCATGACCTCGTTCGAAGGCCGTTCTTGAGATCCCACATCCTGACCATACTTGTCGCCGACTCGGATGGAAGAAAGGGGCAAGGAACCTAGTCCATGCATTGGTCGAAGCTGGGACCGAAGAGGGATGAGCCATAATTGAAGAGGATTCAAGAGCAATCCAATAATTGAAGTTCTTTTATTCACGTTATTTTTTGGTTGATCAATCTTAGGAACACTCATCAAAGGTAAACCGTCCTGCATGAACCCAAACCGGGAGGTAAGGCTTACTTTTGCAGCATAAACAAGTGCTTTTCAGGGGTTCGTGTTGGTGAACCCGCGTGTGCGACTTGCTACCGGTAAGCCAAACTTGTGCGGTGTCACTTTCTTTGGTCGGCCGATTTGCTGTCCCACAGGCATCGATTGTTTTGTTTGCCCATGCCACTGATTGCTCAAGATGTGTAGAACAGTCAATAAGAATGCTTCAGTCTGGGCATTCACAACTGACAGTTTGGAGTAAAATACAGATTTGCCCTGGCTCTCTTCATCTCTCTTCATGCTGTTCCAACAATGTTGTGCTTTGGCCCTCGAGGTCATTTGAAGACTTGAAGCTGGCAAATCAAGAAGACACGAGCGTGAAAACGGAAAAACAATAAAGAGGCACAGTCAATGTTCTTTTTAGATATGAAATTGATGGTATGTTGGGTTCTGTGATGGTTCTATGAAACATGAGTTGTTCCAAGTCGCTCCGGAACTCCAAATGTAGTGGAGCATCAGGAACTCTGCAAAGGTACATGCTATACCTGAGCTACCAGAACCACGTCCATATTCCCTCACAAGGGCTAATGCCCATCAAATGACAATGCAAGTGAACAGGGAAAATGTTTCCACAAGGAGGCCTAAGTCTCTCATAAGAAGCGCTTCAGGAGGGGTCAAGGCGAAACCTAGTCCATCTTTCAGGGTCCTGCAGAGTCATCTACCTGCATTGGAGGTGGTCAACCCAGAGCTGGGAGACGCGAAGTCGATGTCCTTTTTGGTGTTTCGGTCTGAAGAATCTTCAGTTCTCTTTGCATTATAAGCATTCTTCAGATAAAACGGGATGCAATCAACGAACCCGAATGCAAACACGCACTCAAAAACAAGTGGCCAAACATTGTTTGACACTCTTGTGGGGCACTCTTGCGGGACACTTTTGTAGGACATTCTTGCGCAAAACTCTTGTGGGACACTCTAGCGGGAGACTCTTGTAGGAGACACTCTTGTTGAACACTCTGGTGGGCGACTCTCGTGCAACACTCTCGCCGGACATTCTGGTGGGACACTCTTGTGGAGAACTCTTGTGGGACAATCTTCTGGGACACTCTTGTGGGACTCCTTTGTGGCACGGTCTTGTGGGACACGTTTGCGAGCACTCTACTCTTCTGTCTTATGGGACACTCTCGTAGGACACTCTTGTTGGAGACTCCTGTGGAGCACTCACTCTTGTGGAAAACTCTTGTGGGATACTCTCGTGCGACACTCTTGTGGTGTGCCACAGACTACATACAACGATGTCACACCAAGCGCCGTGGGCACCGCCAATCATCCCGCTCCCGAACGAAGCGCCGCATTTACACCAGCATGCTTTCGTTCACCACATGGCACGGACTCACGCAAACACACTTTCCACCGAGGCCGCTCAAAACCGCATGGCACAGCGACATCACAGACGTATTATAATTTGGCGACATCCCGCACTGCATTTGCACTACAAAGTTGCCAGCTCTGAGGCCACACCTCCCACAAGCTACTTCCCCCACTGCATATTGATAAAGTTCTGACTCCACAGCTCCCAGAAACTGCTTCCCGCACTACATCTGCACTGCCAGTTCTGAGGCGAATCGAAGCAACAGCCTGAAATGCAAATCCCAATGCCACAGCCACATCCAACACCCCATAAACACAACCCTTTAAGCGCCAATCTCATTCTGACTGCAAAGAAAACTGAGGATCTCCATGGATCACACCCTGCGCAGTGAAATAATCCTCCACACTTCAACACGTTACGTTTCCACACGTTTCCTCGCTATTTCATATGCATCTTACGCATCATGAGTCATCATGCTTCCATCCAAAACCCTCTCCACAAGCTTCGCCCAATGTTAGCGCATGTTAGCGCCATAGCGACCTACTGCGAACGGCTGCGGACGGTTGCGGTCGCTACGACCAAGACCCCCAGAGTTAAACGAGAATCCTTCGCTACGCATTTCGGAAAGCTCTGGAAAGGTGATGATGCGACGGAAGCGTTGCTTACAAGTGAAGATCCCCAAAGCCCCTTTGGGAAGTCAAACAGGCTGAACCCTAACGACCCCCCAAAAAAGCCGGAGACATTTCAGCAGAAACATGCTCAGAAACAAACCCACCGTTCTTCCGTTGTTGGAGTGATCCCTGCTAGTCTTGAGACCATACGACCCCCCGTCGTCTCGTGGCACAGCGTCGGCTGCGTCGGCTGCGGAATCCGAGCCGAGAGTCTCGAGACCAGAAATCACCACCTCAGAGACAGCTGGACAAGTGTTGCTTGGCTGGACAAGGGGCCCAGTGAGTCTGTCTTTTGCATCCATGTGTTCGTGGATTCGAAACACACTATCTCCCATCCATGAACACCATAGTCACAGTCATCCATAGTTGGTCTGATCGGTGTTGGTGGCACTGCCCTGCCTCCTCCGCAGACCGAAAGTCCAAACCTTCCTCGACCCCAAAACGTGGTCCAGAGAATTCCGACCTCCCTTGACGGTTTCTTTCGAAACCAAAGGTGAGGCATCTCGGTTGCTGCTTCTCAAAGCGATGTTGGGGAACGAAATGTTGCTTCTCATGGTTCATCCACCACACGGCTCATCAAAGCATAGCAACCCCAGATGAAAAGACCTGAACCATGAGTCTTCCCAAAGAATCATGGTTTCAGCCTTTCATGGATGTTTGCCCTGAATCTTTGGGGTGTATAAGAGGCTCATCCAGAAACCACGACCTCTTCGAAGATCCTAAGGGACTTTTCAAACAATACAACTACAGACTCGCTCTGATCAAGATTTCTCCTGTGGTGGTCAGCTATATTTACGTGATCAGGGGCCATCAGGGGCATGACCTCGGTAGATACAGAATTGGAAAAAACAACCACCGCACATCAAATGTCTCGTCGTAGACAATACAGTATAATTATATATGTCTCTGCAAAGGGATAGCGGATCCTTGGACGTGCTGGAACACAAAAGTTCCCAGATCGAGACTTTGCGCATAGATCTACACTCCCCCAACTAAAACGGCATCCTATTATTATATAACTACGAGGCCAAACCAAAACATACTACGGTGGCTCGACATCCCATGCTAATTCATTCTGTTCATTCTCCTAAGTGTTGGTGTCAGAATGCCCCCACCAGCTCCCAGTGCCGGACACATCACATCATCTGACCCATCTCCATTCTCCATCCCCCATCTCTGCGATCCCAGTCACCAGCATCTCAGGATCTGCCTGCAACACTCGCTGTGTGCCCAGGCGAGCCGCCCGCGCCCAATCGCTCGTGAGGTCGCCGGTGCCCCAGCTGGGCGTGATCTGTTCCAGGCGGCTGAAGAGGTGCATTTGGCCCATCGGTGACATATTATGATGATGTAGAACCATGTAGACTCTGAATTCTTAGGCCTGAAGTTTTACAATCCATGTCTGGGGGAATATAAAGAAGTGCATAGAATAGAATCTGAAACCATGCACCAGGAACTTGCCTGTGCGCTACAGCCCAAGCACGACAGTTCATGACAGGGAGGGCTTGTTGTACCCTGCTGCAGCCTGCGGCCCTGCGGCTGCGTGCCCAGACCAAGGCTATCATCCGTGGGCGACTTTAGTAGACAGAATTCCTCTTGTACCTCCTGCACTCCTCACCCACGCATTCAGCACTGACATACTCTGAAACGACGAAACGCCTCCTGGACCATAGCTCACTGGGTGACCAACAGGTCCTACACAACCTGGCTCGTGAGCAGCGGCCTTCCTTCTATCCATGCTCGCCTGCGTGGTCTAATCAATGCCACGAGTGCTCTGTTCTCTTCCAAGACGAACAGGTTTTCTGATGATCCAAACACCTGTGCGCACCCTCTAGGAGACACACATGAGCTGCGACTTTTGCAGGAGCCAAGATCACCACGCCGCCATGCGCAGGATCGAACACCTGGTCACGAAGACAAAATGCCTAGGACGGACAAAGCCGGGTCAAAACGCGCTTCGGTCTGTTGCAGTCTCTCAGTGTCTCGCAGTCTCTCACGCTTTTTCATGAGCCGAAGTCTTCCGGGGCCCAAAAACGAAGCGCGAGGGCTGAATGAGGTTAGTCAACCTCGCCTGGTGAAATGGTGATTCAATCTTTTTCCCGGAATTTCCCGGAGGCTTTGGATCTCACCATTCCTCTCTATGGACGTCTTTCAGGTTTGGTGAACATGGGGTAGCCACACAAGTGCGTGGTACACACACACACACACACGTGATCACAAGTGTACTTGCTAACGAGCCCCTGACACCCCTATCAAACAGGCGCCTGATTTGAAACCATCTCACAGGACACGGACCACCTATCAGGTCCACAGTAGATGTTGTCGACCTGGCAGATCTCCAAAGTGACTGCCCAGTGGGATCATGGCACCCCGAAACCTTCACCTTTCCGTGGCCCCCCACGTGCATCCCAGCGCCCCTGGGCCTCCTCTGTCGAGCGGATCTCATTTTTCAGGTCGAGACCCACCACGCGCGCGTTGGCACGGTAGCGTGTGGCCATGAAGCTCAAGTGCTGCAGCCAGGTGGACTCCTCGAACAAGAGGTGGACGACCCCCGAGGCCTGGTTTTTGGAGGTGTGTCATAGGTGATAGGAGAAACCCTATTCCCACAAAAAAAAAAAAACAACGTGTTTTTAGGAGGTAAGAAAATGACCATGTACTATGGTAATTGCGCGGTCGAATCATGTCACATGGGCACTTGAGTATCGAGCGGTGGCCAATATTCCTTGTTCCGTTGGTAATTGCTGGATTCTTTTGACAATCCACTTTGCATTGGGCATGCAAGGCTTCATACTTCTGTAGCACAAATACATGCGGAATTATATATATATATATTACATGATGAAATCGCCCATACAGCAGTCCAAACAAAAGAATGAGGATCCCCAACTGTCACATCTGATTCATTTTGGGAGTTGCTAGTTGGCCCTTGCTTGCCCCCTTTCAAAGCCCTTCTCAGGTAGCCCAAAGAGCCTGTCCCTACAAATGCCACATGTGGGGGCAAAGGTTCACGGTGATCACATACACTTCCTCAAACAATGATAGATCGCATGGAAGTGGATGGGCCCCTTGGATGACCATTTTCGTCTGCAAACAGGTGGTGCCTTCCACTTCCATACCTTATTTCAAAATGTGCGTTGATGCTGAAGCAAGAAGGAGAGCACCACCCAACTGCAACCAAGAACCGTCTTGAGGAGAATATGTTAACTTTTTGCCGGTTGGCGTTGCCTAGCGCTGCCGGATGCTGCTTCCGGAGGCCCAAAAGAACTCCATGCTCCACATTTCATAATACCCTCCCTCATTGGGAAGTAGAATGAACAAATCCACGCAGTCCTGATAGTCCTCTGTGTACCAAAGGCCCTCACCATCATCTGCTGACTTAGCACAGCTGCGCAGCTCAGAAGGGGGAGCCAATTTTGGAAGGTACCAAGATGTGTGGGGTGGCTGGGTCAAGTAGACGCTGAGGTCCATCCATGATTGTATCGATATATCGAAGCAGGTCTGCCAGTTCGTTCTCTGATATGATCACTTCAGGTGAGTTCGAAAACAAGAGTTCCGTTGAGCCGCTCAACACGGTGCGTTGGGCCCCAGCAGCCCCGAAGGAAGCCATCATCTCAAAGAGACATGAGGAAATGGATGGAAATGGGTACGGTCATTTCATGTCCTTGGAAAATGATTATCATTGTTGTTAACCAAACAATCGGGCCATGTGAGTTAGGGGGACTATCACAATCTGACGAGTTTGGATTCCACCAACGTCACAATGGCATCCAACAGGAATACTGACATTGTGGGTGTGTGCAGCCAAGGAACACAGCACCAACCTCTGTGGAAGACATGGTGGTTAAGAACGATGAGCAAGCCTGAAGCAGAGTGTGGTTGCCAAGCAATTCCCCAAAAAAGTGAGCGAACGTATGCGAACGTAATTTCATGTAATTTCATACGCGTAGTTCGTCAAGATGTTTCCTGTGATCGTGGAATTTCTGTGTTCCTCTGCCTTGTTGCACTTTGGTGGTTCGGTGGATCTGCAACGCTTTGGGGTTGGCCAAGTGAGTTGGGTCTTTCCGAACACGAGAAGTTTCTCTTGCAGAGGACCTGCCATATAAATCACATGAAGGATCTCAACGACCACGGTGGTTGGTGATGTCTCCCCAAAGGCAGCCTCTTTAGGGGCCAAGCAGGAACCTTGTAGAAGTCCGCAGACCTGAAGCAAATGTCTCACAGGTTTATTCTTTGAAAAGGGAACGTCTTGTCCGCCACCAGTCTCAGTTTGCTGACTAAGCGAAAAAGGAAAACCAAAGTCATCAAACACATTCAAACACCATGTTCGCGTAAAGTGTCGGCCATGGTCCGCTAAGCAGGCTTTTCATATTGAAAAACTCTGAGCCCAGCTTTTCATATTGAAAGTAGACCAACTGGACAGTCCAAACATGGTCGTGGTAGATGTTGCCTCCCGTATCCAAACAATTCCAAAATCAGAGAAAGGATAAACATATTTGCCATCCTTCTGACTCAAACCACCCAGGTTAGACCTGTTTGGTCTACATGGTTGAGATTACTTGGGCATCTAGTTTTGGGCCAACTACAATACGTGAGGATCTGTATTTGACTGGAAGATTCCAAGGGTCTTTGGTGCACATCGGAGATTCCAAGTTTTGATGTACGCCTCCTTGAATGCTCCTGAAGCCTGAAGTTGTCCATAAAAGCTTTCAAATCCTCAATTTCTAGAGTTTGGATAGTTCGACATAAAATGCTCTTTTGGCGAACCCAATTCTTTTTGTCCTGCCAATGCAAGCTGATGCAGCTCCTTGTCCTCCAGAGAAAAAGGACTAACCCTGCCTGCGTCTGTCAGCGCTTCCACTGTGGCATCAAAAATTTCCAGCGGAGTCGCCGCCTTGTGCGAAACCAGCAATGTGATCATGTAGATGGGGATGGGTCAAAACCGTAGACAGCCACGGGCCAGACATAATGTAGATTGACATCTCTGGTTATGCACACATGTTCAGCGGCAAACCAGGGTCCTGGGGTTTTGACCCGCACCCAAATATTTGTTGCACTGTTTCCATGATTGATAGATTGCTCCATCATTACTCCTGATCTGCCCCTCGTTCTGTCTCATGAATCAGCACGATCTTTCTCCACAAATCAGTACTAATTCAAAACAAGCCAAACCAGTACTCACGGCTCTGATGGTGACTATGCAATCTGCAAATCATTGCAGATCGATGCAGATCGTATTTTTCATGCTGATCGGCCCAAAACTCTTGGAGAAATGAACAACAAACTGTCGGTCCCACAACCGCCTGCAGCTCAGGATTGTGGCAGAGCGAGGAAAATCTCTGCGGGATCTCGGCAGCGCTCAAGTTTAAGGAGTCCAAGCTGTAGGGCAAACGCACCTGGGTCGAAGGGTCTCAGGGTCGGAAACCAGTTCGAGGCACCAGCGGGCAGAATGGAGACTTCGTGGCGAGTCGGGTGTTCGTTGCGTTCGTGGCAATTCATCTCTTAATGCTTCTGAGTCTGTGGCCATGCTCCAGCGTTCACTTGCAAGAAACATCTGGAACCCATGCCAGCAAGGCATCTGTCTCTTCTGCACGAGTTGGTTCTTTGAAATAAGGGCCCGGAATCGTTCATTTGTGAAGCTTGCCATAGAGTATTCCAGGGCGACCAGTCTTGCCATGGTCGGCGAATTGGTGGTACACCGCTCCCGAGCTTCTCCGGAGTGGCGTCTTTTCCGATGGCTTTGCGGTCCTCGCAACGTTAGAGGGGAACCTCCTCTCCTCGGAGCCATGGTCATCACAACCCTGGGTGGAACAGCTGGAGTTCGACGGCTGCCCAGAGGAAGAAAAATGGTTCGTTGCTCAAGTATGGCACAAGCCATAGACTGCCATAGACCATGTGGGGAGCAGCAAAATGTTCCACTTATTCTAGAGTGGCTTCAGGGTAAAGCCAGGCAGGGTGATTTATGAGATTCCCAGCTACATCGTCAGAGAGCTGAAAGCTAATTGAAATCATGGTCTTCCAGGATGATGTATGTGGTCTCATTTCCAAGAGTATACTGAATACCGCATGCCGCATACATTTTAAATTCACCCCCCGATCTCGGCGGACCAAGTCACACGTGATCGAACGGAAGACTTGGTGACATCCGGACCACCCATCAAGGTCCAGACTTGGACAGGTTTTGGATCCCAAAAATGAGCCCAAATAGATTTGAACCCAGAAAGTCACCCAATCCACCAGATCTGGCCCAAATAGAAACGCTGTCCAATTTCATGTGGCAAGCGCCTTCGCATTCCATGCACCGTAGCAGGGGGGGAGTCACAGGCTTTGCACTATCGAAACGTCACTCGATGCTGCGGACCGGTCCTGAGCAACCAAAGACTGGATTCGCATGGAGAACAACGAACAAGACTGGATTCCATTCGTTTCAAGTTTCGAATCCAGAGAATGCTCCGAAACGAAACACGGCCGAAGACGGAAGGCAAAAAGACCGCGCCCTGTTTTGTTGTGTCTTTCCCTCCCCCAACCGTGGTCTCGTTTCAGGAGGAATGAAAAACACCGAGGAGACAAAACGAGCCATGCCCAAGCCTCTCCCGACAAAACAGAACCTCCGGCGAGCTGCACAATTGAAGGCCTGCAACTTAACGATGTCCGCGGCAATCTGTGCCAATCCTGGCTGCCCCAAGGATGCGCGTGCAGCGCTGGCAGAGCGGAGCAGCCGGCAGATGTCCACACATGTGTGTTACTTTGATTCTTACAGAAGTGGTTACAATACAAAACCAAACATCTACTGTAAATGAGGAGACCTCCCGCTGAGCACATGTGAGTGGAGTTTCCCTTGTGCCAGTGAGTTGGGACTCCCTGGTGACGTAGCCGTCTGTTGCATGCGCATGCGCATCTCTTTGCCAACTGGACTTCAAACATCTTGCAGTCACTTCCAGGCAATTTGCTCAGACTTTGGGCACTTCCTTGTCACCTGGCCCATCTCCCCTCACCACTGTCCAGATCAGATCCAGCGCTGCACTTCTGCGATCAGATCCAGTGCTGCACGACATGCAGACCCCCCGACATGTCGGCAGACCCCCCCAAAAAAAGAGTCCTTTGACGTTCACGCCGTCGTTCACCAACATCTCCATATGAGCACCGTACCTCGCGTCACACTGGCCTCACTACCTCCAAAAGACCCTCACACAGCTGAAGAGCTGTAAAGATTCTGTGACTTGTCCTTTTGCACCGTCTATTGGGTCCCCTGTGTCCGTAGTCCCCGAGTGAGACTCATCCACGGCATTCAGCCATGGGGCCAGTTCACACATGCCAGCTGATAGGACTGCTGATCTTGCCCCACCTCAGAGCCGAGGCCGAGGAGTGCGAGGATGGGTCAGGGCGTCTACGCAGGACTCTCAGGGATGGGAATGCTTCAACTTAAAAGTGTCACACTTGTTGAGGGACGGCACCCAATGAACTATTGATTATGATAATCATCATGATGATCATCATGATGACGATGATCATTATTAATGATCTTTTGCTGGGGCGGCGACAACCTAATCCTAATTAAAGATTGTCTTTTAGCTCATGATTTGAAGGATGAACAGAAGTCAACTCACCCTAGGTTCTTATTCTCCACCTTGGGAAAAACACCGGCGGTACTCCCAATCCAAGACGCCAGCCGCGAGCCGACCACACGCAAGGGCAGGGCCCAGCTCGGCACGAGATGGTGGTTGCTTGGTGGGCTTGATGAGCTCTCGGCGCCCTGGCTTTTTCGGAACGTGCAAGGCAACGTCCCCACAGTGTCTGACAATGATGTCCTCTGGGTCAATTTTGTATGATATACTGTAGCTGTTGGTTGTTCACTTGCGCGTATCACCTCTGCTTCTCAACAAACCAATAGGACGTGAAAGGCCATCGGTGTCTGGCTCATCTACGGAGATGTGCCGGGAAAGCTCTCCAAAACTGAAGAATAACAACATAGACGACACCAATGGCACCTCTGAGATTAGGCGACCCGGATGAAGTCCGGGGATCTGCTAGGACCTAAAAGGACCTTTGCTTGGTTCTGTGATAAACTCCAAAACCACCAGAAGCAAAACAAAGAAATCCCAAAACCGTCAGCCAAAAAGCCCTGCCTCGCATCGGCCTGGCCCACACAGGGAAGCTCCCGCAGTATCTTTGTGAAACGGGGCGCCGGAGGGATGTAGGTGGCAATCGCCTGGGGCGGTTTTGCGGTTGAACAGGTGTAATAGGTATGATTGGAGGGGATGGGGTTTGAGGGGTGTGGAAGCCTTGAAAACATGATGTGTGTTGATATGGACACATCACAATCACCCATTGGAATCCAAGAAACATATACCACTGGCTGGTAGGTCATGATTTTTCTCAGCGAAAGAAGTGTTCTCGCGTCGAAAGACTGTCAATAGAATGTGATTCACAGCAGTAGGTCAGAACCAACAAATCACCAGCAAGCAAATAAATCGAAAAGTAACTGTTCCTCAAGAAAAACAAATGAAGTTCATTGACAAAGTAACCCAATCTTTTGTGACCAACTTGTCCTCAAAGGAAACACTTGTAGAAAGCTTGTAAATAGTCAATTGACCGATTTTTCATGGATTAGTAACCATGACGTCTCCATCACTCCGGTTTGTTGAACTGTCTGAACGACTATAGTCCTTCTCCTCCTTGCCGAGCTCATTGCTAGGGTTTTGAAATGCGTTCTGCGAACATGTGACATGTGTTGCGGAGGAGAGGTTGTGTGGGGTCTAACTTTGGAGAGGGTAATACAGTCAGGGTTGTGTGCGTCAACAACTTTAATTCCAATGATCGGAGTCTCCGACCTGGTTCATCAAAGAAACACAACAACCGATGAAGGGCAGCAGTCCAGCAGGATTCAGATCCAAGCCATAAGGGCCTCCCTCTTCCCTCAAGCGCTTACCGGCTATACCCTGCAAACGAAAGTGTAAAGCACCATACCGTAGCACTATAGCACTACAAAAGCCCCAGGAAAACATGTCATTGTGCAACAAAACACGATCAGCTTCTATTTTGGGATCATCTATCTTCCACTCCTGCAGGTCTTCTCCTCACCATCTGCCGCCATCATCTCGCGCGCCTGGAAGCGGCCAAAAAGTGATCAGGCTGCAGCCATCAAGCTCCGTACAGCGTCTTTGGCAGTCAGAGGCCTTGGATGACTGACACATGACGCGTGCCTCCGCCTCCACCAAGATGTCAAAACCATTTTTTGTGATGATTCTATATACTATCTTGATCTCTAATCATATCTAATCTTTTTGCTGGAGTGAGGGGGATATCCACCATGTCAACGGCGTGGCAATGCTGCTGACGGGACGTTCCACACAATGTCCGGCAGAAATAACCAGAAGATTGATGCGGTTCTGTGTAGAAGTTCGTCCATGATCAGTAGGGAGAGGAACAGTGACAATTAACATGCAAAAAAACAAACAACTGGGAGCTCTTTTAGATCGATGACTTAATGTTATTTGATCTCAACTCATATATAAATATAAATATATATAATATATTATACGATATAATTTATATATATATAATATTTATGTGCACAGAATACATTTCAACAGCCCCCCTCATCCACAAACCACATTCTTGCAATTAAATCTGCCTACTTGAAGACGGTCGGGCCACGTTGGCTGCATTGGTCTGCATCATTGGCAACGCATACCTGGCCACGACTGAAAGCTTCACACGAACGAATGGGGTTTGGAAGCCTATTGCAAATGTATGCAAATGTTAAAATCCTTTAGCTTCACTGGTTGTTCCAAATCAACCCAATCTCTACTCAACCAAGAGAAATGATTGAATTGATTGAATCCTCTAGACTCTCTAAATCATGGAGACTGAGATAACAGGCGTAGTAGCTCACACACGTGAGGTTTGGGCTCCAGAAGACTTTGAGGACCCCCGTAGTAACGTGTCCAATGCCAGAGAAGCTGGTAAAGCTTTAAACCCCACTCAAACTCTTGGCATAGTGTTTTCCTGACATGGTAGCTGATATCTGATAGCTCTTGTTTGGTGTGCCATGTGTCTTTGGGACTTGTGCCAAGAATCCTGACCAGGATGTGAAACTTTGCAAACTCTTGACCCTTCAGAATCGGTCCAAACAGGGACTGAGAAACAACATGAAACGACCATATTCAGAGGTGGGGGCAAAGCATGTCCTCCACCCTGGAGAGCTGAAGCTGCAGACCTTTTGGGGGGAGAGAGAGAGTTGAAGAACCAAGGAACTGCAGCCAGGCTTGCAGGCTTCCCCAGGCCCGTTTGGAACGTCCACCACCTGCCTCCCAGGCCCAAGGCATCCGTGCTCCGCACGGCAGGGCCCGGCGCAGCGGAAGTTGGAGAGGCTGCAGCAGTGAAAGGAGGGATCTCCTAGCCACATGGAAGGCCATCGCTGCGAACGGAGCAAGAAGCTACTACTGTAGTAGCTCCTGGCATTACTACTAGTAACAAGAAGCTACTTGGGTGGAGACCATCACTACTAGGGTGGAAAGCTGGGTGGTGGAGCCGGGTCATCCGCTCCACTGCTCCTCAATCGAGCGGATTCGTGACCGTGCCGGGTTGAGAGATGAGCCGATCGGGCTCTTCACAACTCCAACGATCGGGAGTTAATGTGCCGATCGGGACGGCGCCAGAGCGCCAGCGCGTATGACGGTAAAATGCATCGGACAATTAGGATTGGTGGGAGCCTCTGCTGAACTCTAGATGGGTACGTTGCATCATTGCTGAACTCACCCTGCTGGCATGCTAAATGAACGTCCAATGGTCGAAAGCTGTTGTTGAGCATTGAGGGGAAGCGACGTGCAGATACAAGCTATCTTGGTGGTCATTCACCCTAAAGTTCCGTGATGGACTTGTGATGGACTCGACACCAAACCACCACTGCTCCATCAACACGAACTCATTGGGTCGAGTCATCAGGGATGTCTCAGATAGCTAGTTCCAAAAGGTCCCCTGGCTAATGTAAACTGGTCATGAACAAAACCAACCATATGGAGGTGTAAAACCCGTCTGGTAGGGTAGATATTTGTGACCAAGGTACCCAATTTGACTGGAGTCGAAGCTGCTGGAGGGCACTTTTTCTCAGGACAGGACTTTCTGCGATTTTGGGGGATCCCGCCTTGGGAACCAACCAAGTTGTGCCTCGGATCGTTGCCAGGAAGTAAGAAAATGTATGAAAATGTGACTGTTGGTCTCCACTGGGCTTTCAATTCCTGTCTCATCACTACAAGACTCACCGTGAAAGGTATTTCAACACTCAAGCACTGTTTGACATATGGGATGCTAAATGGTGTTGAAACAATCTTGGGTCAAAGCTTCCGCTGATCCACGGCATGGCCACATGTTGCAAAGACTCTCGGAAAAACATCAAGATCTTCTCAACAATCCGCAGGTCCTGTTGCCACGCATCCAGCTGGACAGGTCCAGCTGGAATTGCCTCACAGGGGTGGGCATGGATATGAAAGAAACTGCTTTTTCTTGCGGTGGTCAGCGCTTGGGGTCCTCTCCTTTGCAGGGTTGTGAGGATTGGATATCCAAAACAAACTAATTATATACACTGTACACCGGGATGGTCAGAAACTCCAACTCTCCCCCCAAAAAAACACACAAAATGTTACATAGGGCGAACTTCGCACGCCTCACACCCAAACATACCCAACGATCCGTGTATGGAATAGTTATACAGTTACATACGTACACTGATTATATTATACCCCATGAAAATAACCCATCCATGTAGGCAACGACCTTCCAGTTTGGATGATCTGGCATGAGATCATCAGCGACCGATCCGCGAAGCCGGGAAACCGTCGGAGCCCGCCTCGGCAGCGGTCGCCATGCTGCTCGTCTCGCTCGAGGTGAAAGCTCTCCGGGCAGGGCTCCGCCATTCATCCACTCCCGTCGCGGGGGCGAACGCTGAGTTTGAGCCAAAGAGGACCAGGTGGGACCACAAAGCGGGTGCAGCGTCGGCATATGTTTCAACATGTGTCAAAGCACAACAAAATTAGGAGTCGCCCCGCAGTTGATTCGAGCTCCATGTTTGCTTCAACCTTTGGAACGGATCCCGGTGGGTCGAGCCAACGAAATTTCGTCGGACGTCGAACTCCAAGCTGCGATGAACCAAACAGAAGTCTTCAGTTTGAGCAGCAAGTTCCCGTGGCAAGCAACACATGAGTCGAAATGTATTATATATTGTACTTATATGGACTTATATAATATAAACTCAATTGGGATATAAAAGGTTGGAATGCCAGTTTAACAGCTCAGATACTAGACAAACAACCATGATATCTTCACCATACAAGCACTTCTCAGTAAAACCTTGAACATGTGTTGAATCGCATCTTCTTCACTACGTCGATTGAATATTGATGAATTTGGAGTCCAACAGTACCTTGTCCCAAAAGCACCAACTGGACCCACCATTGTCCACAACCACTCTGGATCGACCACATCCGCCCGCCCCATTCCCGATGACGGTTTGTTTGTCCCACGTGTTTCCCCTACAGCAGGGACAGATTTTGATGCCATGTCTCGTCCATGTGGGTGTGTAGCAAAATAGGTAGACCGACATTCCAAAGAGACTCCCTGGAAGGTTCAGGAAATAGACCACCAAAACACCTTGGTTGGGGGATGTTGGGGGTCTCCCCTATTTTCATGTTCCCCTCCACTCCTCTCTTGTTCCTCTTTCTTCACCTCATCTTCTGCGCCACGGAGGCATAGATGCTTCTCCGGACGCTCCCGCACACCTGGCGGACCGGACGGGGTCGGTCTCTCCGACCGTTGAGCCCGGGCTCTCCGGTGGAGCGGTCGGACGCCCAGTAGCACCGAGCGTGGCGTCCGATCTCCCAAAGGCCCCCTGCGTGCGGTGTTTTGGAGCCTCTCACCTCTCACCTAGCTGCCCGGAGTGGTCCGCCAGTCCGCTGGGTGTCTGACAGGAAAATGTGGCTTCAAAGTGCAGCAGCGATTTGCTGAGAGGAGGCACTGTTGCTTGTAGAGTCTTTTTTGGCGCGTCACAACAACGTGCTGGCCGGTTTTTTGTAGCTCTCCAACTCAGAATGGACTTACAGTAGGTCAGTAGGTCTTTGTGGAGTATGGTGGATCCAAACTTTGACTCCAAACAACCCAAGTCCAAATCCAAGAAACTTCAGTCGGCATCAAAATGTTCATCATCACCTGGTTTCGATGCTTCGGTAATGACTTATGCCATCTCATGCCTATATGTAGAAACCAACACCCACCAACATTCCTCAAACCACAAGGATCATCAGATCAAAAACCAGACTTGCTAGTCACAGTGTCAAACCCCCAAGAGTTGTGGGTGACCCAACCGATGTGCAAGTCATTCAAGATGAGGACGGTTCCCCTGTGTTTCTCATTCCGGAAAGCAAAGATATCTTTGTATATTGATGTGGAACAGTTGTATAAAGTTATTATATACATGGGTAATTACCCCCACTTCCCAAACATAGCAACTGACAAGGTGTTCAAGGAAATTATCCTTCCATAATGTCGGAACTACAGTAGATGATCTGGAAAAGTGTCAATCCATGTAAAATGTGAAACCGCATTCTATGTCCAAATGCGCTCAGGGTGCTCCCAACCTCTTTGGCTTCCTTCTCCTTCTCCAGCGTGTCCTGCTCAGACGCCTGGGACTTCTCCTGAGCCCCAGCATGCTCCAGTTCCTTGCGAAGGGTGCCGCCCGGTGGTACGACGGCCACGTTCCACCGGTGCCACCGGTAAAAGGACAACACATGATACTTCATGAGTCTGAGTGTGCTCCTCAGTCCTCCCAACACACCCAAGGAGTTGTTGATGTGGAATGATTTGTAGATGAAAAACCCCTTGAACGCATGAAACAGAACCATTCTACCAATCTCTCGGCCTCCCAACGAGGCGGGCCAACCAACTTGCCGCCCCCAGTGTCATGGCTCTAAAGTGAGCAGTCATCTTGGTTGTGGTCCACTCCTCACAAACACTCTCACCACAAAATCCAAAACATTGGCGAATTCCCATGTTTGGTGGTTGAATGAATGAACCCAATTGTGCATCCACGAGCAAACATGGCACAGTGCTCAGCATCTCTGGAATCCTTGTGTTGCTTCTCCTTGACATATTTGACATGGAGATATATAGTTTGTTGCAACCGCCCGGCCCGAAACCCTTCGGCAACTGTGATATTCTCTCGATGGCGATGGGATTTTTCCAATGGCAGGGAACTCCTCCTAAGCCACCGCAATCCGTCCTTAGTCTGACTGAGGGGACTACTGATCTGCTCGAAATCATTTGAAATCTATCAATCAATACCAAAAGGCACCGAAAGGCACAAATCTGTTATCATCACACTGGCCTGAAGTACTGCCTGTTGCCATCTGTTGCCTGAGTGCCTGAGTTCTACAGATTAAATGCACTCCGACTCCACCCACGGGGACAGGCCTGTTTGGAGGATGTTGCGGGAGCCTGACACCGGTGATTCGTGGGCAAATGATGAGTGCCATCCAATCTGAGACCAACAACTCTCGCGAGAGTTGTACAAAAGGCCCACCGCAAGACTGGATAAATGTTCCAGCACACCCCAAGTCGTAGCTTGGAGCTCAAATGTGCGATGAGCTCAGATGTGGCTGGCTCATCAAGTAGCCAGCAATGACCTCCGTGTGTCCTACTTAGGGACAGTGAGAGGGGGGCAACATGGTTGGAACCTTGTGGCCGCCATGGTTTTGAGCCTGGCAAGACGAGGTGAGCTAGAATACACATCTTCCTCAACCCATACCCACCAGCATAGCAGGGCATCGTTCCTGAATTTCTCTCCTTTCCGTTCGAATCTCCGTGCTCCAGGAACCGTGCCTTGTGGGCCGTGCTATCCACGTCAAAGCCCGATAAGGATAACCTCCCGTGATGGAGCGGCTTCGCCGGCGGAGCGCGGCATCACACACGTCTGGTGGCACATGAGGCGTGCATTTTTGAGGCGGGCTCGTCCCTTTGGGGGGAAGGGCTCTGGTGGTGACGTTGGCGGTTGGTTCAGGGGGAGTGGAAGACACGCATGCGACCGGTTCGGTGGATTTTCCGATCTGGTCGCACGTCGCAATGAGGTCAGAAACCGGGGCTCAAATTGAGTCGTCTGCCTGCAGGTTGCGGGACATAAAACTAAATCGACCAGGACACGTTTGGAAGAAAAACCGTTTCAAACACCAGTCCAGTGCAAGATGCCCCCCGATTGGAGCAGGATCCAGCAGTTCTCCAGGATCCAGCAGTTCTCCATCCAAGCCATCTGAGCCTTTCGCGTTCCGGCTGTGTTCTGAGAGCCCTCACCGCTGCGCCAGATTGGGCTGCGCCAGGTTGGGAGCACTCTGGCGCGGGACCCGAGCCTCAAGACGTAGCGTGTGATGGTGGCGGCGAAGGGCAGGTCTCTCGGTGTCTCTGCATTTGGCACGGCCAGAAACAGCTGAGACACAGAAAAAAGGCAGGCTGGAGATTTGACTGACCTGCCCTTCCCTGAAAACAGCTGACGACGATTGGCTCAGTTTGGTTCCCCAATGCCCAATGGACTGCGATCCATGAGTGTCAAGGCGTCCCAGCCGATTGGATTATTTTAGCCGTGTTCATCATCCCAAGTGCTTCCCTTCTCTTCTGTTTTTTTTGTCTCACAAATTGGAGAAAAGACATCGTGTCGTGCCGGGACTGGGACGACAAACATCTCTCGCCCTCCCATCACGACCACACGTTCTTAAACACGTCGGAAACATGAGAACCGCACAAAAGGGACAGGAAATGCCGGAAATGCAAAACTGTCCAACTAACACAGGTTTTGCGCAAAAGGCACACCAAAATCACCTGTTAAGGTCCCTGTCGGTGGGCCACCTCTTAAACCATCGGACGATTTCTTCTCCATAGGCTCCGCCTGTGATGCACATTTCCTCACGCGTACTGCGCCTCACAGGAGTGATTTGCACAACGGCCCCCACAACTCAGGACAGCAAGGCTCATGATCCAAGACAACATGAATCGTTGGATGCATTCTGGGGGATATGTCCTTGAGATTCCAATCTCTAAATGGCCAAGCTATTGGCATTATAGGTTGAGTATATCCCATTCCTGTAGACAGTGGATGATGATGTTTAGTTTAGTAAAGGCCTTTCTCTAAAAAAGTGATGATTGATTACCGACTGTTGCTGGTATATAGTAGGACACATCAGTCAGGAACAGAATGCTTCCTCCCTGAATTCAGGAATCCGCTTTTGCTTGTTCCCGACCCTCCGACCAACTAGCATAAATATGCAATCTCCACTCCCATGAGGTTGTCTTGAACCCCACTGAGGCACAATCCCCCACCACTGAGACTCCGCAGGACCCCCCCGCAAGCCCCTGGACCCGCAACCTACTTTGGTTTTCCCATCCTTCAGGAACCATAGCCCTCATTGCCCTTGTACAGTACAATGGATCCCAGAACAGCCGCTTCACTGAAGACTCTTGAGAAGCAAAAAACATACACCAAACCAACCCGCCGAACTCCTTGCCTGACGGGCCCGACTCGGCGGTAGAGGTCTCACGTCCCCCTTCACTGCTGGAGTGAGTCCTCAGATGTGAAATGAAGCCCAAATCCAGATGTGATGAGACTTGGGGTGATGGGGAACTCCCTCTGGTGATGGGGAAGGGGTGGCAAGATAGTGTAGGTGTGATTGACCTTGTTGTCGCTAGCGGGCTTAGGGGAACTCCCTGTAGCGACCTGAGTTGCTCCACTGACGCGACCCGAGATGTCGCTCCCTCCTGAACCGGACAAATCCAGTCCCACCAATCACTGGAAAAGAGATGAAAAGATCACCCGAATTCACCGAATCGCCGACCAGTCCCATCTGACTCTGATATACCCTGGGGCTCCTGTCCCATCTCCTCAGGTTCGGTGGTTAGACCCCCCTGGCACCCACCCCAACCATCTCCTCATGGAGCCCTAGGGATACGTCAAAGAACCGTCTGAACCCCTTTTCCTCGACCACCCCGCCGATTCGTCGCGGACCCGTCGGAGCATCTCTGAGCTCCGCGGGAGCATCTCCGACGATGGTTTGACGCCAAGCTCCCATCTACCAAGAGTCTTTTGCTTGCAAAGGGTCTTTTGCTTGCAAAGGGTCTCGAATTGATTCAAATTGACCCCTTAATTATACCAGCAAAGACCCCAAACAGCCTCGTCGGCAGGAATTGTTGTGGTGGGGAAATGGACTCCTTAAAAACTGTCATTTCTTCAACTTCGGGAGGGCCTTGGTCCCCCCGCACGGCCGCTGGCAGCGACTTTCGCTGCTGCCGGATGGACAGGAAGGGGAAGCCTAGTGACGGCCGAGCCATGCGTCAAATGATGTTGCTGCCAGTGGCATCAAGTTGTCACAAAGGAAATTAAAATACATAAAAGTGCTGTATGCGTATAAGTGTAAACATATATAAGTATAGATATAGTATGATATAGTATATATACATGCATGTTGCATGTTTGGATAGCTCTTACTGAAACAGGATGACTTCCCCTTTGTAACTTTCTGCAGGTCTTAAAGAGCCCATGGAAAAGCCATGGAAAACTGAACAGAGAGGCCTTCAGAACGATTAATTGTATGAATTGCTGGATGATTGGGATGCCTACACATATCTCTCGCTTTTCACTGTTCAGGCTTACCCAGGAAAAAGTCCGCAAGTAAGGAAATACCCCTGCGTTGGATCTGAGGTCAAAACCGGTCAAAGCCCACGGAAAACGACTTCAATCATGGGGGATGGCCCCTTTTTGTAAAGAAACGCTTTATGACAGGTGTTCGCTTGAAACGAATGCCCGTTTCGTTCACTCCAAAGGCTGAGGGCCATGCGAGTGTGTCCTTTCTCGTCTTTGGGAGCCATCTCCGCCCATTTCCGTGGGTTCCTGCAGTATTCGCCAGATGAAGAGACGAGCTTTCCCTTCGCGCGTCCAGAAACTCTGCATTGTGACAAGGATGAATTTGGATCGATCTTGCATTGGACATATATGATTCTCTTTGGACTAAGGATGAGATTCCATTCAATTCACCTGCGGTCCCTGAACCCATCGGTCGAGTCCTAGACCCTGTGAAGTTCTACCTGTGAAGTGTGCAGTTCGAGTTGCAACCATACACCGAAGGTGGTTTCGACAGAGTCACTTATATATCACCATGGTGAGCTTCCAAGTTTCATCGGGTTTCCCCGACTGTAATGATTGAGCATGATTGAGCCATTGGGTGAACGTTTGAGGATTGAATCCTTAGTGAGAAATCGACCACCGAAAACCTCACACGTGGCCCCCCCGCCCCCCCGATGGTGCCCCCTATATGAGGGTCTCCGTCCTCCTCCCTTCGATCGACTCAAAAAAGACTCAAACGCAAACGCAAACTGGCGGGCCTTTCGATCTCGGTCCATGCTTCTTGGAACTGCTCCAAGAAGTTGGCCTTGAGCTGGGAGCGGGCCGGGAGCGGAAGGAGCGGAAAGTAGGAGATGTGAAGGTCTTAAAAGGTCTTAAACCTCAATGTAGATAGAATGTGAATGTGAAACATGTCAAAGACCTATACATGTGTCGTGTTGAAAAGGTTCCAAAATATTGGGAAAATGATACAGAAGAAAACATTGAGTGTCCGTGATGGCAATTGATCACCCGAGCCTTCCTCTAGGTTTTTTGGTGGGCCCCAAAAGAGGACGTCGAGCCTTGAAGAAGCTGGGGTAACATGTTTCTTGGCAGCTCCAAGAAGAACTCGTTCTTTGGCTTTCAGCAAGCTGCTCGCGTCTATCTATCCTTGACAACAGACGACAGCTGCTTAGTGGCTAAGTTACTGGAGTTCAACCACCACATATGGCTACGTGTAAGAATTTGTCTTTCACCATTCACCATCCATCAAACCCCTCTAAACCTCGCCCCCGGCCATTTTGGACCGTGGCGAAACCACCCTTGACCCCGATTCCATGGATGATCATGATAGTCATGGTTACCTCTTCATCCACTTCACCCAACTAGCATCTCGCTTCACATGGAAATTGCGCGTTCTCATCAACTAAACAAATGATGCCCTTATTTCATAGCTTGAAAAAATCAACCCTTTTTGCAAGCTTGAGGGGCCAAGGCGGCCAAGCTGTCTAGTACCCTCCTCCTGTGTCATCTGCACCACTGGATCCCACCGCGTGCGCGGTGCCGTCTCGCTGGCTCCGCGTGCGCGGTGCGACCGTGCAGGTCCAAGCGGCAATGTGCAAGAAGAAGGACTCCACCGGTGGAAGCTCAGCCTGGAGTGGACCAAGGTGCTGGTGAATGTGAGGGGAACTTCACCTGGAGCTTGGGGGGTGAATACATAGACACGATAGACATAGACCATGGCCGAAGCGGAGGACCTGTATTGAGTTCGAAGCTGCACAAATCCATTTGATCAGTAGTGACTGCGCCTGCCTTGCACGTTGCTGTGCACGGCGCGAAGACCGCAAGATTGGCCAGTGTTTCACTTGGCGAAAAGAAAACACCGCCCTCCAATCAAAGCCCTTCGAAGCGCCTGCTTGCGCTCAGAGGCAGAGAAGAATTTCTGTGCCACGGCGCACTCGTTGAAGGCCTGGCTGTTTTTAAGGTCAAGGCCGGGAGTCCTCTGAAAGTGGTTTTGTCTGGCTAGCGGCTAGATTGAGCTCAAAGCTGAGGTGTGCCATGTTGAACATCGAACATGGAAACTGGGAACCACAGAAGAAAGATGACTCCATCCACACATCTGCAGCTTCAAGATCCAAAGTTGAACTTCTGGATGCTTCTTGGATTGATGGATTGGACCATGTGCACTTTGAGGCTGCCTGGTTATCGCAAAAAAGTTTATTGTATGTTATAATGCTATATATAGTGCTATATATATATACACATCATAATATACCATACTAAAGAAAAAGATTGCTTCACTTTTGCTTGTGAAGCATAGAAACAAATGTTCTTGCTCACCAAAACCAAAGTGAGAGCCTAACTGAACCCCCAGCCATGCTCACTTGGCTTGGTGTTCTGGCAGCTCTTCATGCACCCATTGGCAAAGGAACTGAGATGTCTGGGGTTCGTCAAAGGCATAAGACCTTCCTGCCAAACTCCAACACCAAACCCACCAACTTAAATCGGGCTGATCGACTCAGGTTTGATTGCAGATTTGGTCGGCTGGAGACCCCCAACACCCCCTTCAAACTCTGTGGTGCCTGGTCTGGTCCTCTCCTTTTCGACACAAAGCCCCAACTGCCCAGGCGTCCTCATCGCCAATCTTCTGTAGCACATCACTCTCTTCTTTCCACCTCAAAATGGCTACCAAGTCGGACTTGTTCACGGATGTGTGTAGTAAAGGAAATCATGCCTCAAGCGACAAGTCGTGCCAGGACCTCAGATGGAGGTAGATTCAGTTCAGATCTCCACGGCAGACCATGGGATCTCCTGTCTCCAGAGTTGGGAGGTGTCAAGCCTTCCTTCGACCAAACGCCTTCGAAGAACCCAAGGTCTAGAACGGGACTTGTGTGGGTGACCCGCACGGTCTTGAACCAAATTCAATTTTCACCGACCACTGAGTATATCCCTTGGTGAGAGGACCAAGAAACACGTATATCATGTATAGACTATAGATGATATTCCCCATTCTTCCCCTGGATCCCTCAAAAACTCACCTTCAACTGGTTCAATATCTTCCAATCCTCTGTTCTCCTTGGCCCACACCTTATCTACCCCCCGCTGAGCGCTCTCACTTCTCCATTTCCTCACGAAGCTCGGCCTCAGCGACGGCCACCAGCCGGCCCTGCCACCCCCTGAAGACATGGCCCCCCCCCTTGAGCCCCTTCACGTGAAGACATTGCGGTCACAATAGCATTGCGAAAACATGGGAGTGTTTCGTGATTGTTACGTTGTTTCCAACAAATGGGCCCTGTCTCCCGAATTGGCATTTCCCATCCTCCAGAAAGATCTTGAAGGTCTGGAAGATCCTTCAAGAACCTTCCCCACCACCCAGACCCACAGCGCTCGCCCCTCCGCAGCTCTCCCGCTTCCCGCCTCTTTCTCTTCCGAAGGCGCGAACTGGCCAGTGTGGGGACCAGTGACTCGACACTGGAGGGTTCGGGTAGGGCCCGGGTAGGGCACCGGTTCACCAGGGTGTCAGACAAACCGAAGCCACTGTGAATCCTTGAGTCGTTCAAGGAGCTGCCGGTGTTGGACGATGTTTCACGATGTTTCACTCCTAAACACCTCACCTTTTCATGGTACGAAGTGGGGAATCTGACGACCTCCACTGACGAAACAAACAAAAGACGCGCCTTTGTCCAAGCTAAACAGTGCCACTCTTCTCAACAACCCTTCTAGAATGAGACTTCCCAAGATCAATTGTTTTGGCAACAAGTCACCTTGCAAGTCCAGCATGAAGTTCTGCCCAAACAAAGACTGAAGAGATGGTGACGGGTTGGATTGTCAGTTCCTGGGAACAAGAACAATGGGAATCCAAAGAATGGTGCTCAGAAAAAGGAATCCTTTGCGACCAAATGCTCTGCATGGACGATCCTGATGGCGAAGCAAATACAGTACTTCTCCCAAAATTGTGGTGTTGGCTTTTCATCGCATCCGCACCGCTTGTGTGTCCAAGCGACAGTCATTCTCAGTGGGGCAACCATCCCGCCAAAAAGGGTATACCGGTATACCTCTGATTTAACCTTTATTTAGGGTCTCCATTTTGCGGTAACCACCTCTCTCAAGACAAATCTTCTGTAACAACTGACCCAGTCAACGAGTCTGTTGAAGCACGAAACAGTCGCCTGGCATCCAAAGAAAAGTCATTGGCTGTCCATCGTGAGCATCATTACTCTGGACATCTGGACCATGGTGGACCATCCTCTGCGTTATTTTGACCCATCCCCAAGCGGATGGAACTCATCCCGAACAGCTCTCTTCACATGACTCGACGTAGTGAGAAGAAAAGAATACAGTAAAAAGCTCCGCGACCGGTTTTGGCGACTTGCAGCACCTCCGCTGCCTCCTCGTCCACGGTCAAGAGAAGGTTCAACTGCGAAACCACGAAGGGACGGTGTGTCGAAGGAGTGGGATGATGAACAATGAACAATCCACTGGGCAACATCATGGAGATGTGGGATGATTTATTGTGTTCTTACCCCCCTGAAGGTTCACCTACCATGCTGTTGGGGGATCTGATCTTTACCTTACTCCGCCGGTATGGTAGACATAGTATGAGAAGGGGATAAGAAAATGCAATGCACAAACGCTACATGTAGATTGCACCGGCAGGGGCATCTCATCACTGGATAAAAAGGAACTCAAGTTAAGGGGCGCCACATGGGTATGTGGAAGGAAAGAATCTATTTGGCGGATTGAAGCAGCAGTAAATGTCTGGAGTCTTTACTATCTATATATATATATATGAAAAAGTACCTGGGAAAGCTCATCTGAAGTCTCCCCCAGTCACAAAAGTATTGAAATGTTGATCTAGACATCAACCATCGATCCTCCTTGTCTTGGAAACTCATCATAAGATATCAATAGATATCGTACAGTATATATATATCATCATAATATGTCATAAGTCATCACATCTGGATCGTGTTCAGAGACATGCTTTGCTCGGTCAAGTGCCCTTTTGGTCTGGTACATGTTAATTTCCCCTGCTGCTAGTACACCGTACACCTCATGTACTTGAGCTTTGCTCAGGGCCACCATCGCTCGCGACAGTAAAACAGCGAATCGAAGAACAAACCACTGCTGGCTCCTTTCTCCGCATTGCAGTGGAAGAGGGTTCGGAGCAGCCATTTCAGGGGGACCTCTACAAAGTACTGCTGGCATAGGGAAGCGGATGGGATGCCATTAGTACCTCTCCCACAAGTTCCCTTGTGCCAAAGACCCGCTCCGCCTGCTTCTCGGCTGTTTCAACGTCTTTCGCAAAGGACTGACAGTCGCCACAGTTCCGGGATCGGCCAGTGGGGGTGCAACCCTCTTCCAAAAATACGTGCAGTGATGCCATGGTGTCTATCGCAAAGAACGTGTATTATGTATGAATATATCATATATGTATATGAATATACAGTATATGCATAGGGAGTTATGATGAAACATATTGAAACATACGTCGGGATGTTGTAAGAATATGTACGAATTGCATTCTGAGGACAGCTCTCCCTGGTGGTTCTTTCCGTTGAATGTATGATGTGATGCTTACAGCATCTTACAGCACACGCATGCACCATAGAGAAAAGCACCACGTAAATGCTCACGTGTGGTACAGTTGCATAGCTCCTGAAGGAATCCTTAGGGTAAACTCACGCTGCCGACAGCAAATACGTTCCTTTACAACCACGAGATGGTTGCAGGGACTGACTTGACTTAGAGCTGGAAGAATGGTTCTGTATGTAGGAAGTGTCCTCTTGGGGTGTTCTCTTCGTGCGGTGAAATGCCAGCAAGGTGGTCATGCATGCTTCAGGTGGTCGTGTATGGTGATGCGTAATGGTAAAGTACGGACATTCATTCTGCAGTCTATCGGGGTGATGCGTTTACAGCAATGGCAATGGCCTCCAACCTAGTAGCGATGGCCCTCCAAGCTATTAGCAATGGCCTTCTCCTCAATCATGTGATGTGGTGAATCTCTTCTTGCGCTGCAACCAATGCACCATCTCAGGGAATGACCTTGATTCAGAAGTCTTTGGGGAAGTGAATCGAGAGTACATTTCGTGCTGTTCATTGGGCGCTAATGCATCTCTATTGCTGTAAAACCTGGGGCCATGTGAGACACTCTTATTGTTTCACTGCTGTCCACCTGTCAAACTGTTTGTGTAAACCGTTGAGATTCTGTGGCAAGAGCGGACTGGACGCTAGACATCTCTACTTCAGCACCAGTGGCTTGTTAGACTCCAAGGTCGGACATCATCCAACCCCAAGTGTCCATGTCCATTCACTCCTGGTAGCCTGAAAAATGCAGCCCTTTTTTGGACAACAAAGGGCGTTCTTTTTTTCCAGCCTCGTCGTGGATCACATATGGCTGGTAGGTTGACCTGTAGTCTATTCTGTTACACCCGGCAGGCGTGACACGAATCTAAGCCGCACCCTCGGAGTCTCTGATCCAGCGCACGGCCAGAAGGGACCCCAGCGAAATGTCTTGAACCGAAGCAAGAAAGCTATTCTGGTCAGCCACATGCCCAAGTTCACTCTCACCAAAAATCAAAGACGCCGCAAACGATTCTCAGCTGGTTGACGGTGCTGTTCCGCTGCGTTTCTCGGTCTTCTCCAGCGTTGATCGGTCTTCGTCCGCCTCCCGCCAACCCCGATCCAAAAAAAGACGGCCTCGATGGAGCCCTTGAGCAAGGCGGACTTCTCTTTGGAGGCCTCGACCGGGTCACGGGTCTCTTGGCGCAGGTCCGCAGGAGTTCACCCATGGGGTGGTGGTGGTGGTGGTGGTTCCCGGTGCCTCAAATCTCTTCCAAATCCCCCACAAATTCGATGGATTGTGTTTTTTCTTGTGACATGTCAACTACTTGACCACCCTCATCAAGGTTCAGAGAAATCTGTGAAACCGGAGTCCCGCAAATGAGAAAAAACAAGGACATTGATGGAATATCCTATGCCTTTAGACACGGCCTGACAAGCACATGAAGCATACCGTTCATGATTTCCTCACTTGGCTGTGGGTCAAAACCTCTCAATAACCATGGGAGGTTGACAGTTGACATCCCTTGGAGAGGAATCTGATCACGGGTCAACCAGGGTGCCCCGGTGTTTTGACCCACAGCCACGTGCCAAGCAGATGTTGCGTCACAAGGAGGCCTGGCCATGGAAGACGTTTTTGTTGAGGCACTAAACTAAACATTCTGAACGACCCTGGGCACAGGCGCTAGCGCTGTGAAAAACCTGACAATATATATAGTCAGACATTGCAGTAAAACTGCACGAAAACAGTTGAATTGTACGACTCCCCTGCGCCAACCCCGCGCCTCCTGCACACTGGACAAGGACTCTTTGAGCCCCTGGCAAAACCCGTGGTTGCCACGAAGAGGTTGCCTTTTTTCCCTCCGGTCGTCGATGGCTCACAATATGTCTGAATGAGATGCTTCTTAGATACAACTTGAATGAAAGGAAGTATATAAGTGTATTTAAATGCAAGCAAGATCTGTGTTGCGGACATCGGTAGCCTGGCGCCATTTAGATTAGAGGAACCTTTTCTAGTTGCACCACATGTATATAAACATAGTTATATTATATATATATCAACTTGAATGCTACTTGATCCTATCCTATAGATTCCTACAGATACCTGATGATACCTGAAGCTGCAAATCCTGTTGCCTCCAAATCCTTTTGTTTTGAGGGCCTTGGATCGAGTGTCATACCGTCCCCCAAACGGAGGGGTGCCGCGGACGTGTAACACGGACGTGTACCATGGAACGTTCATACAGAGTTCCGACCCACAACCACAACCTCACAACCAGCACATTCTTTTCAACAGTTGAAAGTTCACCTCTTTCCCATCTTTCGAAGTCCCATCTGGTCCTTCTGGAGTCATTTGGTGCTTCATGGTGCTTCATGATCAATCTGAAAGGGGGATGAAGAGCATCACTTGAAATCACCTGAAAGCAAGAAACCTTGAAGCATCAGCTGTGCATCCTTTTACGCCTTTTACCTGGTGCATTGAGACGCCTGGAAGAAGTCCGTGTTCATGGATCCCAAGGATAAGCACAAGAAGTGCATCGTCGACACCTCAGGCCCCCACAGGTGCGCAGCAACGACACCAAGAAGTTCCGAAAACACGGACGGAAGATTTCAATGGCAGTCTGGAGTTCTTCTTAGAATTGTTTTCTGTTGCCAAAACCACCAAGCAGGCGTCTCTCCTGGTGAGAACGGGTCAACTGTGATCGATTCGATCGACTCTGCAGACCCCGAAAAATGTCGAGGAAAAATGTGTCGAGGTGTCGATCTCTTGCCGATGAGGCACCCAAACCACCCGAAATTGTGAGGTGCTGTGTGATTCTTCATGATTCTGCTCACAATGTCCAGTCAATGATGGACTATCATGGATATCTGATATCTATATGGATACTCCTACTCTGGTGAGACTCGATGCATGAATGGCCAAAAAGGTTTCTGGGTGCAGGATCGTTATATAGGGTCTAAGAATGGTATACTGTATGTCACGAGAAGAATTGAAAAGCTGCAGAACCGAGCTGCAACGACATCTGCACGTGCTGATCCAAATCTGCAGCTGTGTTCAGTGTTATATATATATATATTATATAATTATATATATATATATATTTACATATACACAGTATATAGCTCCATTCTCGCGGGGGCCCGCGCCGTGCCGCTCTTGAAGGAAGCCAACGAGCTCAGCGAGTCAACGCTGATGCCGCGGATGGTGGCTCCGTCCACTTCCTGTGTTTTGACCTCCTGCGCAGAGGTCAAGGAAGGTGTTGGAAGGGAGTGGGTGACCGAGTGGGTAGGGGGAGTCAGTCTGGCAGAGTCTTGGCTGCCAGACTGACTATGGGTTCTGAGTTCTCGTTTCCTTTGGACGCCCAAGGAGTTGGGGCGTACCGGGACATGCTGGAGTGCGGAGGGGTTCCCCCTAACCCTGGAAAGTCATGTCTGTAGACACTGGAAGAATCTGATCGTCTTTTCATGTTTCAAGGAAAAATCACTCCTCTAATCCTTCCAAAAATGTAGCACCCATGCCCCATGTTCCCAAATGTGCCCCTCCAGTGCTGTTCCTTTTGGGGGGCCAAAGACCGACCAATACATGCTCACATAGGACCCTTCGGCTCAGCGAGCCGGGGTTCGGGCGGTTTCGTCTCACTCCGAGCCGCCGAGTCGCCGAGTCGCCGTGCACCGTTCATCACGTGACGCTCGATGTCCCCAACGTGACGCGCCCAGTGGATTCAGAATGAGATCCTTATCCGAGATCCTTATCCTGCAACGTTTGGTCATCATCTGACCCTCTTAAGTAACATCTCTTGAGCATGCAGAAACCTCCCAACTCCAGAAGCTGCAGAAAGTACATGCCAGTTTGGTTAAGTGCTGCATACCAACAAGCGACCTATCAGTGGCATCCAATGATTCCAATGCATGTCTTTTGTCATCGGCGCCTCCTCATCAACGCCGTGGTTGATGAAATTTCCCACCTGAGGTCGCCCAGGTTGCCCCATCCGTCACCCAACGAAAGGAACTTCTAGGCTTCACATGTCACATGTCTTGCATCATGTTGGATGTCTCCAACTGGAGATTGCCCTGGCAAGGGCTTGCAGTGCCCTATGCGCATAGGGGATATCTAAGAGCAATGAATTTTCAGCTTCCTGCAGGCTTGTAAATCACACCAATTGATCCGGAGTCGTGGCAAAGCCAGTTGCACTGCCAATTCAAAATCACGTGATTCCAGAAGGACACAAAAGACTCACACTTTTGCGGCCTGCCAAATCCAAGAATCCACACTCCAAAGGCCTGCTCTGGCTCTATCTGGTTCTATATACTCCCCAAACAAATAACAACGGCTGGGCCACCGGACACGCAGCACCACACTGAGCATCTGCCGGAACTCTTCGCTTTTGCGCACCTGTCCCGTCGCCGGCGTGTCGCCCGTAGAGGTGGGTGAAGAGTTGGAGAAGAGGCAGCTGAAAGGCTTGGGACTTCGCCCGTTGATCACCACCCATTGTTGGGATAGAACCGATAGGACATCCTCTTGGACACCATCCTTTTAGACCTCACTGAGCTTGCAGACTTGAGGACTTCAAACACGGGCTGACTCCAAGCAGCCCTCTTCGCACCGGAGCTGTGCGACCGTCGGCGTCGCGGCTCGCAAGACTCGCTCCACTCAAACCCGCTCGCTCGCTGGTGTGCCAGGAGTCACCGGTCCACCGAACCGACTCCGCAAGCAACGCCGGAGTGGCCTGCTTTGCTGCGTCTTTCAAGACCTGTAATCATTCAGAGGAAGGCTGAGTCGACTGGAGATCCATCAAGTTGACTGCAAAATGGAAAGACTCAGCACATCCTAGCTCTAAAAAGTGGCCAAAGCTTAAAAAACAAACGATGTCCAAACTGCAAGGGTGCTTTAAGGGCACTCCCAAGGGTGTATCTTGTCCTGTGTCCTTCTGCAAGAAAGGCAAACATGTGCGACGCAGTCATCTACCGAACCTCGCAACGAACTTTGATTCCACTGTAGGTCCCCTGGTGCGACAAGGCAAACCTTGGGCGCAAATGGTGCGGATCGGAGGGGTGGTTGTGGGGGTGAACTAACCTTTAAAGGAATGTCAATCCCATGTGTATGTCTCAGGAAGAAAAGGCTGCAGGGTTGTTCTCTTAAATTAGAAGAAATTAGAAGAAAAACCTCAGGCTTCAAGCTTTGGAGCTTGTGCTTGGGATTACGGCCAGAACGGGCAGAATTGATGCACTGGTCAGTGAGTGGCGGATTCAACCCACCTGCAAAATGTATGGACAAACAAATCCTCGGCTCGGGATCAATGATTCCAGGTACCGGATCACCATGGGCACAACTCTTGAGATCTCGATCTGCAACAAGTCACTCACTCTGCAAACAAGTCTGCAAAGCATAGATGGAATGAATATGATGTTGCAAACACATGTTAAGCATATGACCACTTCCCCATTGCGATGTGCATGGCAGTGCATGGCCCCATAATCAATCTATTTGACACATTTGGGTACTGTAGCGATGTCTGCCAGAGTTCCCTTCTTCCCCTTTCCTGCGGCGCCAAGGGGCTTTGCCACCTTCATCCGCACCACTCCCTTGTGGAGGACGCAAAAGGGCATGACATTCTGTTCCACCTGCGTGGGGCAATGCAGTGTCCAGAGGAAGAAACGTGCGGAACATCATCATGACGGGTACCGAGTACGTACGGATAAAATGCAGTACGATGCAAATGTTCTGAAACAAAATATAAACTGCAGTAAGTTTCTGGAATGCAGCGTCTAAAAAACCCAAGCCTTACAGTACGGATGCATTCCAGAACTACCCCAAGTGGTACGTTGTGGTCGCGACCGACTGGAATTGGAAACCACACCAACATACACCAACCACATCGTGGTGTTGATCGTGGCGCATCAGCACGTCAAGGGCTTCATGGGATCCCACAATGCTCCCCTCAATACACACATGTAGGATGGACGTGGGTGAGAATGTCACTAAATCTGTAAGACATTGGCCCCATGGCTTTCGGAGGCTGTTTTCGACCTCTAGAACGATCCCACGTCTGTCACGTCAGGTCCAAGGTCCACCTAGCACCGAGAAGCACTCGAAAAAGCTCTCCTTCCTCACCCTCACAGCGCCACCCTTTTGACGTCCCTCACAATTCCACCATGCTCTTGGAGCCCTCCACGGCGCTGGCCGCAGCACTGGCCGGCGCCGCACGGGCAGTGCCCCAGCGAGTCTGGGCCTGGTGGCGCTGAAAGCTGAATGAGATACAACTTCTTGGACTTCTTGTGCTGACAAAAAGTGATTCTTTGGTCATTGGAATGCAACTTCTTGTGCTGAAAGCCTCCATCCCTGGTCCCTGGCTGTTGACATGCAAATAACGTGGGGACCGGCTTGTTGAAGCCCTGGTCAATTCAAATCTCTTCATGAGGAGGCATGATCTCATCCATAATTCTCGAACTTCCCCTGCACACGTCCAATGCAGGAAAGGTCAATGAAAGGGAACTCCTTATTACTTGAAAGAAATTGGGGGAGTGGAGTTTGGGGAAGCCTTCTCATCTTTAGTCCACCCCTTCAACACTGGAGCCACCGGAAGAAGCCGATGAAGCCAGCTGGAGGTCATGAGTTGACACTGTTCAAGAAACATCCCTCAGATTCCCAGAAGGGCGAGCTTTGTCAAGCGCAACGAGAGGGCCTCGTCCACCAAGAGGTACCTCTGCGGCAAGTTTACACTGGTGGCGCGACCAAAACACACAGTATGTTATGCTCCTGCCTACAACATAAGTCGACCCCAAGCCCTAATCATGTGCGAGATACAAGGGAATAAACCGAACGCAAGCTTGGTTTCTCAAACACCCAATCTGACAGAGCTACCATCAGCTAGAAATTCAAATCGATATATATAACCCTCTTCACGAATCAGAGTTTGGGTCTGTACTATTACCAGTAATTAGCAGTGGATGATGATGGCTGGTAAAGGCCTTTCTCTAAAATAGTGATGCTTGTTTACTGGCTGTTACTGGTAGTAGGACAGACCCAACATATTCTAAGATCATGTCAAAAACCAGCACCTGGATCCACCGACACACCCACCTCCCTCCCTCCCTCCCTCCCACCTACCGGTGGGTTAAGTCTTGATTTACAAGGAAAGTGATGTATTGGAAGATGAAGGTGGACTTGCCAAGCGGTGGCATCTGTACATTCTGGGCAACCAGATTGCATTGGAAGTGCGACTAGACAGCTTGCGTCTGTACACCAAAGTGGTCCCCAAGCCTTGCAGGTGCATATAGATATAGAGCCGACACATCAGAATGGTCATATTGTGTTTATCACAATTGCCGGTCATAAAGCACTGTGGTGATCAACCATCTAGACTTCTTGTGTAAGCAAAAGTGCACCTGTCCCCAGATCAGCCTTTCACTCACACGTTTTGCTGTGTTCCCCCACGTCCATTGGCCACCAGCGGCGGCAGGCCAGCGCTGGACCAAAGACCAATCATGGTCCTGCCATGACTGCAAGGCCACCGGCACCTCGCCACAAAGTGAACAAGTTGCACAGCTCATGCGCGCGAACGCCTGGGTTTGGGTGATGGATTTGATGTGTCTGCTGGATATTAGGGATGAGGATGGCTCCTGTGTTCAACCCCATGTTGGGAAAAGAAAACACCGGCGATTCAGACCCATCCTGTACCTGTCAGACTGTACGATGTTGGGGCCAACTCTTAATAGGGTACTCTCCCACCAATGAAGGGCGGGAAGATCCTCAAGTAGGCTGGGTATGGCCGGGTGATGATGGTTCTAGGCATAGGGAATATAATCCATTCCTGATCGTTACCCTGCATACTGCAAGAATTACCACGGAAACTGAGAAAGAATGACTTTGGATGCCAAGAATCACTCACATGACAAACGTTTATGAGTTATGGCATGTGATGTCCACTTGCAGCAAGTGACCTCTCGTCTCCCTGGGATACCATGACACATCCACCCCTTTCACGTCGTCGTGCGGTCTGCTCGACTGCTCGGGCTGAACTGGAACCCTTCGACCCCACGACCCAAAATCGGACCACGGCGGCCGCCCTCGCGCCGGAACGCGGAAGGCACGACGTGCAAGGCAGGCGTGCGCCTCCGGAAGGTTGTTGTGGAAGAGCTCTACACAGCGCACCTGGCGAGAGGTGGAGTGGCCGGAGGTCTTTCGTAACAGAAGACCCAGACGAGCGGAGTCCAGAAATGTCCAAAAAGCATCAAAACCGCTTGGCTCTGGGTCCCTCCTCACGATCTGTTGGATGAATCAATCTAATTAAATACGGAAGATTAAAGAAGAGGATGGAATGTGAATCATGTGACCTCTCCTCAAGTTACAGCACTTTGAGGTGTTATTATGCAGGTTACTTCCAATAACATCCTTCAACAAACCGTCAAGGTTGCTCACTTCGCGTGCGCACGTTCCTTCCACCACGTTCCTCTACAAAGACTTCTCATCGTCCACCTCCGTTGATCTCGATGTTTCACAGGCCGAGCTAGGCCCAGTGGGGTGCCGTTGTTCACGCACAAATCAATGGTGCCCTTTTTCACCGTTGAGTCTCGTTTTGCCTGACGCAGTGGAAGTTCTCCCAAGAAATTGAAACGTACAAGTGGAACATGTTCCATTGTCCATGTTCGACACGACTTTTCTTGCAGGGGTCAATGTTGCCTGTTTTGCTTTTTGGCGCATGCAGTAGCGCAGTCACCACTAGACAAGCTCAGTAGTGCAGTGCTGGGAGGTCTTGGGTCCAAAGGTCAATTCTTGATACTAAATGATACTGGGTTGCTTTCAAGGTCCTGTTTCTATTTCTGTTGACAGTACTGATGTACATTTACGCATCACAGAAAAAGAGGGAGAGAGAGAGAGAGGTCCCATCAGCGGCAAAGGCGGTGGTTTCAGGGTCTGAGCATCCAGTGCACACGTCCCATGCATGCACCCCGTTGGATGGCAATGAAAAAAAACATGACCTGAAAAGAAAAAGAAGATCTGAAAACACGATCTCCTCCAACTTGACATCTTACTGTCACACAGGAAGTTAACCACCCAACCAAAGGTTTGTCGCTTGCAAAACAAGCCCCTGGCGAGTGGACAGTGGAAGGCCATGGAGTCTGCTTGGGAGCCCTCAGAAGTCGGAAGTCGTCCGAAATCCTCGTACCAACTTTTGGAGGTCTGAACATTTGGCATCAAATCAGAGAGCTGGCTTCGACTCGACCATTTTATCATCAAAAAAATGGTGGTGTCATGACTGGCCTCCATCCCAGTTCAACGTCGATGTTCAAGGAAACATCGACCACAGTCACTTGGGGCGTTGGTTTGGGGGGGTTCCTCCTGAAGTACACACCCCCTTTGGGCCTTTCAGAGCCATCTGCCTTCCCTCCTCTTCCCACCTGCACTGCTCGAAAGACCTCCAAGCCCAGCCAGGCCCAATGGCCTTCGGTGGCCTCCGGTGCAGGCCGTGGGCGCCCTGTCATTTCTTGATTCACTGGGACAGGTACAACTACCAGGAAGCCAAGAATATCCGAGGAAAAGTAGCAGTTGGTATCAAATCGCTATCAATGGCAAGTTGTTTGTACAAACAGTTGGGAAAGTCAAACTCCCCACCAAGGAACGAAATATGAACTCATTGTAAGAAAGGTTGTAAAGGATAGCTTCTGTTTGCATGAACTTGAAAGTTACCCTGGCAGGAGACCCAAACAAGGTCTAGAATCTAGAAGAAAGCTGCTCGTCAAGTTCGCTGGCATGCTGCATGTAAAGGTGATATAGAATAGTGTTCTCAAATTTGCTGCTGGGGGTGCTGGCCAAGCTGCCAAGCACTAGTGCAAGCTGAGTCCGTGCTCCTTTACATCTGTTCCATCCTGGACGTCCACAAGCATGGCCACTCCCTTCTACCCCGCTTTGTGTAAGCTGCCTTTGTGGATAACATATGCTATACCTTCCAAAAAATATACTACACAATCCTCCTTCCCAAAAACGAACATAGATGAACATAGAAACTGGCAAACCAGTCCTGATAACCTTCCAAACTATTGCTGGCAGTCAATGTTTGTCTAGCAAAGGTCGTATGATGTTGTATCTGATGGCTCTACACTTGGCCACAATCCTTGAATCTTGAATTACTGACATCTGGACTGTGCTTCTGATGCCTTGATGACTTTAAGTTGCCTGTGTTGGAGTGTGACCCCTGCCATCCTCCTGCCAGCCCCAACGCAACCCAACGACGGAACACCGCGAAACCCGTCGGCAGCGTGGCTCTCTTCGCCCCGTTCTCCGCGACCCCGGTCGATCCCCGTGGCTGGAGAACACACGACGACAGCGCGCCACGCGGACCGCGCGGTGGAAGACCGGGCACCTGCTTGGAGTACCAGAAGAAGCGATCCGCCGCATCGGCCTCGGTGCAGATTTTGCCGAGAAGAGAGAGAGAGAGAGAGAGCTAGATAAAGGCCCGGTCCTGGTGGCTGGGAGCAAGAGCTGCAAGCGTTCCAAGCTTTTGATGTTACTGTTAAAAAATAACATCAATGGGTGGATGTACCTGGTGATGCTTCCAGCAACTTCCATCAACTTCTGCTTTGCACAAGGAAGGGCAGAAGGGCACTTCAAAAGAATCAAGTCCAAAACCTGGAGGATGTCTCTCAGAAAGGAGTGGACCCCCTTCCTGATACACATGTCTTCATCCCTCTTTCCTCGTCCTTCCTCCGCTTCACAGCCCCCAAAAAACCGCACGTCTCGGCCGAGCCCCGACACCAAGAGATCAAAGGCGTGGCTCGGCCGGAAGCTCCCCCGGTGGCCGCTCTCCAGGAGTCGAAGCTGATTCCTGTTGGTCGACCGTGTGTCACGGTGCTGGGGGGCACTGGGGGGGTTGGGAGCGAACCGAACCCAATCCGCCACACCGGAAGCTGGCCAAATGCGAAGCGAAGCTTCGAGGTTGGTAGAATGTGGATGTCTGTAGAAGATCTGCGAGATATACACCTTGGCGCCTCTGAATGTTTGGTCTACATCGCCCCTTTTTTGAGAGCAACCATTGTTTGGAAGTGAAGAAACGAGCTGGTGTCTCCTGCAGCTGGCCCCAGTCATGGACCGGCTTTGCGAGGCAGTCAACCCAATCAAGATCATCAAGAACAGCTCACAGGCTGACAGCAAACTATGACCGTCCAGTTATATAGAAGGTACAACGGTACAACGACTTCACACCCAAAACACCAGCAGAATGGACTGTGATGCACAAAGGATGGGTTGTAGTTGCTGAGGATCCAAATCACCACTTGCCAAGCACCAACAATCCCTTGTCTCCCTCCTGACCCTGCGGGTGCAGTTCACATCTTCGAAGAAGGCCAACTCATGGATCATCCATCCTCGCGCATGGAAGCGCCAAGTCTTTCAACACGATACGAGTCAACCCCGAAATGAGGAATCGTTTGCACCGCAAAAGAAAGATGATCGTCGTTTTCGCAGGGTGGATTCCTCATATTCCTCAATAGGACCCCCCGAGGACTGGGACATAGTGAGAGTACTGATATAGCCAAGGTCCTAGGTGCCCTCGGCACCTCTCTATTTCACCCAAATGTTGGACCGTGGGCAGTTCACCACTTTCCATAGAAACTCTAAAATATGAGCCTGGAGGGTCAGTTTTCCCAGAGTCGGTCAATAGCTGTGGCAATCGCAAGCTCAGAATCTATTATGGTTTCTACTGCCTTGCCAATGACACATATAGAATCATATTGTATTATAATGTATTATATACAGTATACAGTATAGATATGAAATGATATGAACATGCATTGAATGTCTACTGAGTCTACTGATTCTACTGTACTGCAAAATACTGCAAACCCGAACATCAGAACATCGTTCAATTCTTTCTTCCCTGGAAAATGGACCTGCAGCTGGGCTTCTGAAAAAATATAGAAAACATAAAACTCAAACAACCAAATGAGTGAGAGCTTGCTGGCATCACGGGGTACCAAAAGCCGCACAACCAATTGGAACAAGAAGGACACACAGCAAGTGATCAAACTGACTGGGGTTCTCGAACCTCATACCAGTGTGAGAGCACCGACCCTGCTCTTCTAGAATGGATTTGTAAAAAAGCAAGCTCGGAAGCAGGATTAAACCATTTAAGGTGCCACTGCGAGGTTTTCCCCTGCCGTTGAGGAGAGAGCTGGCAACCACAGGTTTCGATGATATGTTGTTATATTCTCCGCGCTGGGCCGCCAGTGTTGTGTTCCATGAGGAAGTGGAGAGCCTGGTGGTGTTGCTCGTTGCATGGGTGGAGCCTCATCAGGCCCCAAATGAAGTACGGAGCACAAAACTGCGAAACTCCCAGTAAAAGGAATGGCACGAAAGAGGTGACATTGCTTGTGGTATTGTCGTCGTTATGGTTGCCATTTGTGCACCGGTGAGGAGACTTGTGTCAACTTCCTCGGAGACTTGTTTCGGAATTGTTTATTTTGGTTGAAGGTCATCTAGAGCACCATCCGCCCGAGCTGCAACTCCTCCAAGCTCTTTCTCACAAACCTGAGTAGGTCAGGTGGCGGGGAGAGTGCAAGCGCAGCAGCACGTCGGGGCGGATGAAGAAAACTCCTCTCTGCCCAGTTTAAAGAAATCCAATAGGTTGGAGACCATCGCTGGTAGGTTGGAGGCCATCGCTAGTAGATTGGAGCCATCGCTGATCAAAAACCACATGCAAATGATAACCAGGTTGCGGCCCATTAAAGCCCGACTCCAAAACCCCTAAAATGTGGCGACACACGGATCACTCTGTTGGTCTGGTCCTTTTTCAGGACTCAGGACTTCCGAAATGCATCCATAGCTTCACCCAAGTGTGCTCAGTCGCCCTGAAGCCGATCAAAAGCCTTCTTAAGGGCATTCTCACTCTGAAACTCTGAAAGATGTTCGTCTTGGCATGGCACTGCCCTGATGCTAGCAAAGCACTGCAATGCTTTGCTGCTGATCTGGACCAGGGCGACCAAATACGAGAACTGCGACATTGGCATGACGATGACACTGGACAGGTGAAGGAAAAGATCTGGAGCTTGAGGCAGAGATCCACTGGGCGTACTCCAGCTCAGCATCCTCTTTGACCAGCGCCCTTGTCCAAATCTCTCGAGCGACAATCAAATGGGTCTCCCTCATTCCGACCCTCATTCAGACTCCTTCACCAGCCAAGCAGACAAGGACTCCAGATGACTCAAGATGACTCTGAGATGACAAGATACTCACTCCGTATTGACCACCGCGGGCGGCCGAAAAGCACCGGAGCTCCCGCGATGCGTCGGGACGGAGCACCGAATCCGAACGGTTCCTCGTTCGACGGTTTTTCGATGAAACGAGGGGCTCGTACCATCATGGCTTTACCATCCAAATGGGGGGGGCGGTATTAATACGTATTGATCAAGAGTCTACAGTGTCTTGCACAGCTGGCTCAAACCTCATGAGAAGACAGCCCTATACAGACCTTCTTCCTGCTGCACATGTCCAGCTACACCACGCTCTCATCCTGATCACAGCCTCCAGATGCGCCCAGGAGGCCGCTCCACCGACTGGGTTCCGTTTAGGGTCAATGATGGTCAAAGACCTTGAGCAAAGAGCACTTCTGAGTGGCCATTCTGAGCTGTCCCTTGTTGCACCATTTTGCTCCGCAGCGGCAGCATCCATCATTTCCATTCCGAATGCCCTCAAATCAACTTCGCACCAAATTTGAAGTCGTCATCGGAGATGCAAAGGAGAAAAATCTGGTAGTCAATCTGGTGCATCGTTTTGTTGCATCGGGGCCTCCACCAAATTTCTGTAAACCCTGTACCCGTGTCCCTGGTTAGTTCCAGGAGTGTTCAGCTGTCTTCTGCTTTGGAGCAGTAACGCTTGTGTGCTGCGGGAGATCAACTGCAAAGCACTTACCCTCCGCCCAACGTTTGAGGCCTCATTGGAAAAAACAAAACCAAAAAAGCACATCTATTCTTGACCCTCACATACCCTCACTCAGCTCCTCGATCTTCTCGGTCTCCCCACCAGGCGCCAACGTGTGGAGCCTCGGAGCAGAGCCGCCAGGGGAGCCAGCCCACCCGGGCCTTCCGTGGGTGGCCCTTGGAGTGAAAATAAAAAGGCCTCGATCACCGCTTTGGGTCGCGCTTCTCTTCAGTCAGGTAAAATCCCCGACATGAACCAGATTGAGCTATCTAGGAAGCCCCACGGCGTGGCAGACAGCACTGCCTTAGCAACATCAGGAAACCGGTTGGCTGCGTAGAAACCGTGGAAGAGATTTTCTGGAAGTTTGGAGCTAGTGGGTCAGGTCGCAAAAAGACCTGACAAAAGTTGTAGAGGCCTTTGCACATTGTGCACTTCAGCACTTTGAGTCCGAGCTCAAACGGTTGTTCCATTTATACACATCCATTTACAGAACTGGCTTGCGGCTTTGGGCCAGCCACGGGCCTATAGTCCTCTGCAGCACCAGCTGGGGCTTCAAACTACTCCTTGACTACCCCGCAACTTTGCTTGAGGTAGGTCCAGAACCGATCTCTGAAAGGGCAACCCAGTGTCACATGATCCAACGGCAAAGGAAACACGCCACGCGTCCAATACCTGTTCACCACAAGTCACCCCATCTGGGCCTCCGGACGCGTAGCCAATGCGGCTCGCAACGCCCTCCCAGCAGTCCGCTTGCCTCGGTTATAGAGATGAGTCAGACGAGCCTCCCCTCTTTGCGACAACCATTTGAGCCAGCATTTGGAAATCCAGATCGACTGAAGATTAGCTTCCCTTCGGCTAAGTGCCAGGCAAATTCTTGCAGCACATGTCCTTGGCACAAAACTGGTCTCCGTGCAGATTCCCTTCGGGCACCCCATGCAAACCCGTTGCGGGTGGCTCGCAAATATAGAAACCCAAATCTGGGATCTTTGTCTGTGGCACATTTGTGGTATATGCAAAGGTGCTTTCTGTGCAGTATCAATCATCACATCCAAAGAGGACTACAACGGACTATATATGTAAGTTAAATGAATCCAAAAATTATAAATCATATGTTAAACTTGTTTGTCACCAAAAAAAACAATAAACAATAGAACTCACATTAACATATCAGATTTGCACTGCGTGTTCTTTCGGGTAGCTTGTTTTTGATTGTTTTTGTGTCTGGGGGGGTTCAAACTTGCGCCGGGTCGGCAAGAAAGGGCAGCCGCGGCTACTCTCTCTGTACTGGCTAGCGGAGAATGGTCTCTCTGTTCGGAGGCAATGGAGAATGGGCCCGGGTTGTCATTATTGGCCTCAGAATACCAGTTGCAAAATCAGCTCTCTTTTCAAGAATGTGCACCACTAGGTTACTAGAAGCTGACAACACCAATAGATATCACTTGTCCACATCCACCTTCAGGCCATTCTCCCATATCTCAAGTGAGTAAGCAATTCGAAGAAAAGTAGCCAGCGAATCTGCCCATCTCTGCCATCTTTTTCATGGCTTTTGCAGCGACCATCGGCTCTGATCCCCCCCTTGGACCCCCATGTGCTCCGATCCCGAAAGATCGGGTGAAACTCACCCCGCCGGGAGGGTTCTTAGGTGAACAAGCAAAATCGATGCCCCGGGGCGAATACACCCCCTCTTCCTAGAGCAGTCCCTTGATTTTTTCGGTTGTTTCTTGCGAAGGGTGGGAAGGAACCACCAAAGATCCTATCAAGCAAACAGTGCACAAAAACAAAGTCCCGTGCAATCTGGACTCAAAAGTAAGGCACCACCCCAGTCACCCCGCGACAGAAGACTTCAACCAAAGCCTGCAGAAGTTGGGGCCTCTGTTTTTGGAATCACCCCCCATGGTCGTATGTCAGCTTTCACCATTCCCTTCCACCATCCTCCAAGTCCAGAGTCGTAGGAAAGGCCGCCCTCCCAGCAGCGCGACTGGCCTGGCGCAGCGCAGGGGTCACCGAAGCGTCCAAGTAGCGTGGCCTCCATGTAGAACAACATGAACCAGGACATGAACGTCGAGTGAGAGTGACGAACAAAAGTCTGGTCCCTAAACTTGAAGGCTTAAAGGATTCCCCAACGTTCCAAGGTGTCGGGCAACATCGTACACCATTGACGAGTGTTCAGGATAACCAGGCAGAAGAGACTGACATCACTGAATCACCTAACGCCCCATCCAAGCAGAGCATCTCCTCCAATGGGAAGCAGTGAAAAGCTTCTAAACAGTTGCTGCTAAAACCATGATACCTTCCCAGTGGTCTTGCGCCCGTTCAATTTCAGGCCACAAGAAAGCAAAGCCCATGGGCTCGACGAACTCCACGCCTTGGGCTTTGGCGAAGGGCCACAGTAAGCTGATGACTCTCATCGCGCAGCTCAGAGCAGAAAAGTGGTGTTGCGGGGGGCAGAAACCCAGTGATCCTCTGAGGATGGATCCAACCTGAAGAATTGTCTCATCATGTCTCATCCCTATGTCGACGCCAACGACTCACATCGCAAGTTGGAAGGAAAACAAGTCGCAAAGTAGGGAAGCAAGACTTCCTCCACCAGGGGTGACCAGTTTCAAGGTCAAACTGCCTTCGAAAGGTTCCAGGCTCAGAAAGAGAAAGGGAAAAGGGGCAAGGATTGTGCTCATTGATTCTTCTTGGTATTGTTCGGAAAGTGATCGTAAAGCAATTCACAAGAAAATCCATACCCTATACTATATGATGGAAAAGTGCGCATGCAAGGGTTGTTTAAGTCAAAGCTAGAAGTAGAATCACCAGCTGGTTCTATTCAACACCACGGGTCCCAGAACGAGACATTGCATCCATGTCTGATATTTGGGAGTGTTGGGATTCATGTCTTGGAAATTCTTGGAATCTCCATTCATCCAAGGCCTTGGGTCAGTAGCGCTCCACTGACTTTGATTGGCTTTATTATTCACCCTATTCTACAGCCTGTGTCACACTGCTGTGTCTTCAGGACGCGGTATATTGTTTTTCTAGTGCCTTGAGCCAGACTGCAGGACTGATTCGAGTGCTCCCTCTTGGGTGGAACCCTCCACCGCCGGCCCCCCTGTTGCTTCCCTAGTCGCATAAATCCTGGGAATGTAGCACTCTATGCCTTCCAAGGAGTCGAAAACAGTTTCTTCCAAACTGGTCGGCGCTCCCAGGCCGAAACAGGCCACCTACTCAGTCGCTTGGAGCGGGCGACCAAATCCCACACCCGAAAAAACAAAAAAAACAATACTGGTCGAGTCATGCTGGTCAAGTCCGTCAAACCACACGCAAGTTCCATAGATTGTTAGTGCCACGTGGTGGATTAATTGCGCGGCGATGGCAGCTTCAGAGGTTTTTGAGTCCTGATGTTACCTCAGAACAACACCCCAATATGCGAAACACCCAAAACATCCCAAAACCGGAAACTACCAAAACGACTCGCCAAAAGAGATGAAATATGCTTGTAAACCGCCCGTGACTCTTTTAATTTCCATCTCTAGAAGCGCCACACGAACGGCCCCTCGCGGCTCGCTCCGCTGTGCATCACGCTCCGCGCGGGTAGGCTTGCGCGCAACACACACGCGACGCGACGCGACGCGAGCGGAGCTCCGCCGGGGGGAGGGGAATGGACATCTCGAAGCTCTGCGACTCGATCCTTGTATTCGAGCCTCGGCGCGGTCGGCGAACGCGGGCGAAAACCGATTCGGAGGACGAGAAGAGACGGAAGAACCAACACGGTCTTCTTCAAGAGACGTGTGTTTTAGCCTGTGGGGAGTGTGGTGAGTGTAACACGTGTCTTTAAATCGGAGGGTTGGTTTTCTTGGCGGTCGACCCATTGGCTTGCTGCTAAAAACGTCCAAAAACATGTCAGTGGCAAAGTCCTACAACCGAACTGGGAAGCATGTTGGTTGATTCTCACATGCAACCAATCAAGGGATTTGCTTTCCTGTGGCGGAAGAATTCTCAGCTTTCATGTCATTCAAAAAGTGTCAAGCCTATGTCCCTGAGGTTCGCCAGTTGGCAGGTTGTGAAAGTAGCATGAAACATGATCATGGCCGATGGCAAAAGAAATCAGACTCCCCTTGTGTCCTTCAGTTGTAAGCTTTAAGCCTTGCACGGTGAATGGAACACCACGCTATGCCCGAATGCAAATCATAGCGCTGGGCCAAAAAATTGGATTCACATGGTTTCACCTTCTCCAAGCTGGTGTGGTGTTTTCGCTACCTCTTAGTGTTTGATGTTGTTCACATTGGATCACCATTCGCAGCACGCACCCCCCCACCCTACCAGCCCTTCATCTTCCACTGGACCGTGGCTACAGCCCTTGAGGCTCGGGCAGCTTCTTGTTCTCTTCAGGTGTTGGAAGCACATGGATCAGCAACTGGCAAAGGAGCCAAGAAGTGCATGGCTTTCTTCAGGTGAGAGAAGCATCAACCACCGTGTATCTTTCGTTTCACGGTTCGGTCGTTTCTGGATTGGGAAAGCGCAGTCACAGGTTCGGAATGCCCATAGCTGAGTTGAATGGCAAAGGCACTTGGTCATTAATCGAGGCTGTCAGGATGTCGCACAAATGGGGACCCCAGCCATCAGCCCCCAGCCGTCATATGGCTCAAGGCAAAGGTCGCTCTTTCCAGACATGAGTCTTGATCGACCAAAAGGCCAATGATTAAGCACCCAGAGACATAGGAGCTCCGGCTCAGAAACATTCCGGAGCTCTGTGTCCCGAAACAAGTACATACAACATACCTCCAGGAGAGGCATCTGGTTTACTTACAACATACCTCCAGCAGGGCCCCGTGCTTCACCAGCGCCGTACGCACCTCCACATCGTCGGGGCTCATGAATTCCTCGCGGAAGTTCATTTCCTTGAGGTTCTGGCAGAACTCCTGCAGAACGAACGGCTGCCGAAGCCGTAAGAATGCCACAACGGCTCTTGAAGCCAACAACTCAGAACCCGACATAAGGTGGGAACATCCGGGAATTTGTACAGTCACTTCGATTCTGTACGCCCAGTGCGTGCTTTTTGACAAACTGCAGTGACTTCCCAAAGATCCTGGACCCCTTTGATCACAATTTTCAAAGTGCCTTGTTCCATCTCTTTCCCACATCGAGATGTTCGAGTTCAGGCCGTCCCTTACTATTGGAGAGACGCCTACATCCTCGGTAGTAAGGCTGCAAAGGCATGCTCCAAGTAAGGTTTCCAGCCCTAGCTGAGCTCTTGCCAGGTGGATCTTGGACTACCGAAAACTAGAAATCAAAGCTAAGCTCCTCAAGAAAACTGGCCTGTTGGGGGTGGGACAAACAAAGATCAATGCTTCAGTTTAGATGGATCACTCAATTTGGGTTTTGCAGTATCCTTTAGCAGCAAAACTGACTGGTTAGGGATTTAGACTATAGCCTGACTAGCTTCCAAACTATGAGTTGATTGTGCTCAACCCCAACTACCTCTCAAAAAGAATCATGAAATACTCTTCCAAACCAGCCGGGAATCCACTCATCCACACCACACAACTCCTAGATACCCCCGGATACTCCGGAGACGGCCCGTTCTAGGAAGATTCTCCTCGGTGGAGGTTTCAGTTTGGGTGATCTTGCTCATGACGATGGCCAGATTCTGCGCGCGGGAACCATCCAAAATGCTAATGCCTCCCGTGGCGGCGTGGTTCGCCGTGGCGAGACGAGACGGCATGGTTCTGGTCGAGCGTGACGGGCGTGGTCTCATAAAGGGCTCAGGGTAGGCATCAGCGGAAAACCATGGAGGAAACAACGGTTCTTCTACTGGCATGTGCAGTAAATTGAACATTAGTGAGGAGCATCTGTAGTGGTGCCTGATCTTGTGATCTTGTGGGTGGATGGCTGTAAACAGAGCTAGAGACACCGACCCTATCAAATCCTATCAACGTTTGGTCCATTCAGCATCAAGGGAGGGACACATTTTGGAGGACTCCAGCTGAGGTGTCCTAACCTCTGTAACATCTTCACAGCCCTCCTCTTCGAACATGCCGTGTTCGCTCGAAATCAACCGCTCTGGCTGTGGCTCCCACTTCGCCGCTGTGGCTCCCACTTCGCCCTGCATTTAAAGAAACAAAAAACAACTCCACACACTCCTCCACTGCACCGAAACCAATCCCCACCCACACCGCCCGGATCGGTGTGGGCCACTTGCCCCGCACCGAGTGTCGAAGCAACTTACGCCGCACCTGTGGGCCGCTTGGCGACGGATTTCCGCCTGGCGCCGAGCGGCCGAGCGGCGGAGTTCGCGCTCATCGGGGCGACAAAGAGGCCTCTGAGTGAGTGTAGACTGTTGATGAATCAAAACCCCCTACCGGGAGGGTCAAACATCTTCATGAGAGGCGAACGGTTTAGGATATTTTAGGATGGAATCCTCAGTCACCAAAAATTATGCAAGTCGTCTGGCTCGAGCTTGCACGAGCTTGCAATTGATCGCTGACTCGTGTAATCCACGGGTGACCCAACCTGGAGCCAGCACAGGGGGAAAGTACAACAAGTGAAAAATCGGAAAAAAGGCTGACTGGTGCTTACTTGCAGCAAGGAATGCGCATGGCTGAATCCTAAGCTATTCCCTTGTTTCCTACGAAGCTCCGGTCAGGTCGGGACAGGCGGAGTTCCAAAAAGTTTGGACCGGTCAGGCTCGTGGGATAAGTACAGTGACACTTGCTGGAAGCATCATGGGCCGACGTGGATGGCACGGCCCGTTGGATGACAAGTCCGAATGCCAAACACGAGGGGTGTCTACTTCCATGATCTTCCATGGAAGAGCCTCCTTTCTTGAGCCATGGCTTAACTCGCCCAAGATCGATCCGAACTTCAAGGTTGGTGTCAGCCAGGTTGGTGCTGAGGCATGTGTTGCAGCCACTGGCCTGAAGTGACCCTATAAAAAGAGCGGAGAAATGGGTCAGAGAACAGTGCCAGCAGGGAGCAACCCAGAAGGGATTCACATTGACTTCCGGAACAATATACAACAAACTCTGGAAACAAGAGAAAAAAACAGCTTCCAAAACAGCACAAAGCAAAAGCAGTTCGTGGTCGATCTAGAAAGAACCTAATCTTCCTCAGATCAGCGCCTTCCCATCACAGGCTTGTCTGTCTCGTTGCTCAAGAGCGCCTCTGCGGCTGGTGCTGGCACAGTGAAGGTTAAGATCTTCTAAGAGAAACCCCCTCCACCAAAGGTGTTACTAGGTCTGCATGGTGAGAGTAATCTCCATGATCCCCCAAAAGGATCTCACACCATCCAAGCCCTCTCAGCATATTTGTTCAAGGGATGAGACCCAGCTTAAGAGAAACCGACTCTCAATGCGTTTTCATCAGTATCCCAAATTCAAAACCCAACACTGAAGTATCCCTTGCAATCTTGTAAGTGCTAGCATTGGACAGCATAGAAGAACGAGTTGTATCCGAGATTAACCTTATTAACCCATTCATGCGTCTCAGAACTTTGGGCTGCACAAACTCCTGGGCCTGGCCCAGCTTCCGGCCTGGCCTGTCCGACACCTAACATCCGACCCTGCCGGCCGACGATCCTGGAGTTGATTCCAGGGACCACCCACCAACCTCAACCTGACCGTGCCTCACCACGCTCACCATGCTCACAGGTCCCATCAAACTGATCACAAAAAAGAATGACATCAACATACTACTGTAGTCAAAAGACAACACGCCGTACACAAAAAGCAAAAGAAACAAGATTGTGGACCCACTTCCGCAAGTTCACCAGCGATGGGAGGACTTTCCGCCTTCAAGAGCTCTTTATCGAATGTTCCTTGCGGCAAATCGCTAAAGACCTGGGCCAGGGTCGTCTTCATCTTTACTCAAACTAGGCGTAGGGAATAAGGTTTGGGCCTAGAAAACATCAAGTAAACAAGTCAGCCTCCCAGAAAACTTACACTGAAGAACATATCAATATCCTTTCTTGGGCTGAAGAGGAAATACCCCTGCGTTCGGAAAGAATGTCAGGCTGAACCCACACTTCTGGTGATAGGCTGAAAGTGAGAAATGTTCGGGGTGGTCAAAGGTCACCGTCACCGTGTAGGTGACTGGGCTTCACGCATGTCCATGCCGTCCATGCCCAACTGCAGGGACAGTCCGAAAGCCACGAGCCTAGCCATAAAAAAGACATCAAGCTATGAGGAACATGCACCCAGACTATGATCCTATAGCCTGCAACCCTAACCGGGGTCCTAGCCGATCCTTGTAGTTTGCACGGAAACTCAAGCTACATTTACATGCGCTGAATCCATCAGGAAGTAGTAACCCACTAGGGCGGCCTCGGGACACAGGTCCTTTGAGGCTGTCGGGTCTGAGTCAGGTCGGTCCTGCCAGTTCATCCCTTGTGTTCACCGATTCCACATCCTTCCACCAACCCATCTCAGGGGACGCCCGAATCGAACCAAAGCCCCAGACCCACACCGGGAGGCCCTTGACTCACACCGAACACAGCGACTCCGTTCGAGCCAAGGAGCTGAGTCCGCATGGGGCTCCTCATAATGCGCACCCCAGTGGATCTTCCGGCCCAGAGGTGCATGTCCTGCCGGTTCGAAAACGGTCGCGGAGCACGTCGGCGATTCGCGTCGCAGGCACAACGAAAAAGGTCGCGCAGACCCCGCGCTCCTTCGTTATTTTGAGGAATTGAACATCCCGAACGATGTGAAGGCAAAGGGCTTCAGCCGCTGAACAAGAAAATGTCCCAAGCCTCCCCCTTCTGCATGGAATCTCGCAGAAAAACACTGCCAAGCAGTGCCAACCCGCGCAACCCGTGGTCCTTGGTAGCGAGGCGTGGCCTTCGCCTTGGCTTTGCCCTCGCCCTTCGTGGCGCCCTTGGGCGTTCCCTTCGCACCCTTCGCAGCAGGGGCTCCCTTCAGCGGGCCTTTCCTGAGCGGAAAAATGAGGAAAAATAGTGAGCAGGCTGAGCTGGCAAGCAAGGCCTGAGAAAGTGGTGCTGCTAAAAAGGTCCAAGCAATTTTGCACAATTCTTAGCACCAATCACTGTAGCATCAAGAAGTGAAGCCATTATTCAGTATTCAGGAGTCAACCAAAAGGACGATATAAGCCCCAATAAGAAGCAAGTCTGAGATGGATCATGTGAAGTGAAGATATGTGAAGTGACAGCTCTTCAGAAAACATCCGGACGCCCAGTTCTCCGGACGCGGAGAACTGTCGCCAATCCAAAAAAAGATCGATCACCCCGAAAGCCACCAGATGACCAGATTGCTTCATCTGGTGTTATTCTGAGCCACAAAAACGGAAGGTCTGGGCCAACCACCATGGTCGAAAATCCATCTGGTCTAAGACTGTCAGATGCTACAGCCAACCACCAGCTTCCCTCCAAAAGCTCCAAAAACGCGTCGGTTCCCTCCAAGGCACCCAGGTCCCTTGGCCTTAGATGAGACCGCTGAAGAGGACATTGCAGTGTCTGAGGGACTTCCCACATCAGACACGACTGAAGCAGCTGAGGAGGTCGGCGCCGGGGTCGGTGGGCCTTTGGCCTTGCCTTTGCCCTTGCCTTTCCTTGGGCGGACGGAGCGAGTCGAGGAGAGACGGCCCCACCAAAGGGCCGCCCAAGTCGTGGTTCCGACAGGTGAATGAAGCTTGTTCCTAGTAGCTTCTTGTTACTACTAGTAAGGCACCTGTTACTACTAGCGTGGCACTTGTTCCTAATAGCGTCCTTGTTACTACTAGTAAGGCACTTGTTACTACTAGCGATGCACTTGTTCCTAGTAGCTTATGTTGGGGGCAAAGGTCCGCTTTGTTTGGGATCGTATCTCCATCCACCGGAGGGTAGTGACCGGGTAGTGGAGGCCTTTAGACGAACCAAGGTTCTTCGGCACGGTGGGGCTCTCCACCCGGTGGCATTCGCCCTTGTGTGGGAAGGGGCTCTGCTCCCCCTCTGCAGTTGGCACAGTGTTGGGCATGTTGGCCAATGGCAGCACAGGTGTCCTTAGTGAGCTGGGTGCAAAGGATCGCAACAAAGCAGCAAAAGGATGGTGGCAGTTCCTGCAACCAAACAGTCGGACAAAAACATAAAACTGATAACAACAAAAACTTGTTTTTAGAGAAACAACACTGAAATATGTCATGCATATCATATATACATATACATCTATAATGTATATATGTTTGCAATTCTTTGTGTACAGTAACCCGTTTCTCCTTGGATACCCTTCATTTGCTTCCAAGGCTCTTCCCCTTGGCGCCCCTTCCTACGCCCTTCCCAGGAGCACCTGGCGCTCCCTTGGCAGCAGGGCCTTTGGGGCCCTTTCCGGCACCGGAGCATTTGGGCGCAGCCAGCGCCAGGGAATGCGAACCAGGTACGGCCACGCCCTTCCCAGAGCCCATGGAGGTGCTTCGGGTGAACTCCACCATCAGTGTCTCAACCAAAGCCTCGATTCGGGAAGAACACGCTCAAGTCGGACGGAACATATTCCCCGCGCGCTTGCGCGTGCGTGCGCACGCACATTGGTCGCGGGGAAAACAGCGGTGTTGGCGTGAGGGGGGAGAGTGAGCAGTTGTGGTCAATTAGGATTGGCTGGTAGTATGCTGGTTTATGACACTCATCCAGGTGTTCTTGGCACTGCTGGCAAGCATGTCGCAGATTCCCTGCAGATTCCCTGCCTCCTGGGCTAAGTCCCTGGGGCTGGACGGACTGGAAGTAGAAGTCGGGCTGAAGTCAGGGCTTGCACCCTTGGTACCTGGGCCAATCCAAAAAGACCAGGCGAGCAAGGGCGCATGGCGTGGACAGAGGTGCCGCGCCGATTTTTGCTCAACGAAACATCACCCAAAAGCAATGGGGTGTTATTCCTCTCCAATTAGGGACCGCGTCACGAGTCTCTGGGTGCTCAGAGTCACTCTCCAGACCAGGCAACCCCTCAGAGATGACTATGACCTGTCATGATCTCTGACCCCCACCAGCGCCTGCTTTGCAAAGAGAAACGAGCTCAGCAACACACAGGCATGACATGGCATGGCATGACAGTTGACGAAAGAAATCCCGCACCACCCAGATTCAGAAAGACTTCTATATACGGTGACTTCGGATCCTGCCAGGTCCTGCCAGGATGTTCCGATGTTTCTCCCGCGATTCTCCATAAGTGGCGTTCTCATCGGAAGAAGTGGCTTCCAACGGTCGATTCTCCATGCGAATTCCGGGATTTCCCTGGCAAAAGAACATATGTAGCAAAAGAACATGTGCTTCAAAAAGCCTACCTGGACCCCTGGCAAGTGCTTTCTGGTCTTCAAAAGGCCATGGAAGAAGTTCACAAACAAGAAGTTGAGCCTCAACGGGAAAAAGGCCGCCTGAATTTTCCTTGCCACATGGACATCCAAAAAACCATTCAACTATACATAAATGCATGTTGCAGTCTCACATTCTGGGGGTCGCATCCTTTTGAACTTCCCACCACCTGGGGACAGATCGGGGGCAAACTGCAATGCGGTTGTCTCAGCCGGAGAGCAAATCTCATAGAGACATACTTACGAAGAAACTACACAAATCTGGTTGGCCTGGTTGGGTGTCATGAAGTTCAAGCCGCTCCAGACCCCACATGCGAATGGTCAAGAGTCAGATGCGAGATGAAAAGGTGATGGTATTCCAAGAAGTTCAAGAGAAAATGTACACCCGCCTCAGAACTCTTGGCTCAAATCCCCAAGACTGTCTATGGCCAATCCTTAGATAAATCAGATTTGAGCCAAGAGTCAAGAGTCTTGACGGGGGGTATATTCCGGCTGCTCCAGCTTCCATCTTTGGTGCTTTGCGCCCATGTTCGGAGCTCAGTCCGGGTGTCAAACACCAATGGAAACCAAGCGGCTGGAGCGATTTTCCCCGCTGAACTCCTGTGCTGGGCACAGGAGTGTGGGGAAAGCAGTCGCCCTTGTTGTACAATCAGTACGTAATAACTCTCAGCTTGCATGGTGGAGAGTACTCCTCACTGAACCAGTGCCTTTTGGGGATGTCCATTTTTGATCCTAGGTCAGTTCACTAGCTTTGTTGACGTTCGACGGATGGTTGGATAGTGTTTCCAGGGCGCTTGTGGGCCTCAAAAAGAAACTTGTCCTTTGGGAGGCATCTTCGGAAAAGTAGAGCAAAAGTAATGCCATGTGACATGCGCCTGTGAGCTGCAGCTCGCGCTGGGGTCTGTGTCGCTGACCTCAGTGGACGTCTCGCAGGACAGGGTAGCATTCCGCTGATAAAAGGAGTTCTGAGCACAAATGATGAGACTGACTCAGTAGAACTAGACGAACCTCATTTCCCACACCAATTTCGGATGTTGGGCAGTGCGTAGCTCTTACAATACGGGTGACGCTTGGCCTCACCTCTACAAAACCGAGAGTGGCCAGGAGTATCAGTGAGGTCGGCATTCCCGCACGAGCGAAAGTCGCGAATCAAGCATCTGCCCCGAATCAAGCTGAACAAGCAAGCCATGCATGTTCGGAAAATTTACTTGCATTGACCCTTAAAACATCTTAATCACCCCAAATGTAGGCAAATATATGCCACACATGGGCTGCTAGGGAATGAGGATTGCTTCCAATGTGTTTGTGAACGGCTTTTTTACTTACTGGTCTGTTGTTCCTTGTTCCCTCGTAAACTGCAACTGGGCATCCGGCATTGGCGGATGGGTCCAGCTCAGGCAGGAGGTTCCTGCAAATGGTTGGCCTCACAAAGCGGGGACGTGTGAGGCAAACCCAGATGGAGTATATAGTCACGATATCTCGCTTTTTTATATGCTTCTTCTGCTTAATGGACACCTAGTGGTCTGACTGCCAAACCTGGTTTGGTCGCTTGACCATGTCTGCAAGCCAAACGGATCAAACTTAGGCTTAGCCACCAAAAAGAGTTGAACCAATGATGCCGAGCTTCAGCGATCGCTGTATGACCTAATAGCGATGGCCTCCAACCTAATAGCTTCACCCCCAACATGAGTATTTATATAATATGCCTCTGACTTCCAACATCGTTTCACGTGACAAATTCCGTGGCGCGGGCTTCTTCTCCATGGAATGAGTGCCTCAGTCCCCAAATCTTGGGATTCCATCCGTCTGTCTTTCTTGAAGGGTAGGGTAGACAAATATTTAACCTCTAGAAATGTAGCTAAAAAGGTCGGCCCATCATACAGTAAGGTTGTCCTTGCCACAACTGAAATATATGTTGGGGAGCGTAGTGGGAAAAGAATGGTGATGGACTGCAAGACCATGCAGGCATTTAGACCTATCAACATACTGCCGTCTCCGTGATCCATGGAATCGACAGGGCGGAGACCTGCCCGAACCGCCTAGGGGTCACATGACTACACAGTTGTTACGTTCGTAGCTTCTTGCTCCGTTCGTAGCGATGGCCTCCAAGCTACTTGTGATCTGCCCCAACTTTGCTGGAGGTTGTGTCATCGACACTAAGTAGGGAGTTTGTCTATCATCTGGTACGGGAACACAAGCGTCGGGTGTGAAGACCTCAAATAAATCACACATACACAAGCACAGCATGACCTGCCCTGCGTTTGAGAGGATGGTGCTTTTGGGAGCTGCACGCCGCCCCCTGGTTAGTGAATGTTGGAACGCAGGACTAGTGACTTGAACAAGAACCTGGTGGGTTCAAGAATGAGGTAATAGTCGAATTCTCAAACTACCTGGCATCCTTTTAGCTCTTGCTTGACAGCAGATTGGGCTCCAATAGCGGGACTTCTCCTTGGGCTGCGAAAAAAGATAGACACTCAAGGTTCTTCAACATGACCTCCTCTTCATGTTGCCATTCTTGGAGCAGGGGACTCACTTTTGGTAGGACCAAGAAGACGGCATTAAGGCAAAGTAAAACATCTTCAGTCACTGCCTGAGGTATTTGAAGAGAGTTCCCAACAAAGCATGTTGGCCTCAATGCTCTTGAGATCCCAATGGTCCCGATGTCCCTTCTCCTCAGGCCCTTGCCACTGTTGAGGGCTTTGCCCTGCGGAAGCGTTGTCGTTTTCTTCTGACGTGTGGAAGAGGGCCTTCTCGGCCTTCTCATACCCCATTTATATATATATATATACATTGCTTGTAGATCTCCAACGCACTGTGCTTTGCGCATCAGTGCACTGTATACCCAAGAAAGAACACCAAGGACACCCTGTTTAGGTTCCCTTTCCAGGAATCTATGCTGGGATTCCCTGGCATGGAAGTGTTCTGCAGCTTTGAAGCACACCTTTCCTCCAGATTCCTCCAGGCGTATTCCGAATTCCACTGCTGTGCTTCGCAAAGACCCCCAACCGCTTCTGGCAACGGAGAAAGGATGGCAGTTGAGGCGAAAGACTTGCTGCGAAGCGTCTGAGGGTTCATCAAATCAGGAAAAACGGATCAGGTTCATCAAAGGACTACCCTAAAGGTCGCCACATGTCCATGTCTTCCAATTCCCCCAGCCACCACGCACCTTCGCTGGCGACCTCGGAGGTCGGGGCCCTATCCCCAGGTGTCATGGGTTGCGGCCCGGTGGTTTTAAGGCAAGCTGTGAGTGATCCCAACCAGTCCAATTACCCTCCATGGGTGGAGTGATTTGAAGAAGAAGAGTAAACAGTTGCATGGCAAAGTTGCAAATCCTGAAGGCAAGGGCCACAATGACCTCAAATAGCATTCATCCGCAAGGTTAGAAACCTTGCAGTTTCTCTCGCAGCAAAGCAAGAACCTGGCAATGTATGTGGGAAGCCTATCTGAACAAAAGACACCATTGAACATGTTGTGGATGCGATTCAGCTCCACAGAGCTACGATCCAACGCTGCCTAGAAACATGCCCCAAACAACTGTCCGATGAGATTGGTACGTCGTAAAAAAAAACAAGGAGGATCTTCAAAACTGCAAAGAATATTCAATATTCCTTGCTTTCTTTCTGAGACTCATGCCTGCTGGCCTACTGGTTGCTCCACTGCATCACACCAGGCTCCACTCACCGCATTGCACTCGCACACGGACGTCCATGGGTGCCCGGGCGAATCCTCCCACCAACGATCCAGTTCATCCAAGTCTGTTCGAGCGAACGAACGCGGCCACGGTCTGACCGGTGAGATCAAAGGTGAGACCAAAGGAGAGACCAAAGGAGTCCCGGAAAAAAAAAAAAAAACATACTATATAAAAGACCTCCAGTGACCAAAAGAGATCTCCTCCTCGGACTTGAGATGAACAGTTGCTGGAAGCATCCAACTAGTCTCGCGCGAGACCAGGGGGGCGCTTATTTATAGTAGTTTGTTTCTGCCAAGAAAGAATGACAGATCTTGACCGAGGACCTGAAGCTCCTCAAATGTCACAGAAGCCTATTCAACGGAACTTCCTTCGTTTTTGAAGCTGGAGTCTTCATCCACTGCCTGTAGACTTGTCGCCACATCGGCTGAAAGAAGTGGATTTCTCTGGGCCAGAGGTCTGCATCAATGTTCTTCAAAAGGGCATGGTTTTCTGATTTCTTCAACCCACATCCCGCCTCGGATGCTGCCAGCCGTGTCATTGAGGTCCAAGCGATGGATGTTGGCCAGAGGCACCTGCCAAGGCTTTGGAGCCCAGTATTCTTCCCGAAGGTTCGACGGTCGTTTCCGTGTCTTCGGAAGAAAACAATGGTGTTCAACGGTGCACGTGTCGACGGCCAAAAGAGACCCTTTAGATCAGTCGAGAGCTGCGCCAGACGTGACCAAACACAGTCGGATCACAAGAGAATTTACTGCGAACGAAATGCTGTAGCAGCTGAGAGAAGGAAACCCACTGTGAGCCTCATGGTGCAGGATTTCTGTCATGTGTAGGGCTCCAAGAACTCATATAACTTCGCTAGCAGGGGGTTCCAAGATCCAAGACAAAACAAATACTTCCATATCCAGTGGTTATCCATGGTGGCTCATAGCAAGAAAGGACCTAAAAGAGTACGAAAATCCATGCCTCTCCGGGAAACAGGGTGGCTGTCGGTGGCCCTCGAGACCGCCCGAAGGATGGATTCAGCTTCGGGCGCCCCTCGCCTCGCGCTCCGTCAGCCTCGCGGTCCCAGACTCTGCCGGAGGTTGGAGCGTTGAAATCAAAGGGCCTAGTAGCTTCTTGTTCCAAATAGCGTCCTTGTTACTACTAGTAAGGCACTTGTTACTAGAAGCGATGCACTTGTTCCTAGTAGCTTCTTGTTCCTAATAGCGTCCTTGCTCCTAGTAGTACGGCCAGGAGCCCCGTTCGTAGCGCCGATCGCTCCGTTCGAGTCGCGGTGGCCAGGAGCCCCGTTCGTAGCGTCGTTCCTAATACGATTGGTCGCCAAGGACCCAGGAAAACCTGACATAAGATGGGTGTTCAGTGTTCAGTCGTGTTCTTCCACTCCCTCAAGCTGATTGGTCAGGGGCTACGTTACGGGGGGAGACCCAGCTATGTCCTTCTGGTGGCCGAGTACATGTCTGGTGTAGGTTCAGATCGAATGAGTTTGTAATTAAAGTTTTGGGGCTAGCTGGTTAGCTGTCAAAACGTCACAGCTGTAAACCTCAAGGAAAGGCTCTCACAGAATCACATAATATTTTACAGACCTATATATATATATATAACCCTATATATATATATGTATGTGTGTGTGATTTTTTCCTGGGAGCAATTGAGCTCCAAATAAGCTTTGGGCCACCCCTCAAGCAGGATTGGAGCGTTCACAAACATCTCCCTCAAATGTTCCCCAGCAGTGCCCCAGGCGTGTTCGGTCCCACTTCTCCACTTTGTGGTAATATGTGGTAATGCACCTTTGAGTCTCTGCAAGGGCGGGAAGCTGAGCTCCCACTGTTTATACTTGTTTAAAGCTCACCAACCTCGTGCATCTCTCGTCCCAAGTTGACGCGCTCTTTGGGCAACTTGAGGCGCTCGTCGTGAGAAAATCGCTCAGAGGCTCCCGGCTTCAGCACATCATCGTCTCCCACATCCACTTCTGCAACGCGACGCTCGGGCCGCCACGCGACGCTCGGGCCGCAACAAGGGTGCTTGTTGAGGATGGAATCAAGGGAAGCCACGAGCTTGGGCCATCAGGAGCAGTTTCTATAGATTCAAAGGCGCTTGTTGCTTGTTTCATAAGAACTGGAAGAAAATCAAATTGCCTTCACAAAGGAGCAAGCAGAAGAATAAAAACAAGTCGAAACGAACCGCAAAGGGATCAGGTCGCCCGGGGGCGTTACCAGGAGAACCAATGGCAAACCAGAAACACGAGGCATTAGTAGAGCAGCAAAACCATGCGTACTCCTGCATGAGAAAGAAGCAAAAGCTCCAGTTGTCCATTGTCCAGGTCCATGCTAGTGACTAGTGGCTTTTCTCGGGTGGTTTGTGTTCCAGCATGCTGCGTCAACATCAGTTCCTGACAAATATGGGGACGAGCCCTCTGATACCCAAAGGGAGTGAAAAGTTGTCTGAGCACATCAGGGCTTCACTCAGGTCGCTCTTCGTGCATGATCGCAGGCCATGCAGAGGGAATCCCTGCAAGACCAGCTCCGCCTGCATAGGGACTATGTTCCTCGTCGGAGTCATCCATCCTCGTGACCTGAGGGGTCACTGCACGGTGTGCCAGGGCAGCGTCTGGTCAGGTTTAATCGTGGATGGATGGGTGTGTGCCTGTTGCTCTTTCTTGAAGTGGAGCATCTAAAACCATGAAAGCTGTGTCCACAAGATATATTGTTGTCCGTAGGAGGTTCAAGTACTATCCTTCAAGTTGGACCCAAAAAATGTATGTGGTTTGTTGCCAGTGCTGGCTTTCCCTCAAAAGCCACCTAGGACCTATAGGATGTGAACATTTGGCAAGAGACATCTGACCAAAAGGAAAAGCCGCTTCAAGGTAGCACCTGCCCTTGGATTCAACAAGCCTTTGAAGTATCACCTATGGCCTATGAGTTTCTTACAGCTTTTTGGAACACGCCCGCCTGCTGATCCACGCTGATCCCCTAAAAAGAACCAAGATGACCTCGCCTTTGCTCACCGAACAAGTCCGCGTCGCTCACGCGAGCTGCTCGCGGCATTTTCCCGCGTCTCGCGGGGGGTCTGGCCGTCCCTTTGGGACGGGATCTGCTCCAAACGCAGCATCCAAAAGAATCACATCCGCCGCATCTCGCCCCAGAACCTCCCGTTTTAACACCGTGTGTGTTCTTTTCCCTCGTGGCTGAGTGGACGGGAGTGGTTTCAGCCACCATATGGAGGTTTCCATCAATTGGGGTGCCAAAACAGATGGTTTATAAGTGTATGATTCAACAAACCCGATTTATAAGTTTAAAGTTTTGGAAAACCCTGGTTTAAACTTATAAACCTGATTTACAACGGATGATTTGGGGGTCCCGATGTATGGAAACCCTCAGACTGTCGGCTCCTTCAACTCCTTCCAGGAGCTCTTTCAGCTCGGAGAGCACGACTCTGTCGGTGAAGATGAGTCACAGATCACCACATCGACTCTGTCGGTGAATGCCAAGAACATCCCCTCAACTTCAAGACAGGGAGCAAGAGCTCCCTGCTGGCCATTGAATTTCAAGCACCGAGCTTTCAGGACTGTCAGGAAAAACCTGATGAGGGATCGTACCTTTCAGACACGGCCTTTCTGGATTACTTGGTGTTGGTCTGATCATTCTTCAAGCATACATGGCCAAAAAGGGTTCAAAAGGGTACTAGCTCGGCCAGAAAATCACGATCATGGTGACCATAACAAGGCTTGTTTGGTAGATGCCGCCAGAAGTGTACGGGTGCTTCGTTCTGGATGCTCAGATCCCAAAGGGCCCTCAAGCCTGTGGCCTGTAGGTCCTTGAATTCACCTTCCTCGCAACCTGTGAAAGGCCAAGTTTTCTCAGGCGCCTGCCCCACCTGGATTGGTTGAACAAGGTCTCCACTTCGGATCCGAACAAGGTGCTTTTTCCATGCCCGTCATGACAATTCAGACTTGGTCCATCAACAAAGCTCACACCAACATCTCCTGCGCTTCGTGAACATCCTTCCCACCTGGCCTATTGCCAGAGACGGTTACCGCGCAATGGCGTAGACAAAGCTGCAAGTTCTCACCTCCTCCTCTGCGACCCTTCACAGATCACGAACAAAAAAACAATGGATCTCCACGTGAGCAACGGAATTCCTCACATGCTACTTAGACACATTGCGCTCCCTTTTCTAAACTGGGGAGGCTACCTTGCTTGTAGAGTGTAGTTTGTGTGTGTGTGACTAAAGCCCGAGCTGACCCTTCGTTGACTTGAAAAGGACATGTTTTGGATGGTTGGTACTCCAACACAAAGGTACTCGTAGCAGATTGAGTCTTTGTCATGTTCACATGACCTTGTTTGCTCTTGCAAACATGTCTAATCCTGACATGCAAGCAATGGATGTCATCCACTCACCACAGTTGGGTACAAGACTGTATCTTAGTTTCTGAGGGACCATAAATCGCTCGCACACTCACAGAATTCCAATTCTGATTATATATGTTGAACAACTGCGCTCTCGTCTTGCTGGAGTTACTAGAAATATTAAGGACATACTCCACCCGAAACCAACATGGTGCCCAAAATTGGACGGACTGGCACTGGTCCGTCCATGTTTGTATGAATGAGTGCCATTAATAAACATACTGGCAGCGGAGACCTCAGCCTTGGGTCATTCTGATGCTGGGGCTCCTCACTGCCACCAGGAAATGAAACATCTGAAGGTCCACTTACTTAGTCGTCCTTCCATGACATCACAAAGTTTTGACATGCATGTACCCCCAAGTTGACCCTTGCACAATAAGTCGGAATGTAGAATCTTGATTCCATAAACCTCCCGCGATGAAGAGGTTTTACCATCCATGTCTGGGGGAGGTGTTACTAATTATATGATCACAATATTCTACATTGCTTCGGCTCATTTCGAACAAAGGGCTTACTTCGTGGGCTCCGAGTCCGGGACCGATTCGTGTGCTAAACACCTCGTGCTCGATCCATCGCATGTCCAGTGGAAGATCCAACGCGTCTCGTCGAGGTGGACCCACACGGAATGCCACGGGAACGGGCAAGGAAAGTGGGGGTAGCTGCCCCTGTTGGTCGATTAGAATGATAGGAGACAGAGCATGCCAGGAGATATCCCCGAATTGGCCCCACCAAAGAACTGCTACGTATCCTGGTGCAAACGCTGTAAATGAGTTTACTTTTTGACGAACATTGTGACCCACTTCACCCGCAAGCAAGCAGGGGCCCCTAGATCAAGCGCCACTGTTCCGGTGCGGTATGCACAAGTACGCCCGCAGCGGTGCTCCACGCCACAAGAATTACACAGTGCAGAGATGGGAAGGTTCAGGCCACGAGAGACGGTCTACTGCTCTGCGAGAGTTTATCCAAATGGACAGTGATATATGCGCCGTGACGTGGTTCAAAATCTGCTTAGATCAGCAGAACCCTTCCAGCTCCACGGGATTAGAGACGATCTCAGCTTGCACGCCACATGCACTCCTCGAAAGGATAGTGTTGCTTGTGTGTCTCCTGGCATTGTGATTGACGTGTCAAGCAAGCATGCACTTGGGCAGGCTTCCATTAAAAAAACATATTATCCAGCTGAAAGACTCAGGGTTGGCACAGTTGATGCTTTAACAGCATGAATAGCAAATAATAGCAGGACTGCATCGCATTCGAGATACATCTCCACGCACTATCATTTAGATGAACATCTGCGTTCGAGAGTTTTGCCTCATCAACCATTGAGATCGAACGGTTTGTCTCAAGAATCTTGGATGGATTGGTGCCTGAGTCAAACCGTGTTGTATCCTTACTCGTAAAAATATTTGAACCATTGGAAGAAGATGTCGTGGTCCTCCAGTTCCAATTGTGGGAGAACTTAAGACTTTGGAAAAGCCAGAAGGGGTGGTCCTGTTGCCTCTACCCCACTAAATAGCAATTGGGTCAACTTCTCAACTAGCTTCTCCAAGCGCAGAACAATGCACCAAAAGCATCCAAAAGCGTCGAAGCCTAAGCTTCCCCAAATGAATGAGCAAGTATGAGTGTCCAACACATTTTCCCCTGCAGGCCTGAACCACTACATGTTTTTGGAACTGTCACGGCTCTATTCCAGGAAATTCTATAGGTGATGCAGGTGCTTCCACTCCAAAACTGCCAACCCCGCGTAGCTGTGAACTGATCGAGGCCCAATGCGTGTGCCAGGTCACACGAAACCTGGCGAGAGAGGCCGGTGCGAAAGGGTAATTGCGGTACAAATGAGTCGCCCAGTCCATTTTTGGCAACATAGAACGTCCACCCACTTCTCGCTTACCCCCAGCTGCTCAGGTTTCCCGTTTAACTTTGGGAGTCTGAGGGCAGAGCGTTGCTCGCGTGAGCTTGCGCAACCGTGTTCGGAGCCGTCCGCAACCGGTCGCAGATGTCCGCAACCGGTCGTGTTCGCAAGAGATTGAGTGTGATAATTGCAGGAAGCTTTTGGAGGAGGGTTTTCGATGGAAGCCTGCAGTGCCAGATTCGTATGAAATACCGTAGAATTGGCACATGTGGACGTGTGGCGTCCGCAGGTGTAGCGTTTTGTGAGGTCAGGACATGCGGCTGCCATTGGCGCTAGCAGGGTGGTCTTTTGAAGGTGTTGGATGTGGTTGTGCCGGCTGCCGCGCGTCGGCATGTTGCTGGTGAGCGGGATGCTGTGTGGTCGTCACCAGAGTGTCCAACAAGAGTGTCAAACAATGCTTGGCCGTTTGTTTTTCAGCGCGTGGCGTGTGTGCATTGGAGTTCGTGGGTTCCATCTTGCTTTCTTTTTGTCAAACATACAGCCTTGCACTGATCGAAGCAAGCTTTGTGTGAAAGCTTCCGGGTTTCGGAGACTCCCTATTCCTTTTCATTGACTTTTTGATCAAACATTGCATGGGTCATGCGTAGATGGTTTTGGGCAAAACCTGATGACCTGTCTGAGGACTATCAACCTGTTCCTTTCTTGGGTCACCCGCGGTTCGTGGGGTGCCATGCCCACATCGTTGTAGTCTCTGTTGATGATTAGATCAGCCCCTTGAATTGAGATTGGTGGACTTGCAAATGGCCCCAAAGCAAATGGGAAATCTGAATACTGTCATAGATACAGGAACAGAATCCAATACCAATACACTCTTTAAAAGAGGCTTATCTCTCTTGGAAAGCCAATTGTGGCTATACAGACTTTCGGCAAATCTCCGCCGTTGAAGTTTGACAAAAAGCCAGGTGACTTGTCAGTTTGTCTAGTCTAGTCTAGTCTATGGATGCACCTTGCTCACCAGCGGGGAGCGACCCACCACGCCGCCTGGGTCGCTCTCCCGACCCCGCCATGGACCCGCCCTCCGCCCCGGTCGGTGGGACGGCACACCGCCTCACACGAAAGCGGTGGGCACCCGCCGGAGGCTGCGGTAGACACTGGCGAAGAGGTTTTCAAGTCCTGCGGTGTCCCACGGCAGCAAGCAAAGGGTCCCCCAAAAAGAAAGAAATCACGTGAAGGTGAAATGGCTGGAACCTGGATGGGTTAAGATGTTTGTTCTTCATGAAAAGAAAAACTATCAAAAGTCACCCATATTGAGAACTCCAATCTTCCGCCGCGGTTTGGGAGGGTCCAAACCCGGACCCTGGTGGTGCTCTGCGTGTACCACGGCATATGACCAGCAACTCAGAGAACATGGGTCTTCCAGAAAAGCACCATCTATACAGAGTACCGATCTCATGGGGATGCTACACGTGATAGAAAATAAGAACACACAGGTCGTGTTTCAGTGCCAGGAAGATGCTCTTTCTGACCCCAGCAAGGAGACTGCCACTTGAACTCCTGTACGAAACCATGCAATGGGGAAGCACTTTCGTTGGATGGGAGATTGGGTTTCCAGTGGAGATTGGGTTTCCAGGCTTAATTCCATATTCTATCACTAGTCAGTAATTATATACATTAAGCACAAAGTACCAGCTGACATGGAGCAAATGTTCTATAAGCAACACCGCCAGTTCTGTGAGCGCCTGTCCTCACCTGACTCAGTTCGTGATCTGCCAGGACAAATGACCCTGGGTGCTCAATGAATAGACACCCCTTAACCTCTGACGGTCTCTCCTTGGAGGACCCCGGTCTCGAGATCGTTGAAGCTGGGATGTTCACAGTGCCCATACGGGTCGAAGTAGTTGGATGGCCAAGTCCTTTCAATCCTTTGACATTGAAGGATTACACTTTCGCGGAAGTATCATGGAACTGGAAAATGGCCACTTTGACGACCATTGTCCTCTACAAATAGCTGGTGTCCTCTACCATACTCAAATGTCTGATCTTGGGACTCTTGGGTCAACCTCATCACCAAGAATCCAGAATCCCAAACTTCAGCCCGCAGGCTCCTTGACTGTTGTCACCACTGCCGTAGGACTGTGACCAGAACCTCACTGCACTTGTGCTTCGAAAGCACGAGCGAACACTGCCCTGGTACCGTAGGAAAGCAAATGATGGAAGATTGGTCATGAATGTGACTCCCCGCCCCAGATCAAATACCGGTGACAGAGTTTGACAAGACATGACAAGACAGGTGCGTCCATGACAACAAGGCAGGTGATTCAGATGCGCTTGCGGAGTCTGACCAGACTGTGTGGAGGAATATATATCATGTGTGAAGGCTGGATGGGCAAGAAAAAAACAATAATATTTCTTTGACATATCTACCTGGCATCACCATATGTATCACACCAAAAAAGCAATGTACTTGGCATCTCCACGGGGCTCTATTGACACCAAAAATGGAAGGCAGCCTGACTAGGCTTGAACTTCGAGTGTGTCCAAGATGGGTTCTTTGACCACTTGTGACAACGAACCAGAACCACAGGACCTTCTAGGAACTGCCGTCAACTACCCGGATGCCGGTCGGCACGTCTTGTGAGTTGTGTGGAATCAGTGTAGGTGTTGAAAGACAGCAATTCATGTCACAGTGCTAGCCTGGTTGATAAAGAACAGACCCGTTATCCACCGAGCGAAGCAGTAGCTTCGCGACGTCACTTTGCCCCATCGGATGTCAGGGGGGATCCACGGAGTCGTTGCTCGTCGGGCCACACACAGAACTCCTCGAAATCGACCACGTCGTCGTGGTTCTTGTCCTCGGCGCCGTGCAACATGAGACTTCGGACGTCCGTGCGACCACGAAGCGACGGCAAATCGGGGGTGTTCCTCTTTATAGGGAGACTCCGAACCCGTGGGGTTTGGTCTATTCCCTTCTTCCAGGGGATCGAACTGGGAGGTCTCCTCGGAGCCATTGCCAAATGGCCGAATACTGTCGAACTGGAATGCTAACTAGAAACTGTGGATCAGAAAAGAACACGACCACAGTGGCAAGTTTCTTGTTCAAGCATGGCCCACCACGTCATCGTGGCGAACACATTCGTTTGCCAAACCTGAAGCAAAGTACCCTCTGCCCACCCCCAAAAAAGAACAAACAGGGCTGTTGGTTGGTCAGGTCAGGTTTGTCCATCGGCATCGGGCCGTCGACGGCCACAAACCCCGACGGCGAAGGCGCGAACGTCACGAAGACGAAGTCTGCGAGATCAGCCAAGTTGTTGTGACACAGATTGGTTGCACTGTCATGCACTGTCTACGTTCTTGGGATGGCGGCCATGTGACATCAGGTCGCTCTTTGCCTCATGTTGACCGGTGCCATGGACAGGAAAACATGCAGGGCTCGAGACGCGCCATTGATGTGGGCTCTGTCTGTGGCGTCTGCTCCAAAAGGGCGTTACGCTGGAGTGTCTTTGCGCTGTTTGTTTTGGTTGGTAGGTGATCTTAGATGATCTTGGCCAGCCTAGCATCCCCAGCCCCTGGATTCGCATGGGGGAACCCCTCAGCTCTGACACGCACGATGTGCTTGTACAGTATGTAAGTATGTGTCGTCCCACATTCCAAGGATCTGCGATGAGGAAGAGATTGGCGACCTGGCAAACAATTGAAAAACATACACAGCACATGTTTTTTGCTTGAGACAACTGGGTGGTTGTGGGGCATTGTCGGTTTCCATTTGTGGGTCTAGGAAAACCAATGGTGCGACAAAGAAAGGAGGACAATATCTTTTTCCAGACTGAATTGACAGTCGAAAACAATCACTGGAAACGCCTTTATGACGAACTAGTCCTTGGCCACCTGCCGCCTCATGAAGGGCAATGCCATGTCATGCCGCAAGGGCCCGTTGAAAATTCTGATTTTGGAGATCATCAACAGCACTGGACCTCCGACCCATACGGCAGCAAGAAAATCCTGCGTTCCCTATCCCCGACGGGATCCAGTATTCTGGGCTCCACATGTTCAGAGGATAAAACATAATAAAACCATGGCCAATTGCACAGAAGCCCGCATACCCAATGGCTTTGATCGATGTTTATCGTGTTTTATCTTCCTCCACTCTTCACATCTGCTCCACTCGGACCCACAGGACCCAGAAAAAAGGGTGCTGCGGCTGCAGCCCAGGGCCATTAAGAATTGCTTTGTGCTCTCACTCAGAAAACCCTGTCCGACCACCCCTCCAGTTCCACCCGGTGAGGCCCCGCACCCGGTTGGGTTCCAGCTCCGTCTCGGGCCTCGCTGCGTGGAGAGTTGAGCGGTCGGAGGTTGGGCGGCACCGACGGACCGACATGTCGGTTAGCTTTGTGGTGGACCCTCAGGAGCCTCCTTGCTCCGGTTCGTAGCGATGCCCCTTGCTCCGTTCGTAGCGTCCTTGCTCCTAGTAGCGAGGCCAGGAGCCCCTAGTAGCGATGCCAACATGGGGCTAGGTTTGGACGCAGATGGACTGAACTTGGATCCCCGCTGCACAACTGCAGAACTGCGACGCTCGGCCAAACTGCGTCCCACTCCTACACTCTTCCTGCTCCCGTATACGAGGACGCTCTACTGATACTCAAGGTGTGAAAATCCCGTTGTTCTGCGGCGTTGCATCAAGGGGTGTTCATCATGCGCAACATGTGGCGCCCTTCATGGGCTGGTCGATCTAGCAAAGCCCACGCAAGAGAGACCATTAGACCCTTGGTGCTAGGCTGCTAGATCTAAAAGTGCCGCAGTGCAGATCCCCTGAGCCACTTTGGTGGAACCTCACCCTGGAGCCATCCATTCTTGACCCAAAGACAAGCAGGTCGAGTCGGTACCCAGTAAACTTTCAGATAATTTCCATGATTCATCGATACCTTTGATCAGGCCACACATCTGAGTTCGTCAGTGCCACAACTTTGAGATCTCCATCTAATCTTGCCAAGAGCTGGACCCAAACACACAAAGTTGCTTTTTCTCGCAGAAGCGCCACAAGTGGGCATAGAATGTCTTGGGGCAATTCGAAATTTGCAAAGAAAGCTTTCTTCAAACACCCTTTGTTAAACGTATGTAGTAACCACCTGGAAGATGGAAATCATCTAATCTTCCCAAGCTCTCAAAAGTGGGGTTCCATGGTTGTCTGCGAGGAGGGAAACCTTTTCAGCTACACAGCTTGTTGAGTCACTAACTCTCGGCCCGATGAATGCTGAGAAAGCTGCGGGAGCTTGAGGAGATGCTTCAAGATCTCCTGAAACTCATCGATCTCGATGGCACCTTGTCTTGCAACTCAGAGTCATGTTTAAGGTGCTTGTGAGGACGACTTCTGGTGGTTCAAAGGGTGAAGGTGAAAGGTGGTGAATCTGCAGGGTGCAGCTTTCTGGGTGTTCATGTCAGTTTTAATCCTACTTTTTCCTCAGTGCCATCAAGCTATTCAGTCTTGGTCCTGTCATACTCTGAGAGTCGTTAAGACCTGGCCAAAGCTGCAAAGGCGAGAAGCGATAAGTGTGGGTTAGTTGCACTACCTGCTGCTGGGATAGCAGTGACGAATGATTCAGTTCCATTGGGATTCCGGGATGGGCTTTCCACCACAGGAAATCGGACAAATGAGTTTTGTCCTGGACTTCACGAGAAACCGTGCAGAGGCAAGCATTTTGACCAGCAAAGCTCAACAAGCATGGGCCAAGCATGGGGAGATGACCTCGAAGCTGTGACTTGAGTGGCCAAGCCCGAAGACTTTCCCTACATGGCCACTGGCCACTGGATCCCACGCCCCTCTGCAGCTTCGCGGCCACTGCCGTCGGTGTCGAACTTGTCGAAGGCCTTCCGGTAGTCGTCCACGTCCACCACCTGGACCGAGCGAACCAGATGTCTCATCCTCCAAATCCTCCAAGGAGTCCTCTTCACTTCACAACAGCGCAAGCTTTGCCGGATGTCATCTGATAAACCTTGTTATAGCATGTTATAGCCGTGAATCCATGCAAATCTGCAAATCCCTATTCTGTTGTCAAAAACTCGCATGAACCAACTGGCTGAACTGGACTCCCTCTTGGACTCCTTGGACTCCTGCCTCCAGACCCAGCTTTTTAGCCAATCGACGGGTGCGATGGTCATCCTGACGCGTCGCGGGTCACGGGTGCGATCGTCATCGGACGTGGTCGGATGGACAGTCAGCTGGAGATGTTGGACAGTCAGCCGGGTGTTGGACAGTTTGACTATGTTTGACCATCCAACAATGGGGGTGTGTGAAGTTTGTGTTGTCTGGATGCACAAAGGTCACTACTTCGAGAGAACCAGATCTGTGGCTGCAAATGTTCAAAACACCGCCATCCCAGGGCCATCCCTGTCTTTCATGATGACCCAGGTTGCAAGCAGCAAAGTACACACCAGAGCCCGCACCATGCGCCATAATCTTTGCCGTTGTCCTTTAATGCGTGTATAATACCGTTTATACAACATGAAATCCATGAGACAGTGAAGCCAATCAAAAATTGTGGCATCCACGCGGCGGCCGTACAAAATCGTCACCCTAAGCTACAGCTGCTTTTCACACTGATGCGTTCCAACAAGTGGCTGTCCTTGTTGGGCGTCATTTCCTCCGAAAAGCTGAAAGCCGAGTACCAAATGAAGAACTCTCGCACATCCTTGGAGCAGCCGTGTTCCGAAGGTGCTACGCAACACCTGTCCCCGTGCCCGGATAGCCTTTGTCTCGAAGAAGCGAGGAGATGACCTGTATGTTCTTGTCAGGTCAAGACACGGTTGACCATTGAGTACCTCCAAAACCCTTTCCGAGAACGAGACATGAGAACCTGTAAATATTCGTAGATTCACCAGTCTGTATAAGTCTTTGGTTCAGTGATTGTCTTGAGCCAAAAATGGATCCCTCAGTCCTTAGTCAGTGTACAGCGTTGCTGTAGACAAACGCGCAAGGCCTCATTAAAAGGAAGTCTTCGTCTTCGTGCTCCATCGTGCTCCTTAGCAGGACTGAAGCATCCTCCTCACAACAAGCTGTGCAGCCTCCTCCCTTCTGTTCCTCCAAAATTCCCTGGCATCGAGCGGCGATGGCGTCGGCGTTGAGGCGGTTCAGGCTCCGGGTCGCGGTCTCCACGAAGTGGGGCGACAGCTCACTCAGGCTGCTGACCTCGCTGTCACTGTCGCAATCAGCGATTTGTTGCCCCACAAGCGATGCAAAAAGGCGTTTCATGAGGTCCCTTCCAAGCTGATCGAAAGCATCAAGTGTCCAATCAAATCGGACTCCTTATCTAAATGATTAAATTCATGATCTTGAATCTTGCTTATCTTGCTTCTTGCTCCATTAATCATTAATCTTTCTGTCCGAGGCCACCACATGGGTCACTTCCTCAGATCCACTTGCGCTCCCGCATGCGAGCACAAAAAATGGTCGGGCATTGGTCAGGTTTAAGTCCATGAAGACTTGGAAGGGGTTGGTGAAGGAGTTCAGAAGGGCTGGGGGCTTTCGGGGGGGCTTTTGGAAGCTTTCAGAAGGGTTGGAGTCTTTCATTACTGGGTAGACTCTGATTTGACGTGTGCCACTACCGCGAACAGCACGGACGTGTGAGCATAAAATCAGCAAGCCCTATACAAAATTGACGAACTCCAAAACAATGTGCAATGAACCATTTTCAGGCTTGCACATTCAACTCCACATTGACCGTTACCTCTGCTTTTCATCTCCACATGCAAATGGTGCTCAGGATTCCAGTGAGCAAAGACTTCTGAGGTTTCAGGTTGGCACTCGTGAATGGACGCCGCGGATTTCTCTGTCTCTTCGGAGCAAAAGCAAATCGACATCACGCCACTCTTCGTGCGGGAGTGACATTGCCTCTCGTGCGTCCGCCAGTTGGAACTCATACCCACCAGTTTGTCGCAGCAGTCCCCGAATGCATCGGGAAATGCCGTCTGTGTGCAGGCCAAGTTCACGAGCTGCGCTTGCCATGGAGTCATGAAGTTTCCATACATCCTTCGTTCCTTGAGGCCGGCTCCAAACAGCCTTTCCAGTGGTCCTCCTAGTGAGGGAGCAAAGACCAAAACGGGATCAACCACAAAAGAAAAGTTGTAGTAGGATCAACTAAAAACCAAAGAAGAATCAAAAAGACGTAAAAACACATCTGCTCCACAATGTGGGATGCAAGGCAATCTCCTCAAACAACATCGGGAAGACGAGGATCAACAAAAAACAAAACTGCTCTCAAAAAACTCAGCAATGCCGAATCATTCCAAGGAATGGGCTGGTGTTGCTTGGATTGTGGTTTGGCATTGTCTGTTTACCAAATCGAAGCAACCGACCATGGTCGGGTTAGTGTCACTAGGGGCCTACGGAAGGAAAAGAAGCAGAGAGCGGTGCACTGCTTTTGGGGTCGCTTGTTTTTGGAGCGGCTTTGGGGTCTTAGCGGGTTGCTATGCGAGCAAAGAGCAAAGAACGGCGAGGGGCGCAGGGAGCCGGAGAGGAAGCACAACATTGAGTTGTTCATCTGTTTACCTGCCTTTGATTTCTTGGTTTATGAGTTTACTGGTTCTATGACCAATCGCCCGTTTTGGCTCAGGGCCTCACTCCTTCAGAGCTTGGCTTCAGGTTTCACTTCTTTAGGGTTTCTTCGGGCTTGGGTCCGGGCTTTAATGCTTTAGGGTGTCTTTGGAGTTGGCTTCAGGTGTCACCTTTACAGGGTTTCTTCGGGCTTCACTTCTTTAGGGGTTCTTTGGACTTGGCTTAGGCGCAGGACTTTGGGTTTCCGTCGTTCCTCATTCCCAGCCCTTGCTAACTCACAGCACGCGGTCAACAGCCCGGCGCAGCTTACTAAGCTGGCCTCGTTTCCTTCCTTCCATCCTTTCCTTTCCCTTTCCCTTTCCCTTCCCTTCCCTCCCTTCCTTTTGTCCTTCCTTCCGTCCGTCCTTCCGGCCTGCCTTCCTTCCGTCCTTCCTGCCTTCCTTCCCTCCCTGTCCTTTCCGTTCCTTTTCTACTATCTTTCCTGCCTTTGTACTTTGTTTTCTGTTTAATGCATGTTTGTTATCTTTTTGATGCGTGTTGTTATGCGTTGTTGTTTTTCTTTTGATGCGTCTCCCCAGTCCTCCGCCCAGCGGTGGATAATCTGAAAAAATGGGCTTGGTTTTCTGAAGGGCTGACCCACTCAAGATTGTGCACAGCGTTGTTGCCTTTGTCCAGGTCTTTGTGGTTCACAAACCTCTGGTGATCAGATGGCGGTGGCCCAAGAAAGGCAAAAGCCACAAGCCGATGAACAAGCACGTCCTGCCTGAGTGAGCTGGTGTGCAATTGGGTTTTATAGTATCCCTGTCGAGTGAGGTGCCCCCTGCTTATCAACCCAGTCCGCGATGTTATGCGGCCAAGCGAGCTTACCATCCTTCTTGACACTTGCACACCTGACATAGGATCGACTAGTGGTCGCCATGCTTCTCCAGGCAAAAGCTCATTTGCATCTTGATACCTAAACTGGTAGCCTTTTGCTGCAGAGTTCTTGTGGCAGCATCTTGACACCGTAGATCTTGCCATGCCAAGCTGGTGAGATGCCTCTGTGGCAGATGGGCTTGCTGTCCAGCTGCCAGAGCCAACAGGCCTCCAAAGCACGGGCTTGGACTGAGATGGCCCAGAATTGCGCCTCACAGAGCTAGAATATGACGCCCGCACATTTTCGCTTCGTGTTACATACTCCAGGTTCTCCAATCGATTGTTGGCTCGATCGCCATCCACGTGATGCACTTGCCACGCTTCTTCGGTTTTGGGAAGTCCATGAAAAGTAAGCTTTACAATGCGATGAACAAGGCAATTCTGTCTGGAAATCTTGGCCACCCTGTATCCGCTAGAGTCCAGACACCCATGCGAAATGAGTTGTCGGGTGTCGCAAAGGCGTCCATGCGAGCTCACCTGCCAACAACCTTTGAGACTTGGAAGTGGCACACTGGCAAAATTGCGCAGCGCTCGTGGCCAGCAACACTGTAAGCACCATGCTCGCAATTGACGAGAGGGCACAGGGGTGGCCATAGCAAGGAAGCTTCGGTGATTGGCGAAGCGCACTTGAACAGCACAAGCATAACACTTTACAACCGACACAAGCCTACCAACAGACATATGTCTTTATACTGACATCATCGATCCTGTTTTAGACGTGACGTCACTTAGGTCTGCACTTGAGCAAACTGCTTTGAAATGGGACAGGTCCTTTCTGAAAAGGTGCTTGGTCCTTTGGCATTCGTTCCTCATTGGGGGTGAACATTCAAGCTGAAGCTATCTGGAGCTGAAGGTGATGGTCGTCCCAACTAGGAACTTGCATTGAGTGCATCTTGCAAAGATTCAACGGTCTTGCTCCGCTCAAGACACGAAGTTGACCTTGCATGTTGCATGTTGCAGAGAACGGTTCAATAGTTGACACTTTTTGCGAAGGCCGAACCACGTGACACATGAAGACCATCTGGGTCAGCTCTGGTCTTACTAAGTGGCTCTGGTTCACGGCACTAGGCAAATCAGCCTCCTGCCTTTTCAGGCCAGCCAAGAAAAATGATGACAACTGAGGGTTAACGTAAAGCCTTGCATGGTTTCGTCGCATCACTGCATCGCGCTCTAAGGTGCAATGATACCAACGCCTCACTTTGCTCAGCTGATCGCACCCACCGACCAACCGTCCACCGCCGTTGGGGGTTGTAGGTGTCACACAGCTGACCAGGTACGGGCACCAGTACCTGGAGCCTCCAAATGGCAGTTTTGCACAAGTAGATCGCCACATCTTTCAGTGCAAAAATTGCTCTTCTCTTGATCTCTTTGGTGCTGCTTCGGACCATCCAACCCACACTATCTATGCCTCACTCTATGTCTCCAATGTCCTTGACCCCTCACCAGATCCACTGCCAAGCATCACAAAGAAGCGCAGGGAAGTTGATCATCCGCAAGCGCCGCTGGAAGAGATCAGGGCCTCGCGTGGGCTTCTGTTGGCAGTGATGAAGTCTCAGCGGGTGAGATCGTTCCATGCATGCAGCTGCTCCATGTGGAAGGACCTTTGGGTGAAACCCCGCTGGATCTTCGACCATATTCCCAAGACGAGAGGACGTGGGGTGGCAAGATCACTGAAAAAAGCGGCCAAAGCAGGACGACCAGGCCCTCAGTCCAGCTTTGAACCAGTTTTGGGGGTCGGTCTGTGAGACCTTAACTCCATTTGTATATCTCCCTCATCTACTCTACCATTTGTCCATTCACCCCATTTTATTAAGTATTGCAGTCTTCCAATTCCCCAGACGCCCCGAACTTCCCACCCCCTTCACACGGGCGCTGCCACACGGCGCCTTCGCCATCGCTGTAACGCCCAAAGAGCTCGGTCGCTTGGCGCGCCAGCTCTGCGGGGATCCGCAGCTCGTGTGCCAACCTCTGCAGCGCCAACGGGAAACCGCTGGTGCTTGGCCAACGAGAAACGGCTCGGACGGCCAATCAAAAAAACGAACGTGCGGTGGCGGGAAGACATGGTGTTGGTTCGGGTTCGGGTACATAATGAGAACCAAACTTAACATGATTCCATGATTCTTCACAGAATCTGGTTTGTTCCTTTCCCCTTGCACAGCACATATAATTAAACTCTTCTTCCTCACCCGATGAAAATGTGTTCCACAAAAATGGTCCGCTCCCCACTCCCCTTATCGTCGTTTTGCTGTTCCAAGGCAACTGGTCTGGATATGTCTGGATGGCGGTGCCGATTGCCGATCAGTCGTGGAAAAGATGTGGAAGATACCTTTACAGTAGATCAGCTCCTGATGCTGCCGGATCACTTGGCCTGTGGTCTAAACCAAACCTATCACCCCGCAGTAAAAATCACAAAGCATCAATATAAATACATATATATATATATATTACTATATATATATATAATTATATATATATCATCAATCAAGCAATCAGTTGATCAAACCGCCAACCAACCAACCAACCAAACAAACAAACAAACAGCCAGCCAGCCAACCAGCCAAGCAACCAACCAATCAGTCAAATCAATTAAAAAACTCCAAGCATCAATCGAAATCAATCAATCAACCAATCAAACATTACAAAGAAACCCAAATAAACAACACAAAGCATCTCATCATCTCAACCCTACCATCCGAACTCCTTCCAAATCCTCCAGTCGAGCTGCTGAAAGAGCTGCGGCCCTTTGGAGCTCGCTGAGGCCAACGTGGGCGACTCGCTGTAGGTCAGGTCGAGGCCTCGAAAGCTTTGGTCCCAGGGCGACTGGAGGATGTGGGTGTATATTCCAATTGGAAGACCCATTCACATTGGGTTTTACAACGACTTTCAACTCCAGTACCCACCGTAATGCACGGGAAAAGAGGGGCCGGTCGTGGGAAAAGCGCTCGAAGAGGCCGAGGCGGACGTCCGCAAGTCGTGCCCAACCAATGGGGTGTGGTCTATGTCCCTTCGGTCTCCCTATTTGAGCTACACACCCGCATCGCAGTGTTCGACTGTGTTCGATCCGGGTTTGACCGATGACCGGTCATGGCGTGTTGGAGGGTTCCAGGAAAACACAGTGCTTGGGACCGCACCGAGCGGAAACTCTGGGTGTTTGGGTTCTATCAGGGTATGTGCATTTCTGGGAGTTGAAGAGCTTTGGGTGTATATATATATATATGTATATATATATATATGTGGTTCAGTTACATGAACTTTTCCTAGCAACGTCGTGACACGTTCACCTTCGCCCTCTGTACGTTTCTTTTCATCAACAGGATTCCTTCAGCCGAAATGTCACAACAAACATCTCTTCTTACAAGTTATGATGCATGCACGCTGCAAGCCTGCCATACCTGATGCATGAATAGGAAAGTCAAAGCCCCAATCAAGAGGGCCTTACTCCATCTTCCATGTTAAATGATCGTCTGGAGTCGGGGCGTCCTAGTTTCCCTTGCCCACCAAAAATGTTGTGATGTGAACATCAAATCTGGAGGTTCATGCAAATCAAATGTCGCCTTTCATCGAACACCCCAGCGAGACCTGCACAGCTTGTGGCTGTAATCTCAGGCAGTTTGCAGCGATACAAACCCTATGGTTTGAGGGTGCAAGCTCTGGGCTCATCATTCTACAGGTACAGGTACATGCCCTGCTATTCACAATGGTTGCCCTTTTTTGAACCAGACCGGTCTTCGACAATGGCCCCAGTGAGGCCTTCGATGGGTGGCAAAGTCTCCTTAGCTTCGTGTGGGGCAGGCCGCAGTTTCTACTCTGGATCCTATCAACAGCCATGGAGTGTGGATGTGCGTTCATTGCTGTGGATGACCCGAAGAGCTTCTTGCTCTATTCACTCTCTTTTGCCGATTGGGGACAAAGAAGGCAGACACCCTGCAGGTTCTTGAACACGAGCATGATGTGTATGTTTAATAGAGACCCAACCAATGCATTGGTCATGGGTTCTGGTCTATTGTCCTTCTTGCAGGGGGTCAAAAAGGGGTCGGTCTCCCTATTTGAGCTACCCACCACACCCCTTGTTGTTTTGCGGCTATGACTGCTCTTGCCAGTTGCCTCACTGACTGAGCATCCAGAAACAAACGATTACAGGAGAAAGCATCAGAAAGCAAGGGTCACGCGGTTTCTTTGGCAAGTGGGTTGGTTTGCGCAAAAGGTGATGTGTTGTTTGGTGTGGAGTTGGACTCTCCCAAGAGAACGGGCAGATGATGGAAAGTGATTTGACCAAACACATCGAGTGAAGTTAAAGGTCCGAGGACAGGTTTGATGGTATTGTACAAAAAGCAGAGAACGCTGAGTTTTGGGCCACCTCAATCGGCTTTTGGTGACACACTGCATCTGTGGGTCATGAATTGCGGCGACAGTGATCACCTGGAAATGCTCCAAAACACCCGGACATATCGTCAGGACAGTGGTAATGTCTCAGCGACATAGCTTCTCGCACCATCCGCTGGTAGACTATGTTCCCAGTAAAATGTGGTCTTCAAGCACGACTGTGGGATGATCCTAGGCCCGGCTACAGAGATGGTGCATTAGTCTTGTGGGGTGGAGAAAGACCAAACCCAACACTGGAGGTGTTGTTGCATGATCGAAAGCCAAACCCTCGGATGGAGGGACAAACTGATTGTTGGGTGACGATGGACGATGGGCACCTGTGAAAATCTCAGCCCAAATCGGAGGCCAAGATTCTTCCATGTTTCTGCCCATAGTTCTGCCCACATAGAAGGGGGAGGCTTGCTGACGGGTTTGTCGGCAAAAGGATTCGAAATCCGAGCAGATGGTAGTCGCATCTAGCCCAATTTGGTGACAGTAGCCCCAGTCAAGTGGCCAGCCCATTAGCCAAGAGTCTAACATAGTTTTGGCGAGGGTGTGCCTGGCAGCGGCAACGCTTGGTTGTCTGCATTGGAATTATGATGCCCGTGGGAAACTCCTGTATCTCGAGACACGGTATGGGTTGGTTGGTTCCCTTAAATACAGAGCCTTGCAGTGCATTTTAATTTGTCGACCATCCAAATGGTGAATGTCCGTAGCCAAAAATGCGGTGCAAGGTGTCTTCCTTCTAAACCAAAACGAAAATATATACTATGCCACGCCAAGTTAACTTTCTACTACACACACTCACTAGACTGGATTCTTGCAAGTTCTTCTCCGACCATCGCCACCAGCCCTGCAGAGTTCCTAGTTCCCAAGAATTATCCCTTTTGGTGCTTCAACATCCACAATGCCAAAGACTTCTCCCAAATCACCTCGTACCCCTTTTTCAAGCCTTCCGCCGATCGATGCCAGGATCCCATTCCCGCACGACCGACCGGTGGAACGAGACGCCGGTTCGCCGGTTGCGATCGGGCCCAGCTGCGCCTGTGGCGAGGGCTGTGCTGCTGTGGCACAGGGCTTTGCAGATGGGAGCCCTGGCGCTGCTTTTCGGGCAGCCCACCTGGGATCGGCTGTGGGGCCGTGCTTCCCTTCGTGGTCCAAGCGTTGGGAAGCCGAACAACGACTGGCAAAAAGGGAAGTGGATGAAGAGAACCAGTGTCGGGGAGTCCAGCTTGCATCGGTGCTACCTACATGCTTGTCGACCCACAAGTTTTCAATGGGGATGAATAAGGATGGTGTTTGAAAAGCCCCAACATCTACTTGATTTATCTTGACTTCATGTTGCTTCTCATCACATGTCGATGAAAAAAAACACTTTAGTCTCACAATCAGTCCAACCACTTGAAACCACCAACTCCCCGAAAGACCAAATCCTTGTGATCCAATGCCAGAATGATGACTTCCATGGTGGAATGCCCACAGACGCACCTAGCCCACTCACTGTACTTCATTTGCCACACCCGTCACACCCGTCACACCGACCCGTCGCGCACCAAGTAAGCTCTTGGAGGGCGACGAGCGAGGCCTCCAGGGGGAAACGTTGCTGGAAAGCACTCTGTGACTCCCTGGACCCAGAGCCGAAGAGTCCTCTGCTTGGAGTGGCCGTGAACAGCCCAAACAGCTCCAGTGGGGTGTGAATCCAGAATCTCAACTGCTACAGTATTATCTGCTATGTTGGGCAAGGTAGGATTCTTCACACGTTCCATGTTCTATCATGTTCTTCTATCTGCTTGAGGACTAGAGGAAGTTGGGCAACAAAAAAGTGCGCCTCTCGGGCGTTCCAAGTTCATAGTGTTTGGTCTTGTCATCCAACTCGATACCACACTCGATACGCAACACGGCCAATACAGATTCGCGCAGATTTCGCATCTTGAGACGCGCGGATGAAGACGCCTCTCGGGCTCATCGAAGGTGAGGGTGGTGGGGCTGCGGATGGCACCTTAACTTCAAACGACGCCCAGAGACCCTGAGTCAAAGGGCCAGTTGCTTCCAAGGGGTCACCGGGCTGTTTTGTATTGGACACCCATAAACAGGAAGCACCTCTGTATGTGTCTAGCTGTTCCAACATCAACTTCTTGGAAGAACGTCAAATGTCAGGCCTTCAGGTACTTAAAGGGACAAAGGGGTGACTGGCAACTGGTTGAACTTCTGCCTAATTGGCAGAGAAGTTCATGAGAGCATATGAGAGCTTTATTTGTGCCAAAGTGTGTCTTCTTGTTACTAGTAACTAGTAGCGATGGCCTCCAACCTAGAAGCAGCGATGCACTTGTTGCTACTAGCGATGCCCCTGCTACTAGTATCTTGTCTACCCGAGAGGAACTTTAGATTGCCACTCTCCCGAACTGTGAGAATGAGAGCAGCGCTACTCCAGGCGGTCGCCCGGTGACTTTCAGGAACCAGTCTACCGGCGAACTTTTACCCCCATCAACCTCGGTAAACCAGCGATGCCCTTTGTTACGAGTAGCTTCTTGCTCCTAGTAGTATGGCCAGGAGCCCCTAGTAGCATCCTTGCTCCTAGTAGCGGTGCCAGGAGCCCCTAGTTAGGTCCTTGCAAAAAACTACGGACAAAAAGAATGTAGTCAACAAATAGTCAAATACAAGTACTGCCTCCCCTGATTCATCTCCTCTCCCTCTTCTCAGTGATGCCTAATCAACTGAACGACAAAGTGGATATGATTCACCAGCAATTGGCCATGTTTGCGTACGGAGATCCATACGTTGGGTTGTCCCACCCAAGATGTCAGTCCAACAAGCGTCTTTGATATTTCAGCTAAGGACCCTGCTCTTGACCTTCCCTGCCAACTCAAATCCTGGATTGGGAAATGTATAATCCAAACCATGCGGTCCGTCCCCATTCTTGGTGGCCAACCCCTCACTCAAAATGAGGGGACCACTGCCGGTGACATCTGGGCTACCCGAGCTGATGGCCGTGCCCTGGCCACGCAGCCGTAGAGCCCAACGCATGTGGTAGAGCCCAGAGGGTTTCAATGGTGGGCTGATCGTGGGTGCCCAATAGCTGTGAATCCTCAAACCTTGACAGTGGGGGGGCCTATGGTTGATGGCAGAAACATCTGCACCACCCAACCGTTACACAACAATAACCCATTAGACGACGTGGAAAGGCCATGATGGGCCAACATCACATGGCGAGCTCTGCGAGCTCCGGATGCCCACAAACACACCGCTTTGGATCGAAAAGCCCATTGCCCCCGGAATGGAAGCAAAGCCGTGTTCTCCTCCATGGACTAACATGGGGGTCCGCAAAACAACGGGTGGGTTTGTGGAGGAACCTCCTCTTGATGGGGTCATTGTGTTCAGAGTATACCCTGGAAGTCCAAGATCTTTACTTCGGTGGTGCAAAATACAGTCTTTGGACTCTTAGGGTTTGTGTTCATCTACCCTGCTTTTGATTTGCCTACTCATCCCACCGCCTTTTCACATCGAAGTCAGCGCCTGGCTGGGTTGGCTTTGCGGCCTGGCCATCGGCCGACCTGGTCGCCGCTTTTTTTCGTGCCGGAACAGGCAGCAGGGAACCGTTCACATCGATCACTGGGTAGGCGGTAGGTCAATTCTGAGTATTTTGCTACTGGTAGCAATGGCGTCCAACCTACTTGCGATGGCCTCCACCTAATAGCGTCCTTGTTACAAACTCAGGAAGTAAGAGAAGTCTTAGCTTTCTGACTTCTGAGTCGATTCTTGTGAGCCATGGCAGCCACGATGTCGTTGCAGAGTGAGGATTCGGATGATGGTAGAACCCCGAATGCAACTTCCCTGCTTTCCAAGCAAGCTGGGGATGTCCAATGTCACCGCATGTCCAAATCGATCCGATGAATTCCCTCAAATGGACCTCAAGAAGGAGCTATCTTCAAAACTGCAATTTGAAACCCTGCAACACCATTGAGTTGTTGCTCACTTCAAGCCCCGGTCCAAACATCCAAACTGCCACCGTCCGCAACAAGTGCAAACCTATCAAATCCCCAATCTAAGGAAAATGCAACAACTCATCAGGTCATCAAGTGAAAAGGTTTGGCCCCAAACAGTCGCCCTCTACTCATCCCCCCAGTTTTTGCTTTCTGAAATTCTTGTCATTTAGAACACCGTGGGGCCGAAGTGATCTCCGCTCCGCTCCTGGCCCTCCCCCGTTTTCTTCTGTCCACCCGTGTGGATGTGTGGGACCCTCCACGACGTAAAAAAGGCTCAGCGGCGGAAGTCACTCACAGGAATACCTGAACGGCGGCACCCGCATGCGAAATCCAGAGATCCGAGAAGGAAGGAAGAGCAAAGAAGGCAACATGGAATCAATGTGGGAATCTTGGGAAAATGGAATCCATACACTTCATCAAACCCCATATCTACCAACTTGAGGATGACCAACGGTGGCACATGATGGCACAAATCACAGGTGTGCTGTGCCATGCCCTTCAGGCTTGGTCCGGAATCTGCGCAGGTCGGTCGTCCAAAGTATCCCCAGGGCGTGGCTTCTTCTAAAGCCTGGGAGGCCAAACTCACCCCCGGCCTTCGGCCTTCCCCCTTTCAAACCTCATGAGCACCCACGACAGAGATCCGATGAACCTATCTCTTTCGAGTGATTGAAGCGGAGGAGGTGGGTAGGTGGGTCTGGGCGCCTTCGGAGCAACGGGTAGTGAATCGGGACAAACATACAAAATCCAGGAATTCTTGGTATTAATGTTATCTATTCGTGATGAAATAGTATTCAAATGTTTTGCCTCATTGAAATGATCTTTCCTATTCCTAGGTGTCTTGTTCATTGTGTAGTAATAAATTGTGAAAACTGCTTAAGGTGATCAGAATCCAAGAATGCCAAGGTCAAGATGCCTTCTGAACTTCTTACGCGGGAGATGGTCAGACATCCTACCCTTCCTGGGGATGGGCTGTCCAAAAGTGGATGACGGACCATCCCTTTAACCGACTACTTCTACAGTTTTACGATGTTTTACGTCTTGCTGCACATGTCAACTACAAGGATTCTGCTCTGCACTCGAGCCGATGAGATAGAAACCAAAGTTGAAGGGGTTCAAAAAGTGTGTAGCCCCCTACTCCGAAGCGCTCTTAAAACACTACAAAATAAAACTACTCATCCCTTTGAACCCTGACCCTCTATGACCGTCCGCGAACCTTCCCGTCAAAAGTGGGGACCTTCCCAACGCGAAGCGCGGCCTCCGCGAAGCCAGTGCACGGTATGCAGCAGGGGCTCCGACCTGCGGCCGTTCGAACGGCCCTCGCGGTCGGTAGAAACACCGAGGCCCAAAACCCTCGGTGTTTGGACCTCTTTCCGGCCGACTTTCATGGAATGGGTTATGTTTTTGGTCTTCCCGCTTTGCAGCCTTCATTGGAGTGTCAAAAAGACTAAGTGAACTCAAAGGTGATGCTTCTGTTCTGCTCTCCACAGGGAGATGGAGCTTGCTACAGTGAGGAGTTCTCTTCTCACAGGCTTGTCGCTTTGTCGCACAAGCTGCTAGGACCATTGACCAATGTGTTTTTGTGCAACGCCGCTTCCTGCCTTTGCCCCGATGATGAAAAACGGTGACACGTGTACCCTCCTTGAGCAATGATTCGCCCCTATTGTACCCGAACGAGGGGGCTCTGTGACCATGAAGTTTCCACCAAGGAAAGAACCCAGAGCTCCATTGAAGTTTCCACCACGAGCTCTGTGGTCCCATAGGCCCCTCTGGCGAAGTCCCGCACAAACGATCCATCGCCCCCGAACCCGCTCATCTGCATCAAGCCCTCTCTGGGGCTTGGCCGTGCACGCCGGAGTCCCTGCCAGCCAAGCGGTTTGGCAGGTCAAAATTCGGAGCCCCCGGATCAAGTCGTCAACCCTCAGTTCATTCAAAAAAGAGGTGTGTTTTATATATATAATTATAGTATTTCATATATATATATATACAGTATATCTGTATGTATAGCAAAATCAATCATCCACCCTATCACCACCTAGAGGACACCTTCCGAAGGAAGAAGAGACTAGCATCAGAAATGAATAATATTTTGAACCATGCACACGAAAAGGTCTCCTCCAGTATCTGTCACCCGCAGGGGACCCGCAGACAAACCCGCAATTCTGTGCTTTCACTGGGTCTGAAGACCCTAAAGACCAAACCCAAACTCTGCAGCATCAGACATGAAACCGCTAAAAGATCCCAAGAAGTTGTGGAACTGACCATCCCAGGGCGGTGCAGAATCCTTGTTTGTGTGTTCTTTCGCTGGCTTATGGTGAATCTCTTCCTTCAACACACTCCGAGATAGACCGGTCAACCCAGGGCACATCGATTTCTGCAGTCTCCATGGAGATGTGAAGCACTGGGTCGGAAGGTTGGCCATGGAACATGGACCAGTCCCTCTTTGGATCGACTGGACATGAACCAAATGAACCCAACGGACAACGGCCGGTGCCCCAGTAACGTCACGAAACGAAGTGATGGAGTCCTGCACGGACAACGGCGGCTTTTGTGTCCCAAAGCGCCTTCTTCTTGAGGCCCGGCAAAGCCTGAGCGGCATGGAGCGAGATGCAGATGGATATGGAGGAATTGACACACGGCATTTGCAGACTAAGAGAGGGAAATGGTTCTAAAGCTCGATGTTCAGGTTCTCTGTTCGTCTGCAGGACGTGTAAAAAGAGGGTATATATCTTATACTATGATATAATATGCGTTGATCAACATCATGTTTCATCCCGTCCCAAAGCCATACAGTATCATGCCATCTCCGAAAGAGCCTTGGCCACTGAAGCTTCCAGCCCCAAAGCCACTGAAGTTCCGGCCACGGGAAACTTGGGTGTGCCCGACCACCTGATTTCAAGATTAGCTTAGTGTAAAGTGCAAACGTCAGTAACGTCGTAGCGGAATCTAGTACATTCTGGAGCACATACATATGCAAGAGCAAGGTGACTCAAACAAACCAGGATTACATCGACATAGCAACCCCAAGAGTGACCGACCACCTGAAACCACTGGTTGGAATGAGAAGAGGGAACTGAGGGAACCTACTGTATCCTGCATAGGTCCCTGTTGCCGCAGAAACCACTCAGCCCAGAATGCGCTGGGAAGGTTGTTCCTCTCTTTGCTGTGCTTTCGCCCTTTCGAAGTGCCAAAAAGCTACCCCCCAAGATTGTTCGGTGCATCCTGCCGCACCTACTCTGCCGCCAGTTCAGAAATCCCACCTCCACCCAGATTGACCACAAAATCTCACCAGGTTCCACAAAGTCTCTCAGGCCAGGTGCCAAGAGTTTGTTCCCCTTCTTCGTCCGCCTGCGATGGTCCACGAGGCTGGAGACGAGGGATTCCCGTCCAATCCAGGGGTGCTCAACCAAAGGAAATGAGCCTTGTCATGTCATATCCCTGAGAGTCCAAGACATTTTGGAGAATAGTCTTTGGATGACCCGAAAAGGAATTCCCGTTGCTTCGTTGGGGGCAGAATCTCTTTGGACTTCTAGGATAACTATTATATATATATATATATACTGTACTTACTCATTGAAACAGCCCCTTTTCACATTGCCAATCCCTTCTCGTCACCAAAGAATAATGCAAAGGCCCCATTCCAAGGGCTTGTCGCCGCTCGTCTCAGTCCCCCCCTTCAATAGACCGTGGCCTCAAATGATCCACGGTGCTTCCTGCACTGTCATCGACATACCTGGCTGATGGAGCGTTTTGGGCCTGATGGGACTGAGAACCCAAAACGGAACCCAAAACGGTTCAACTCATCCGCTCGTCATTCTCGCCACGTTCACGTCCCCGTGCGCGAGATATCCTATCCACCATTGGGGCCCAGAGGGGAGACGAGACGGAGATAGACAGAAGATCCATCTGAAACCGGATTTAAGTATACTAGGAACAAGTGCATCGCTACTAGTAACAAGTGCCTTACTAGTAGTAACAAGAAGCTACTAGGAACAGTAAATTAGAATTTACAGTAATTAGAATCAAATTAAAATTGCTGTTCCGACATTTGCAGAGGATCCCAAGACATTGTAGGGCGCCGAACCGCCTGTCACAAGAAGTCTGGATCACTCATCTTCAAGAAATGAAAAACGTTCAAAGAGTTACGAGTTTGATCCATTCGCGGCCTCTTGCCATCTCCTGCCCCTTGCTCAAACCTCCCAACCTCCCAAGATCAGACTGCCGATGCCACTCGGATACTAGTTTACTTCTTGGGCTCTGCTGAGGTTTTGGGGGGATCAACAGCACACAGACCACATGACTACGATTCCAAGGAACCTCAAGTCCAATCCGATCCCTGCAAGTACAGACAGAAGGTCTTTGTATAATTGTTGCAGCTCTACAGAAATTCTGGATCATCACCTTGTCCCGATATATGGTAAGCAGGGCGGCATCCAATTAGTCTCCGCCATCTCAGCTTCAACCACACCTACGTTGGGGGCTTCCAATTTTGATCCGTCATGCCCAGACAAGACCTCCTGTACAATTCCTGCAATGCTATATCGCCAAACAGGGGTTGCAAGAATCCTTTCATACGACTTATCCAGTTGAAATTCCACCTAATGTTGTTCTGGAAATACCAACTGCCTCCCTTTCCGAAATCCAATTGTCGAACGCCTCTGATTCGTCAAAACAATTGCTTGACTCCATTCGACTCCCAAACATAGCACCAAAATGGATTCGTTAATGTTCTCTTTCCAGGAGGGACCACAAGACCATATTGGTCTAAACCCAGCATTTCCCCCAAGGGGGGATCTTTCGCGGGGAGTGAAGTCGTGTTTCTCGCTGATGGTCGTTACCTACAAGAGGTGAGATGGCACGAGCCTTCCGACAGGGATTTGCAAGGATTGGCACGTTCGAGTGCGTAGGGATCAGCACCGGCGTTTTTCTCGGAACACCCGAAGTCGGAGAAATCCAGACCCCAGGAACCAAAGCTGCATGTTCTTTGGCCGCAAAAGAAACCATACTACTTACTGGGTTTGGGTTTGGGACCATCTCACCCAACATGACCTGAAATCCATTTCGGGCCCACCGTGACATCTGACACCCGATAGGTTTGTCCATGAGAAACCCATCCGCAGGAACACTCTCTTCTTTATTTCGGTGCCGCTCACGGCCCCAAGTCTTCCCCGCGGAGAAAGAGGATATGAATCAGCTCCCTGTTCCTTTGCTCCCTTCGTAGCGTTCTTGTTCCGTTCGTAGGAAGGCCAGGAAGCCCCGGGCATCGTAGCGAGACCCGTTCTTCCCGACGAACATCGGCACTTGGCAAAGTCAGACCAGTCCCGGAAGCTTTGCTCCTTGAACCTCGGAAAGGCAATGGTCTCACCGATGCGGGGGTGAGGGGGAAAGTGGGGTCGTCACAGCTGCCAGTGGTGGAAAGACTTCCCCCTTTATGACTGTATAAGAAAACAAACATGGATCTTCTGCTGCAAGTTTGGGGTGGCTGGTCTTTGACCTACTTCAGATACGCTCCCAACAAAAAGGAACGTTGATCAATCATGGCGATTGGTTGGATGCGATTGGTGGCCCTGGCCGTCTTGAACAGCTTTGTGTCCTACTCAGCTTCACAGATTCAGGAAGAAGAATTGGGGGCCTGAGAGGGGGAATGCAGCTGGTGCTGACGGGCAGTTGCAGTGACATAGCATCCGCGGAAAGTCAAAAGCTTGATTTTGCCCATACCAGCGCAGCGTAGAGATTGAAATTGCTAAAAGGGATGTCGTCCATCTGTTTCATTAAAGGTCAATTCCTTAGATCCAAACAATTGCACCAGACACCAAACATCATTGGGTGAAGCCTCTCAGACCACCATTCATCTCTGTTCAAAGTCGCTTGAAGCAAAACTGACGCGTTCAACTTCCCTGAAAGAATGATAATGCCCTCCCTGAAACAAACATATTATTGGTGCAATGTTGCTGTTTCTACATATACCAAGCACAAACATAGACATTTGTAGACAATGTGTCTCAATCGTTACTCTGGACATTAATTTGGCCCAGTAGTACCCTCCCCTGTGCGCGGATCGGCATCGTCTTCCTGCCGCGGCGCCCACAGATCAGCGACCAGCCCTTGATCCGCTCTGGCGCGTCATTGAGAGAGGCCGCCACCATGGCAAACGTTGGCCACAGGAGTAGCAGAGTTTAAACAGTAGATGCATGGCGATGCATTCGACTGCCAAAGTTGGAAGAGAATTGTCGTCTAGTTATGTGACTGCAAAAGTTCGATCTATATACTCCGGCAAGTGGTTGCCTCACTGGAGGCCTATACCTATCTGTAGGTAGTAGCAGAATGCTCCCCATCGAGCCCACTCCATGTTCTTCATTTGTGTTGGAAGGGGTAGCTTAAAGTGATTCTAGGGGTTCATCTCATTGTTCTAGGAGCTTGGGCGAGTTGGGGTAAAGGCAAGTGAATTGACCTGAACGTCTCCTTCAATTGATCATCCATGTCCCACCATATCAGAAAACCTCAACACCAGAGTGCTGCGCCCGTGACACAAAGGAATCGCAGACCGATGCATGAAGTAGACCGATGGTAGATGCCTGGAGTCACGGAGGAATCCTTTCTTCAAGCAGGATATCGGATATGTGCACGATATTGCTTGAAAAGTAACGACCGGGGGGGCCCAGAGCTCTTATGGATAGGATGTTCCAATGATCTGAATGGCTAGAACAATCCCGAGATGTGCACTCTCGTTGCAAACCAGAACCTTCCACTACCCCATACATGGTTCTTTCAGAATGAAAGAAAGCGGTGCGTCTGGAGTTTCCAGCATTACCCACCAGCCTGGACCTCAGTCCAAAACGCCCAGCAAAGCAGTGATTGGGATGACTTCCCGTGTCACTTTGACAGAGCTCAACCACGGGAGCCCAAGGGGTTTAGAATCTTCGCCCAGCATGTTCCCGATGTCTAGTTAGTAGTTAGACCGTCGTTCTTGACCTTGTTAGGTCGGAGCTCCCGAAAAGGTGGCATTGAAACATCCAAAGCCTCCAGGTAGACGGGTAGACCTGGTAGAAGGCATCTTCCCCAATGAAATATGGCCCAAGAAGGTTGCTTGTGCCCTCTGAGCAGAGGTCTGTTAGGGAGTCCCCCCATCTTTGAACACATGGAGTATGCTTCAAACATAGAGTTCACCCAACATCAATCAGAAACATATAGCCACCGCTCATATGAATTCGACTCCCACATCTTTGAATCTCCCCACTCTTTACCACTGGGAACACCCCTGGAGCGTCTGCCCCCGCTAAACTCTCCGAGGCAGTGACCTCAACGTGCGGGGTTGTACTGAGACCTAGGGTCTGCGCGCGGATTCTTTGGGGGGGCTGACCCTATCTTAGCCAGATCATGTGGATAAATGTCAGGGTTTTAGATTAAAAGTTCGGCCCAAAAACTAAAGAAACAGCAACAATGAAAATTGAATAAAATTGAAAGGGCGGACATCACAATGGTCAGAAACAGGTACGGACACAGGCCCGACATGTCTGTCAGATCCGCTAGCTTCAGATCATTTCACTGGAGGCTGGCGCCCAAATAGAGTCTTAGGACGGACCCCATGGATTTGATCTACCCAGCTACGGGCCCGTATCACTCCTGAACGTGACCGGGTGACTGGCACCATGGGAAACGACCACATCGATGACGTCGGGGAATGACCACTTCGATTTACAGAAGTTGGGTAACTGTATGGTAGTTGCATGGAAGTGATGTCATAGGTGGATTCCTGTGGGGAGGAATCCAAATGAAAGACTTGCAGAGTTGAACTGGCAAAACATTCGGACCACAATCGACCATACCACCACTTGGAGACTTGGCATAATCTGACCGTTGGGTGCGTCAATGCACAGCCTTACGTCACGCCTGACGTGACAGAACCTCGCAGGTTGGGCTTCTTCATTGAACCACACAGACTTAGGAATCAGAGGACTAGGGAACCAGCGAGCCATACTTGTGAGGCCCCAAATGGCCATGCGACCCCGAGGCCAATCTGTCCCGGTGCAGATGTGGTGCGGCCTGGACGGACAGGAAGCTGCAGCTCCTGCAAAGATGCGGGTAGGATGCGGTTCAAGGTCAACTCGGAGAAGCCCAGTGCCCTATGCATGAAGTTCTAGAGATTGTAGGAAGTATGGACAAAAAGATTGAACCTGAAAAGCAAGTGTACGCAAACAGTGGAAGGCATTCCTGTCTTGTATGTATAATCTGCAAATTGAAAGTATTGCAATCTTCATTTTTCTGTTGCTATCCACAGCTCTGGCGACTGCTCCACAAATCTGGGGATCACGATACACAGCGGCTGTTTCATACAGCAACAATGAATTGAAAAAAGTAACGCAGCACCTCCAGATCCCTTGAAGTTGCTTTGCCTCCGCCTGCACCTCACATTCATTGAATATCACCGCATCACGTAAATCTGTTATATGTCTTCTCCTCTGTGGGTGCCACAGGCGCCACTGGCTCAACCAGCACCACTGGCTCCACCGGCTTCAGAGAAGCCGCCTGCAACCGAGGGGCACGAACTGTGAGCTCCTTTGGTGTTCAGCATTAAAGGCCTTGTCACTCGGATCTTCCCACAAAATCATACGTCGATTTCGTGGTGCTTGTAGCTAGGGTCGTGGCGTCGTTCCAATCCACTTCGGTTCGCCCAAGCGTGGACAGGGAAAAAACCCAACCGTCGCCCCGAATGCCGACCGTCGCCCAGGAGGCACTCCGCTTCGACGGGGTCACTCCGTCGTGGCTGGCTATTTTTGATGCGTCAAGGACCGTCAATGATCTGATGGTGTAGCCATAACCTCATGGTAGGTTGGCACGAACCTCTCACCGCCAACCCTGAGTTTGGATGGGGCACCCAAATGTACAAAGTGCTAGCAGCATCTAGTGGCCGCTGTGCCACTCTTCCCAAACATCGAGTAGGTGTAGGAGGGAATAACTTACTTCGAGTTCCCTGCCAACTCTGCCCAGCTTTCTCGCAACAGCACTCCCTGCCTCTTTGGTGGCCACGCCCTGAGCACTGCAAGAAATCGGAGCTTGAGGACATTTGGGCTGTCTACAAGCTCTATTTCCAGACCTTACTTTGTCAACTTGATGTTCTTTGACCTTCATGTTCAAACTAGGCAACCAAAATTACACCAGCATAGACCCAGATAGCTAGGCAGAATCCCACGACCTGTTGACATGCGACTGGCTGGAACATGATGTACGCAGCCTGCACAGCCAGCTTACGGCACCTCCACAGCGGCGCCCAGCACCAGCAACCTGTCCCCACCACGTGCACAGCCAGCTCACAGCACCAGCACCAGCACCAGCACCGGCACCCAGCACCCAGCACCAGCACGGGCACCCGGCACCAGCACCAGCAACCTCCACCACGTGCAGCACCGGCACCGCCACCCGGCACAGCCAGCTCACAGCACCGGCACCAGCAACCTGTCTCCACCACGTGCACAACCAGCCCGGCACCCAGCACCCAGCACCAGCAACCTGTCTCCACCACGCGCACAGCCAGCTCACAGCACCGGCACCGGCACCGGGCACCAGCACCAGCAACCTGTCTTCACCACGCACACAGCCAGCTCACAGCACCAGCGCCGGCACCGGGCACCAGCACCAGCAACCTGTCTTCACCACGCGCACAGCCAGCTCACAGAACCAGCACCAGCACCGGCACCCAGCACCAGCACCGGCACCCGGCACCCCTGTCTCCATCACGTGCACAGCCAGCTCACAGCACCAGCACCGGAACCCGGCACCCAGCACCAGCACCAGCAACCTGTCTCCACACGTGCAAGCTCACAGCACCAGCACCAGCAACCTGTCTTGAAAGCGCGCACGGGCAACTCATTGTTATTTGAAGTAAGAACCCCATAGCTTCGCTATCTGGGGAAAAAGAACGTTTGTGGAAACCAGTTAAAACTATTAAAACTAAGGATGTTGGAGCAACTGCTTCTGTCAAGGCATTTGTCACGGTGCGGAGCAGGCCCCGAGTACATGAACATGAAAAAGTATCTAATAAAATCATACCCTTTGATACCATATGCCATATGTATGCTTCAGTTGTATGATATTGGCCATACAATCTGGCATTTTGTGCACTGTGCAACTAGTCGGCTGAGATTCAGGGTTCAGGCCGGCGCTCAAGGAGCACCGCTCCGCGGGCTCTGGATGGAAAAAGCACAGTGATTGTGGGAGTGGTTGGATTCGACTGGTCCCGCCGTTGGGAAGCCGCTCGCGGCTGGTTGCTATGTCAGATCCGGCCTCCGTCGACGGTGTCAGCGGTTCCGGAGCCACTTCGGGCGAGGCCACTTCCGGCGCAGTCCTGCGAGGTCCGTGATGAAGAGAGAAAGAAATAATTTGGACGAGAATCCCAATCAATATGTTTTGCTTCAAAAAGCCCAGATTACGACCTACTGTATGTAGCCTCTTGATCAATAAAAGCCTCCCATATGAAGAGGTTTTGTGCATGCAAAAACGGGGGGGTTCTGTAAATCTAAGAGTCTACGTATATACATGACTCATGATACTAAAATTATCTGTCGCTTCGGTAGACCGAAGCTTTGAGGGTGTATTTCCAAGGTATGGCCAAGCACTTTAGATTGGAACACGTGAAACTCTTCGATGGGGAGTCGCGCGTTGTCCCAGCTGGCACGGTTTGACTCTCCTCGCATACAACTGACTAGGGAACCTGTAGTCTATGTCTGAGCAGCCTCTTCTTTGAGGTGACGAAAATGATCAAGCATCTTGTGAAGCCTTCATCTCTAAAAAGACCTCGCGGTCCTATTCCTCTGCCTGCTTTCACAGAGGCAACCCGGCTGCCAACACAAACAAACAAATCTTGGGCTAAGATCCAAGGAAACGATCTCCGATTCTTCTGGGTTCCACTGGGAGTAACTTAGTACTTTTATCAAGTTCTTATGTGTATATATAGGGAGAGAGAGAGAGAGGGAGAGACACCCAAATAGATAGAAAAGTAGATTCCGACTAAGAATGTAATCGAAACCGTGTCTATCTATTTGAGGGCCACTATAGATATAACAATATAATATACAATATAAGACAATATAGTATCTCTATATATATATATATGTATAAACCAGTCTGAGAAGATCACATAAACTAATCC